AACATGCTCAAATATAAGTAATTGACTGTTTATAGTAAGTATATATAGCCTTGAATCTAGCGAGTGTACAAGTGTTTCTAGTTTATTTTAATTGGCGCGCATGGATCGATCAATTGAAATTAAACAAGAATTTGAAGCAGAAATCTTAGTCTTGGAGACTTTAACAGCGTATTTTTATCTAGAAATAGGCAAACTAGTTTAAAATGATCTACGTCTTATATTTCCTATCAATAACAAGAGAAAACAAGCAAGAATGATTAAGGTTCGACTGTATATGGTTGACGAAAAGTGCCTAATTGTCTGAGGATTTTTAAGTTTTTTTTGTGATTTTCTCGATATTATAGTCGGTATAATTCCGCGGTAACAAAAAGCTCCCAAATAATTTTTACATCAGGTTTTAGAGCAATACTTTGTCTTTAAATTCCGTAAATTTCAAGGAAATTGGAGTTTTCCCGGATACGGAAAATTAATTTTCAAAAAGTGTAACAATTTAGAATTTTTTGGATCGCAAAAAAAGACGATTTTTACACGCTTGTCTTGACATTGAAAAATCATTTCAAAAATTGCAAATTGGACTCGCGTTCTTTATAAACATCTTACAAACACGTTTAAAAACGAAAGATGAGGTTTCATCACACGCCAATTGAGAAAAACAAAATTTTCGAGAGGCCGTAGCTCACAATATTTTTTGCTAATTTCGCGAATCTCGGGTATGTGTGAGGTTTTGATAATTTTCGGCGTTTAAAATAATATTTCAGAAAACAAACCCCACCACGTTTCTGAGTACACATTAGAGTATCACTGGAAAAAATAAGATTTTTTATTTTTCCTCATGTGCCACGTATTCTCGATTTTGCTCGGTTTTAGTGGACATTGTCTCTTAAAAATACATAACATGATGTATAGAATATGTAAATCGACACAGCTAGTACAGTGATTGATTTTGGACAGTGATTGATTTTTTAACATGAAAATCGCGGGTTCGATTCCGACCGTTGTCAGACTTTTCATCCTGCCCAGTGTGAATATATACACTCACAGTAATATAAAAAACACAATACCTTAGAAGTATGGCAGAACGGTTTGTGCTTTGGCTATTGATGCATGAAGCTCATTTCAGCATGTATTATAATAAATCCTAAACATGTGTTCGCATTTGTAATTCTCTCAAAGTCACAGGAATCGATCGGCTTTGACCATTTTAATAGTCGTTATTTTATATTGTCTTGAATTTTTCTTTTTATACGTTGCCTCGTATTATCTATTGCACGTAGCATTAGCAAGTTTATGAGCCACTCTATAGTTAATATACATACCCCAACCCTCTGATGTAAACCCCTCATATTTGAAAGGCTCATATAAACTTGCATGCTAGTACTACATGTAATATACAATACAAGGCAATGTATAAAAAGACAAATTCAATTTAAATAAACAATATAAAATATTAACGACTATTAAAATGGCCAAGCCCGATTGATTCCTGTGTCCACATTTTTAGGATTTATTATAATACATACCATTCTTTAATCGCATGAGCTTCATCCATCAATAGCCAAAGCACAAACCATTTTGCTATACGTACACTTTGTTGTTATTAAGCATTTGTCTCCATCTTCAACAATGACTCTGCTGTGCCATATATTAATACAGTCAGAATATTTCCTTCTTCCAATGCCTTCGCTTCTTTATCACTCTCGATTCAACTTGATAATGACACAGCACTGCCTCCTAGATTGTGTAGTTTTTTAACTTGATCTCGTATTGAATTTATCAATGGCGAAACCACGATTACTAAATGTTTACGATGTTTACAATTTGTTTAAATATTTAAATCCGAATATTACATCGAATAGCTTCGGTAACGGCGTGATAAATAAGTGATTTCCTGCGTCAGTTGTGAATATACGAAAACATCCTTCTTTTCGTTTATAATAGACTGAAAAGCCTTTTTCTGATGCGCAGTGTTAAAACTTTCAAATTTAAAAATACTACAGACTTGTTGATAATAGCCCATGCATGTGAAGGTCATTGAAGGTCGATCTTCCAGTTATCGTGCAGATGATTGTGATTGGTTAATTGCCGGGAAGTCAAATGTGTGGCGAATGTGAGCAGACATTAGGTGAGGCCTCGGCCACTAACAACGTCTGCGCAGGAGGCTAGAGGGACAGGGGCCCGTGTTCACAAATCGTCATTTTGTCCTGGGGCCCGTAGTTGGCTCTCGCCGGCCTTGCTCTGGACCACACAGCAATTTTACAATTGAGAGAGTTGGTGCTGAGATGAAGTAAGTTCTCTGCACCCTGGGGATTTGGGGGTATGCCCCCAAGAAGATGTTGAAACTTACAAGCCCACAAAGAAGTTTGTCGGCTAACCGAGTCAAATCTGAGTCAAATTCGAGCCTGAGTCAAATGTCTGAGTCACTGTTTAGTGGTCTTTGTTGTTCAATGACTTGGTACCCTAATCCAGACCCTACTCCTAACTCAAACCCCACTCCTAATGCACCCTAACCCTATTCGACTGTGAATTTTATTTCATTTCAGAGTGTGTCGGTTAACAGAGTCAAATTCGAGTCTGAGTAAAATGTCTGAGTCACTTTTTAACTGTCTTTGTTGGTTCATTATGACTTAGCGCCTGTTTTATATGGAAGCCGGGCTGGCCCGCTTAACGAGACAGCCTGGTAAGCGGGATGAATTTCTTTTGTGTTTATATAAAAACCTGTTGTGTTGACAGTTGTAAAAAATAGCTTGCGGTGGTACCTTTGAACTTCTGGCAACCGGGGTAGTCCGCTGTGAGTGTGAGAAATTTCTATCCCGGTAAGGTAAGCAAGATATCGGCTCTTTCAAGCGACATCTCGGCAACCGGCCCAGCCATATAAATGCACAATGATTTTTACTATAAAAATAACTACACAGCGAGATCTCACTTACCAGGCTGTCTCACTAAGCGGGCCAGCCCGGTTTCCATATAAACAGGCCCTTAGTACCCTAACCCTATTCGACAGTGAATTTTCTTCAATTTCAGGCCATTTAAAAACCTGGGGGTCTGGCATCGGCATGGCAAAGAATAAACAAATTCATATTTGAAATTCATAACAACCATATAAGCTCAACTGAGTGGCTGGATCTATCTAAGCTATCTTTGCAATGCAAGTACTTGCCAAGATGAACTTTTTGACATCCATTACATTACAATACATCCATATTATTCTGTTTACTCAGTCAGAATTGTAAAACTATATAACATTATAAACAGGAAAGAAATTGTGAGCAAATTATATACCCTAGCTGAAATGTAGTCGTGCAGACAATTAATATATGGCTATAATAAGCCACTGTTAAACTCTAGATTCTAAAATTGTCCCCTTAACAAACTGCTACAAACACATACAAAGCTATAAAGGCATTTAGTACACTGTTTTGACTCACATACAAAGCTAAGGCACTCCTTGACCTTGTATTTATACTATTAGGATGTTAATAAACTCATGACATACTCCTATATCAAATACTAAAAAGTTCAACGCCTTTGTCAACAGAGAGAAATAAAACCATCCTTACCTGAATTATTCTAAATATATTTGTAGATCATTTGCATAATTGGATCCATATTAAAAAGCTCATAAAATCTTGAGAAGAATTGAAAGCATGTGTCCGCAATACAAAATTATATATTTATCTTTGCCCGCCCCCCTCATTTAAAAAATGTCTCTGAAGCTTAATTATTTCCCCTGGAAAAATAGACAGACACAAGTCGAGATCTTGACAATACATAGGTCGCGTGAAAGACTGGGTCGAGTGGACTCTGGAGAAACGTGAGGGCGTCAAGAATAGTGTGCTGCCTCGCTGGCGCTCGATAGCAATTATATCGACCTCGTCGTAGTTGGTTGTTGTTGTACCTCTTGAAATTTATTTGTTGCCCACACGACACAGGCGTGGTGATCTTTACCCTAGTTTGTCCGGTCCAGTTGGCCCGATTGATTGCTATGACTAACATAAAAGGGATATTATGAAAAGCTCGATGTAATGAGAAGCTGGTTTCGAATCACAATTGCGACACATATCGTCCTCCTCCATCGACAGTCTTCCAAAGTTAGTTGCCTATTACAGACGACAGTTCAATGCTTTGATGATGCACAGGAATATCAATCAGTAAATTCCATGGTGTAAATGATCTCCCACATATTACATTACATTCAGACACAAGGCACCTGTTAAGACCAATCATGTCCCATTGAAAAAGAGAAGCAAGGTGTTGTTGTTTGTGGACCAGGTTGAATTCAGTGTACATTTCGTTTAATATCAAATTGAGAAATTCATTCGCATCCTGATGATAATTTAATTGTGGTAGCATTCCAATGCTAGCTGTCACATGAACAGGACCATTTACAAACCGAACACATGGCACTTTATCTTATTATTTGAATTTTTTGCCATTTCTTGAAAACATGAATATAATCCATCCAGTAATATTGATTTTCCTGTATAACCTTTTATGCACCTCATGTATTAATCCATGAAATGGACTGGCAAGTAGGCATTGTAAAATACTGTTCAACCATCAGTTAGATTCTTTGTTCTCCATTCCTCTGGAGTGCAGTTTTGACAACATTTCCATCTTGCTATCGTGTGTGAAACTGTCTGTGTTCTTGTTTCGATGCACAATGACTTTGTAGCGCAACCTACTTCTTTCAAATTAACTTTGATGCTCAGTTGCTGCATAATTAGATTGTTATCAATAGCTGTTGAATCTTCCTTGCTCCAAACATATTTAAGGAATTCTGCATAATGAATATTCACACAAGAAGCACATCGACAGCTTACTAACATAACTGCCTATGTCACTTTTGGGCCATTTTTGGATTATTGCCTAACTACACTGCCTTTTGAGCGATCTAATCGGGTGCATATATAATGACATGATTAGCCAATCACAGCTCTGCTTACATGGCTTGCAATGTTTTTGCCTATCTCAATTGTGTGACATAGGCAATTTTTTTCAAAATGGCGACCACATGGAGAGAAACCGAAACCCTCGATTTTTTGGACGTTTTGTCGGAAATAACAAGAGATCAAGTTGGTAAGTGACTTAAAAACATCAGCCAAGCTCCTTTACTATGCAATAGCGTATGTATTTCAGCTATTTACATCATTAATAAGCCTTAGTTTATATATTATAATATTATTTTATATGTGTACAGGTATAGTCTATGGTTATGGTTAATATTGTAGTTGTGTATTACAGTATGGTTAATATTGTAGTTGTATAATCAGGGATGGATTTACTGGGGGGTGCTATTTTTCATAATAAAGCAGAACAAATATTAAAGACAAAATGAAATACACTAATTTGAGTAGTAATATGATAATAGTAACATGGAGGCTATTTTTAACTAGATTGCCAGAAGCCCGGAATACTGATTATACCGTTGTTGTATGTTGATAGGCGGACGGTGCACATGACCAACACCACTCGATACCAGGGCTGGCAGAGCACCCCCCCCCCCTACCAAATCATGCCGGATCCATCCCTGATTATAATACTTAGTTGAGACAATTATCACTCATGTTCGTTTGCATAACCCTTTCCTTTTGAATGGAGAAGTAATTATTCATCTTGTCGCTCTTTCCTTTTTTTGCCCTAAAGACAGGGAAGAAGTAGACAGTGGAAATATTGTAGATGAGCAAACTCAGCAAAGTTCAGATAGTCCTGAAATTAGTGAAGATGATAGTGCGGCTAATGACCCAGATTATATATGTGAGCCAGACCAGCTGCCTGAACCTGATGATTTGAGTGATGATCTTCCATCCGTAACGGAACTTACTGAGCTAACACATCAACCACACAATCTTATCAGTGGAGATAATCAAGATGATAGTGTAGATGATCCTGCTGTAAGCATATTTAAATTCTAGACATGTGGCGGTATTTTGCAGCATTTAACAACATGAGGAACTGAAACTTACCTGACTGTCATATTATTTTTAGGCTGTAAATAAAAAACCTTCAAAAAGGCAGAAAGTGTCAAAGCCTGACACATGGCAGCAAAATCTTCCAAAAGCTCAACGTCTAAAGGGTAAATCCTACACTAACCTTCAAGGTAAAGAGCAGAAAGAAAGGGTGATTGGTCCACCATGTTCATCAGGATGCTGTCAAAAGTCATCCTTGCGCCACTGTCAGTCTTTCACTGAGGAGCAAAGACTTTGGATTTTCAACAAATTTTGGTCGATGAACACATGGGCAAAACGACGGTTGTACATACAGACGCTTGTTGAAAAGGTAATCAATTTCGGAATGGTTGAACAAAGTTATCTTGACTATTAATTTGTTATTTCAATGCTATTAAAAAATAATTAACCGGATGAATTATTAATTTCTTTAATTATTCACTGAAAGTGAGGTGATTATCGGTGAATAAAAACCGAGACAAAGTTAAGGTTTTTATTCATGATAATCACCTTGCTATGGGTGCACCGGAAACTGGTTCCGGCCGGTTAGTTCCTGTTCCTGCCGTAACTGAAAGATTAGTTTTGGTGCACCGCTACACTTCGCCTTCGGCGAATAATTGTTTTAGTTATAATTATAGGTGATTATTTGAAAAAAAAACAAACAAATTAATACACATTTCTTTGTCATTTAATTCACAAAACGGCTTCGGCCGCCATTTTAAAAATTGCTTAGGTGATTATCGCGTTATAATCACCTGAGCAGCAACCAATCAGCATGCAGAATTTTCAATAATCACCTATGTAATTATACTTATTCAGGTTAATGTAAAGCAAAGAAAGGCTGAACATGCAGGCCCATCTCGTAGAAGTTCTTCCTTTCAGTACAAATTGAAGCTTTCAGATGGAAGTGCAAAGTTGGTCTGTAAAAGGTTCTTTGCGTCAACATTTGGGATGCCAGCACGCACAATTGCTTCCTGGTTGAAGGAACCTACTCAACCATTGAAAAAAAAGAGCCCCAAAAGTGGTGAGTATATATGTACAGTATGTGCATGTAGATTACGCTTAACCCATTAAGCTGCAGAGCTTCCACTTTGACGAGTAAAATCGTCTGGCGTTGGACAAGTAAAAAAATAAGTAGGGCGCATTGAGGCTCAATGGGTTAATGTGAAAGTTACTCAACCAGTTCTGTTGTTCTTTAATGAAGGTAAAACAGTCCCCATTGCTGAGTCCGACCAAACCTTTTTGAATGAGTGGTTAGGGAAACTGCCAACTGTTCCCTCTCATTATTGTCGTAACACTCCCTCGTATCAAAACAAGAAATTCCTCGAACCAGACGTCACTATTAGTGGTCTTCACACTGAGTACAAGAAGGCTGCAGCCGCTGCTGGGAAACGAGTAATCAATGTTAAAACATTCAACGAAACATTTCACAACTTAAATTACTCAGTGTTTAGACCAAGGAAGGACCAATGTGACACTTGTGTTGGTGCAAAGTACGGAAATCGGAGTGAAGCAGATTATTTGGCGCACATCAAGAATAAAGATGCAGCCAGAGCTGAGAAGACGAAGGACAAAGAAAATGCCAGTACAAAGAAATCAGTGTGGACGTTGGACACCCAAGCTGTTCTGATATGTCCCAAGGCGAATGCCAGCGCCCTTTACTATAAAACCAAGCTGCAGGTCCATAACCTCAGTTTCTATAACCTGCAGAGTCATGAAGGTTATTGTTATGTGTGGGATGAGACGGAGGGTAACCTTAGCGCTGAAATGTTTACCCACATACAGTACCAGCACTTTGACGACTTCCTTGCTACACATTCTGAAATTAAGGAACTAACTGTCTGGAGTGATGGTTGTTGCTACCAAAACCGGAATGTTACACTGGGTAATGCATACCTGGATCTGGCCAGGAAACGTGGTGTCAAAATCATTCAGAAGTTCCTGGTGGTGGGACATACGCAAATGGAAGTTGACAGTATGCACGCCGTGATTGAAAGGAAGATACCAGCTAATGTCTACACCCCTCGTGATTACATGGTCATCATGGAATGTGCTAGAAGCAGACCATCACCGTATGTTGTTAAGTCTGTCCACCACAATGACGTGTTGCAATTAGATGGTAGTTACTTTGGAAGCATCAGGCCTGGCAAGAAAACGGGCGACCCTACAGTGAATCAGCTTCGAGCAATTGAATACAACCCCGATGCTACAATAAGAGCCAAATTGAGCTTTTCTGATGATTCGGAATGGATCGATTTACCACAACGGATCCACATTCCAGATGTACCACTAACCTGGATCCCTGTGTTTCAGTCTCGGATTCCAATATCATCGAGGAAGTACAATGACCTTCAATCCATGAAGTGTGTGTTGCCTCAATGGGCACATGATTTCTATAACATGTTGCCACATATCTAACAACCAAATTAACTCCACATGTCTTGAAAAAAAACGTTTAGTTACATTTATAAAACATTGCAAAACTGCCTATGTCACATCATTTGGGTAGTATAAATGCCTAAGTCAGGTTTAACACACATTAACACTACACTGGAACTTTTACAGTGTTTCACATTTTCTGCTTTTCTTTTTGTTATACATGTTTAGAAGAACTATAATAAAATAGCAACTTTCGAATGTTTCCAACTTATTTTTGCATTTTTCTCAAAATGCTAGAAACTGAGTTAGGCAATTATGTTAGTAAGCTATCGACATACGTAATTTGATGTTTCAAGACTAGCTAAAGCTGGGCAGAAGTTTACACAGTGACAATGAAAAATTTCTTGGCAAATAATACATTTGACAGTTTCGTTCATTCCTATTAATTCCATGGTGACTCATGTTACATTCTAAACAAAATTACCAGAGTAATTTTCATCTGGTATAATAAGTAATATTTTTTTTACTGGCAAATTTGTGCATGCAAGTAAAAATAGTAGTGGGGTGCTGATTCACAGTAAAAATTGAGCACATAATATTTATAACGTGGTCATTTTGGTGACGGTAAATTGTTGTGTGACTCATGTTACGACAAAGTGACATGAGCTAACACCAAACTAACAACTTTTAAATTTCTTCGGAAACCACAAATGGAGAAACATACAAATGTCTATCAAGTAACTGACAATATGTTAGGCAAACCATAAAGAAATTATTATATTTTGGATTACAACTGTAAGGATAGCTAAATAATACATGTGACTCATGTTACATGACTCATGTTACATATATGGTTCATCTTAATAGTTCAGTTCAGAATTGTTTCCACTAGATTCTGAAACATTAACACCAACAGCTGAGACAACCTAAGTGTATCTTCTAACTTTATACTTGGAAAAACAACAGATTACAGTATATCAACTTATATATAAAACAATCATGTTATTGTACAGAATATGTACCGGTATATAACCTAACTAGCCACGGCAATAAGTGTTTAAAAATCTGAAAATTGAAAGTGTCCACGGGAATTAACAACTACTGGTGCGTTTAACTTTCGTACAAACTTATCTTGTTGGTAAAAGATCTCACCAGGAATTGTTGGCCACTTCCAGTATTTCCCGGCTCTCACCATCACCAACACCTGGATATCATCAGCTGTAACATATTTTACTTCTCCAGGATATATTTTCCCCTCGTACTCCACAGTATACCAATCACCAACCTCAATCTGACAAAGTTCCTCATTTACACTGGCATTATTTGAATTTTGGGATAGGTAATAGGACCTCTACATGCGTCTTGGACCTGTGGTTTACTTATATTTTATAATCATTATTCATCCAATGGATTTCTTATATTTTCAACGGGGTCTTGAAATAGACCATCCCGTGAAATATTGTGTAAAAGGTGCACGCGTGTAATGCGTGCGTTGTTTTGTGTATTTTTATGTAAACCATTGTAGAAATATCGTAATTGAAGTTAGCGTGTATTGTATGTAAAGTTATTACTTGGTAATTGATAGGTGTGATTTGATGATGCACATGAATTTATCACAGGGCCGGATTTGACCATACTGCGATATTGCAAATTAGGAATTGGTAATAGGGCTTGCATTATTTTAATTTTGGAATAGGTAATAAGACCTCTACATGTGTCTTGGACCTGTGGTTTACTTATATTCATTACACATATATATACACATATACACACATATACACATACATACATGACACACACATACATACATATACACACATATACCCAATGGATTTCTTATATTTTCAACGGGGCCTTGAAAGTAGACCATGCCGTGAGAGGTGCACGTGTATAACAGTGTGTTGCATATCCTTATATGTGAATCTATTGTAGAAATATCGTAATTGACGTTGGCATTTAATGTATGTAAAGTTATTACTTAGTAATTGATAGGTGTGATTTGATGTTTTAATTCTGGAATATAGGTAATAGGACCTCCACATGCATCTTGAACCTGTTTACTTGTAATCATTATTAATCTAATGGATCTCTTTCATTCTCAACGGGGTCCCGAAAGTAGACCATGCCGTAAAATATTGTATAAAAGGTGCACGCGTATTATGCATGCGTTATTTTGTATCTTTTTATGTAAATCCGTTGTAGAAATATCGTCACTGAAGTTAGCATGTACTGTATGTAAAGTTATTACTTGGTAATTGATAGGTGTAATTTGATGATGCACATGAACTTATCACAGGGTCGGATCTGACCATACTGCGATATTGCAAATTTAGAGTTGGTAACAAGACTTGTGATTTTGTGTTGTGTAATTTTCCTGTAATGCTGTATCTTATTTGAATAAATGGTTTTCTGAAATTTATCTTAACAGGGTCTGGATAGTAGACCATGCATTGAGATATTGTAAACTTAGTCCTTGTTTTACACTGTGTACTGTTTCCGTAATCTGTCCATCACATGTAGGTGCGTCTATGTGAGGATTGTAGATTTATTCCTTAGTATTTAAGTATATATGCAGTTAGATTATGTACATACTCGCAGGGTCTTGAAAGCAAACCATGCCGTGAAATATGTAATGAGGCCTATAGTTTGTGGCCTGTGTCTAACTATTGATAGTTAGAATAGGTAGATGTTGCACAACCTACCAAAATTACGGCTTATAGAATCGGGCAGAACATTTAGTTATGCCACAAGGGTAAACCTAATTAGATGTCCTAGAATAATCATCCCAGATGGTTTACAAAACACAAAAAAAACCCACAAAAAACAAACACGTGGTGTCCAGGATCTGGCAAAAAGTTTTTATGACTGCACAGTGTGGCAGTCATTACGTAGTATATACTATATAGATTAATACTTTTAAATAATATATATAATAAGGATTGATTGTCCAAAGCAGTTCGAAGCAGTCCGAGCCACTTTCGCGTTTCAACGTGGTATGGATTATATTGGGTCAATATCATTAGAAATGACTACAGAGAAAGGCGAACATGGGTCGAACAGCATATAGAATGGCCTTGGACAAACCATCCCATTGGTTCAAAAAATAAAAAATAACATCAAGGAGATAAATGGATGGTATTGGAGAGATGTTGTGATTTTAAATGGAACATTGAATAATGACGTGACTGTGTATTGGGGCTATAGCAAACCTCACAGAGTCTTGGGTTGACCGTGCTGGTGAGGTATGTTAGCGGATGGTATATATCATATGGAAGATACAGTATATATAGTTGTGTTAATTGTGCTATTTGAATTTTGGGATAGGTAATAGGACCTCTACATGCGCCTTGGACCTGTGGTTTACTTATATTTTATAATCATTATTCATCCAATGGATTTCTTATATTTTCAACGGGGTCTTGAAATAGACCATCCCGTGAAATATTGTGTAAAAGGTGCACGCGTGTAATGCGTGCGTTGTTTTGTGTATCTTTATGTAAATCCATTGTAGAAATATCGTAATTGAAGTTAGCGTGTATTGTATGTAAAGTTGTTACTTGGTAATTGATAGGTGTGATTTGATGATGCACATGAATTTTTCACAGGGCCGGATTTGACCATACTGCGATATTGCAAATTAGGAATTGGTAATAGGGCTTGCATTATTTTAATTTTGGAATAGGTAATAAGACCTCTACATGTGTCTTGGACCTGTGGTTTACTTATATTCATTACACATATATATACACATATACACACATATACACATACATACATGACACACACATACATACATATACACACATATACCCAATGGATTTCTTATATTTTCAACGGGGCCTTGAAAGTAGACCATGCCGTGAGAGGTGCACGTGTATAACAGTGCGTTGCATATCCTTATATGTGAATCTATTGTAGAAATATCGTAATTGACGTTGGCATTTAATGTATGTAAAGTTATTACTTAGTAATTGATAGGTGTGATTTGATGTTTTAATTCTGGAATATAGGTAATAGGACCTCCACATGCATCTTGAACCTGTTTACTTGTAATCATTATTAATCTAATGGATCTCTTTCATTCTCAACGGGGTCCCGAAAGTAGACCATGCTGTAAAATATTGTATAAAAGGTGCACGCGTATTATGCGTGCGTTATTTTGTATCTTTTTATGTAAATCCGTTGTAGAAATATCGTCACTGAAGTTAGCATGTACTATATGTAAAGTTATTACTTGGTAATTGATAGGTGTAATTTGATGATGCACATGAACTTATCACAGGGTCGGATCTGACCATACTGCGATATTGCAAATTTAGAATTGGTAACAAGACTTGTGATTTTGTGTTGTGTAATTTTCCTGTAATGCTGTAACTTATTTGAATAAATGGTTTTCTAAAATTTATCTTAACAGGGTCTGGAAAGTAGACCATGCACTGAGATATTGTAAACTTAGTCCTTGTTTTACACTGTGTACTGTTTCCGTAATCTGTCCATCACATGTAGCACCCGGGTTATGCCTGCGCGATTTTCACAAAAACAATCAATCGAGTCATACACGTCACAGTTTTACTATTCATGTCTCATTTTAGCTTGAATGTTCAGACTTGTGTATCACTTATATTTCATATCATTTTACAACTCATATATCACCAGTATCATCACTTTATATCTATGTTATAAATCAAGCTTCACCAACATCACAGTCCATGCATCATCATAACATAATTCACTATCATTCATACACATAATCATTATCTATACCATTCCAATATATATCACACACATAATCATTATCTATACCATTCCAATTCCATCAGTAACATTTAATCGAAATTTCATTTCACTCCACACATCATTTGATGTTCACCCAATAAAATGTCCCAACAGGTCAGCAGGGCCATTCCACAGCATTCCAGGATCTGAATACCTGCAACCACCTTTTTGATCCAATTCCAAAAGAAAAACAAACAAAAATTTGCTATATCCAGGGTGACCAACAATATCAGGATGCGATTCACCCACAGACAGGCTCTCCTCATTCATCGACACACACCTCAAACCATTATGCAGTTCACTTCCCTCCTACATCAAGGACACCAATCATTTTCTACAAACCATATTCAGCATCACCACACCACTACCACCTAACACCATTCTTGCCACAATTGATGTCAAGTCACTCTACACCAACATTCCACATGATGAAGGGATCCGTGCAACACTTGAAGCACTAGACACCAAACATGGACGCATATGGCCACTCCGCAAAGTAATACATCAATTCCTAATACACATCCTAAAAGAAAACTATTTCATATTCAATGATCAACTTTACTTACAAAAACATGGCACTGCCATGGGCACCAAAATGGCACCATCATTTGCAAACATCTTCATGGGTGCACTAGAAGAATCACTTCTGTCATCTGCACCAGATCACCTCATACCCCTCCTATGGAAAAGATTCATTGATGATATATTTTTGATCTGGACACATGGGGAGGAATCATTCCAAACATTCATCACACATCTCAACTCAGCACACCCAACCATCAAATTTGAAATCTCACACTCCACCGAGAGTGTCAACTTCCTCGACACCACAGTATATGTCACTCCACAAAAAACACTTGCTACCACACTCTACACTAAACCCACAGACCGCATGCCACTCCTACATCAATCATCACACCATCCAGAAACATGCAAAAAAGGCTTAATATATAGTCAAATGCTGAGATACAGGAGGATAATCACTAGTGACAAAGAATTCCAAGAAAAAGCACAAAACCTCCGGGTCGCACTTATTGGAAGAGGATATAAAGATAAAGATATTCTCCCTCACATCAACAAAGCCTCATCGTACACCCAGTCACAATTACTCATAAACACCACACCCAAAAACAAGACACGAACATTACCATTCGTCATTCCATACAATCCAGATCTCGCACCACTCTCACACATTCTCACACAACACTGGCATTATATTGAAAACGATCCTGTTTTATCACGGGTATGGCCAGAACAACCAGTCATAGCCTATCAACGTCACAAAAATCTCAAAGAACACTTCGTCCGCACCAAATTCACCCAATCACCCACATTGTCTCACCAACATCACATGCCAAAATAGACACAACCCCTCCCCCCAACCACCACCCCCCCAACAACCCCAAACCCCCTAAAGATACCCACCAATGGATGTATCAAACAAACAAGGATCAACAATATGGATATCTACACAATAAACCGAGATCCCCACCTCCAACTTATCCAAGACTGGGAAATCAACTCAAATCACATCTACAGCATACAGTTGAAATGAACAGGACAAGACAATTTCCTGTATATTGATTACCAGTAGATTCTACCACGATGAACTAGGGAAGGCCTCCCATGAAAGACACCAAATTGGCAAATCCACAGGGAAATCCATAACCCAAATCCAAGCATGTGTAGGATATAGTCGGCATACAATCAATCACTTAATCGATCAGAACATTCCACGAATCAGGCAACCAATGTAAATAATATTAGAACAAAAAATGTTTTCCACCAATCAAATCAAACAATCAAATCTGTACATACTATAATCCAACCACTTCACACAGTTTAATTTAATCAACACACAATTAACAAATAAAAATATACAACCACAGACCGATTTATTTAATTGACACCACAGCATCACCTATTATACAGTTGTATATAATTTGGTTATATAATTTTTATATATCTTGTATACTTCCTGTATATCCTTTTTGTATATCTTTTATATACTTTCTGTATATCCTTTTTATATATATTTATATATCTTTATATACATATCCACCCCAAACCCAGACCAAAAACCCACCTGAAATATCCCTGACCAACCATCCCAACATCGTAAGAATATCTCACCATTCACTTTCAAAGAACGAGAAATAAAAGGCAAAAAATCTTTGTCGCAAACTCGGCCACAAAGCCATCAATACAATTTTCAAAAGTAACTGTTTTAATCACCACTCACCATCCACAAACTTTAATTACAAATTTCATGGCAGAAAGCCTTTTGCCACACAGTGCGCCACGGAGCATTCACAATATATATCACACACCACCGTCACTTCCATTTCGAACTACCATTCACCTTTCAAAGAACGAAAAATGTTGTGGCAAAAAACTTCTGCCACAAACTCTGCCATTACAAAGCTATCATAACATCAATATATCCCTCGCTATCCACTCCAACCTCTCAATAACATTTTCATCCGATGTTTCCACTTTCATCAGGGACACATTCCTACAACATTTACACACCTAACCCACTCTGAACTTCCCAAACCTACAACACTGTTAAAAACTAACTCAATCCACTTTCCTGAGCAGCAATCCAGACCTAACCCAATCCCCACCGGAATTTTAACCCCAAACCACATTCCAAACCCATGTACACCCCATCAACTAACCCCCCCCCCAACTAAGTCACCCTTATCCCATCCCAACCCCTCACATCTCAGTATTCCCCCCCCGACGTAATTCTAGAACCCCTCGCCCATTAAAAATTCTTTTCGCCTTGCCTACACGCAAAGTACGCTCTACGACATCTATCAGTAAGTAAATTTCATTTTTTACATTCCGTAACCGTAAATTACCACATTACGCATGACATTCTTATCATTTTCACCCATTACAAAGAATACATACCAAATTCAACCAATTTTCACACTGTTCCTAGGCGAAATAATCAACAGATTTTTTCGCGCAAGCACATGTCATACATGTATAATTTATATAAACGGGAACAGAAATGAATATTTATATGCGGGCACGTAGTTCCAAGACCAGCTAGCGGGGTCGAAACGTGCTTTCCCGGTTATGCTTGGAGCCTGATGAGAACATAACCTTAGTTTTGAACACAAAACACATGGGACTTGACCTGGGTGGCGATACATTGGCATTCACCCAGGTCTTGGCATCATCACAATACATCTCACATTATAAACGCACCCGGGTTATGCCTGCACGATTTTCACAAAAACAATCAATCGAGTCATACACGTCACAGTTTTACTATTCATGTCTCATTTTAGCTTGAATGTTCAGACTTGTGTATCACTTATATTTCATATCATTTTACAACTCATATATCACCAGTATCATGACTTTATATCTATGTTATAAATCAAGCTTCACCAACATCACAGTCCATGCATCATCATAACATAATTCACTATCATTCATACACATAATCATTATCTATACCATTCCAATATATATCACACACATAATCATTATCTATACCATTCCAATTCCATCAGTCACATTTAATCGAAATTTCATTTCACTCCACACATCATTTGATGTTCACCCAATAAAATGTCCCAACAGGTCAGCAGGGCCATTCCACAGCATTCCAGGATCTGAATACCTGCAACCACCTTTTTGATCCAATTCCAAAAGAAAAACAAACAAAAATTAGCAATGCCTGGGATTGGGCTTGCATCTTCAAACACTTCTTTAGTATTCAGAGATGTGTTTCTTTCCTCGATCTCTGATGTAGCCATCTCAACAACCTTCACATTGGAGGCATCTTCGGCTGCAACGACAAAGCTCTTAGCATCACAGACAATGTGTTTTCTCGTCTTCACAGTCATCCACACCTGACGCTTGACTGCCCCACCAATGCCATCGACTGGTCCCTTCCCATGTGAAGTTGCAAAATAGTTCCATGTAATCTGGATCTTGTGCTTATCTTGGAGGGACTTTAGTGCAGCTACTATAAACCGGTTCTTGAACTGGGACGATGGGCCATCGGACCAGATGGAAATGTTTTGGGTGTTGGATGGTAGAATAGATAGCAGATAATCAATGTATGCCACTATTGTATCCTTGGAGTGATTCAGATTGTCCGATGCTATGACAATGGGGTGTAGGATACCAGAATACCATAACGCAGCAGTAAACAAACTAACTTGACTTTGCTTCCAATGGGCACTCTGAATTTCATCTTGGGAAACACAAGTGTAATTCTCAGAGAAGTCCACTTGAAGAAAAGCAGCATTCGAAAGCGATTCTGAATCTGCTTCTGCATCCTTTTGCTCTTTGTTATAGGCTTCTGCCTGCATTCTTTTTGTGAAGCAGTGTGCCATGAACTGGGGGATAATTGAGCATATATGGGTATACAGCTCCTCGGCGGTGCCCTCCTCTACATTTTTCACAAGTTTATTACTACTGTCTGTCTTCCAGACATACCACTTGATGTCACCATTTTCTTCTAGTGGATAAGAATTACGAAAACCCTTACCATCTTTGCACTGTTCACATTGGTTCATCCAGCACTCTCTCTTCACAGGGTTGCAGAGGCACGATTGTGGGAACTCGTTTGTGTAAAGTGGTACACTTGGTGAGACTTGATGTAATATATTTACAGCATTTATAAAGTTCTCATGGTATTTACACAAGCATACATTGTGGGGTAGTTTGCTACTCAGTAAAACATGTTTTGGTCTAAGTTCGGCAAATTTACTTTTTCCAATTTTGTTGGGATACTCTTTGCAGAAAAGAGCATAAGTCTCCATGACCGAGGAGGTGAGATGACGAGTTTGATAAGAAACCTTTTGCCCATTCTTGTCTTGGACATTAATTACATCTTTTCTACCAGGTGCCTGTCGGCTAATGTCATCTCTTTGGTAGAAAGTTTTTACTAGTTCAACTAGTTCATCGCTCAAAGCATCGGATCTTTTTGGTGAGTCGGTTGAGGATGATATACTACTGCCATCTAATTCACGTTCATATAGTTTTCAGTGGACTGCTTTTCGTCTTCTTGGGGACTTTGGTAGGGCATTCTTGAGTGCTCTTTTAGCTCTAGCTGTTGCTCTAGAGAAAGCGACCGCACTTACGAATGGTTGCGTCACAACACTTTCTTTTTCCTTTTTTTTAATGCCCTGCATTTGGCCACACGTTTCCTGGTAGCTTCTCTCTGCTCTCTTTGAAAGATTTCTCTCCTTTGTTGAGATAAATTCTCCAACAGATCTTTCTTTTTATCACGGCTTTTCTGGGCAATTTCACGATGATGACTTTTTTATTCCTCATACTTTCCTTGTTGTTTCAATTTTTCACGTCTTCTCCTTTGCCTCTCAGCCGCAGTAAGCGCCATTTTGTTTGTACAAAAACTATGACAAAGCAAATCGAATCATAAATTGAAGCGAACTTTTAAACCATATATTTTCAAAATAATTTATCACAGCCTTAAGAACGAACAATGTAATTTAACAATATAAATATCTAACCTTAAAATCAACGGTAATAACTCGTGAAAGAGCAATATTTATGTCGGATTGCAATGGATTAATCTTCTTTTTTTTCACCTTTCCACCATTTAAAGCCACCAGAAAACAACATGGATACAATATAAGCGCCCACAAACTGTCTGACTTATCACTAGATTAGGAACTACTTCATGTAAGCACTTTCTACTTTTCATTACTGCCTAAGTCTACTTTTCTAAATTTGTGACTCACGTTACATTGTGTAATCAATGTACATGTGACTCACGTTACCAATATTTGGAATGCTCTCATAGAGCATCGATTAAGCTAACATGCATAAAATTGATATTTATAGTTAAGCTATCACTAGAAGAACGAAAATAATGAACAAGAGCTGTTAACTCGCCATGTTTTGTTCGCAAAATTAAAAAATTGGTGTTTTTGTGACTCACGTTACATGCCATATGACCTCAAATTTAAAGAACCAGACTATGCAATAGAAAAATATTTAGAGAATATGTTTTTTTTAATGGAATAGTTAATGACTGTGGTGGTTGTTTGCCACTGATTTGTAGTAAAAATATGTTAAGCTTACCTTCAAAGATTAGAAGTTAACTTACCCTAATTAGCGATGTCATTGCAACATTTAAGTAACACACATATGAACATTGCATATAACTGTAATCTAGCTGCAATATTTTGTCAAATTTACTTTCATATTACCCCTGAATATGTATACTATCAAAATAAAGCTTTATTTTAAAATTATTAAGAACTTTTTTTCTTCAAAAAATGTCATCACTACCATGGAATTACCCTATGTTGTCTTCAAATACAATGCCGTCTTGTAACTGCCAATTTTTCGTTCTTACAATTTCTATGATCAGCCTTGTTTGGACTAGTGGATGAGTAATTTTGCCGTTCTTTATTGGTCAAGCCTTTCCACATTTTCTTTACTTCTTTCTTTGTGGTCTTGAAGCTCTTATTTTTCTTGCAGATGTCAGAACTCACCTTCCGCTCAAATGTTTTGAACTCCTTACTACTGCAATCAAGCTTTTTGGTTGCACGAGCGTTTGCTGTTGTTTTCACTGCCACCAGTTTGAAATTAAGTTTAGTTTGAGATGGTGATAGATATTTACCCTTCTTATGTTTTCTCTTCATTTGTAGAAATGGTTTTTCCATTCTTCAACAGGTTCTAGCACATTACTTTTGTCATTGGATTAGCAGCTTACTCCTACCGGCAAAATGGATTCCTTTCTTATAGACTTTTTAGGATCTTCACAGATAAGTGACACTTTCCAACTGAGCTACTATTTAAAAAACACGATTCATCCGAATGAATTAAGCCATCAACGAACTGTCTTTGTAGTCCTTTATTGTCTTTCCAATTCTCCACAATAAAAGTGTCCAGTCACATGTTTCTTCTTCCTTTGAATGAACAGTTTTTCTTTATACCAAAAAAGTCTTCAACTTGACCGTTTGTGCTGTTGCCACAAAGATAATTACGCTGTCTAGGATTAAAATTGTTCAGTGCTGTTCTTGCTATGTATTACTCATTAAATCGCGTCAAATCACCCAAAAGAAGCTGGGACCACAAAACGCAACTTGGTAAATAATTTTTAGAAACAAAAGCAAAGCACTTTGGCATGAAGTATTTGTTAAGTTTCCATGATTTGATTCATTCTTCCCCATTTCAGATAGCCGTTCATTCCAATACATAATCCAGATTCGACAGTGTTTCTGTTAATCTCTCAGCGTCGTCATTATCATCATCTTTGTCGATATCTAGCTCAATTGGGTCTGAAAATTCATGGATTGCATGTGAGAATTTGTCCAGATAGATTTCTCACGTTGGCTTCACATGTTTACTTTGAAAAATGTAATATCCGAGAGACACAAACTTCCTCATCTCCTGAAGTGTTGAACAGCAAAGCAATCGACCGAAGAAATGATTTGCGATATGAATTTGGCCACTGTCTTGCTTGCCTTTCTCTTGCAATTTTTGCACATGAAATTTGTTCAGCTTTAACATATGTGCCGCACATGCATGGAAAATTGTTTTTTTCAGCGTCTTCTTTACAAGCATCCTAGTGATTATATCATATGTCAAGTATTCTTGAATAGTCTCGCCTGTGAACTCACATACACAAGCGTTTATTATTGTCATGCTAAAATCGGCCATCACTAATGCAGGCGTAGTATATAAAGACAAATTTGGAAACACTTCTTTCTCCTTTTCCTTCAAAGTTCTTATCATTAAATGTATCGAGTCGGTGGTGTGGATACTCGTAATGTACTCCACAATGGGAATTGGAGGGAATTTTGGATATGGATGTCACATAACCATTGCATAATATAAAAGTCAACCGTGTTCATGCCAGCCTTCATCCGAAATAACTTTTCAGTGGCGTGAAATTGTTAATATAAACTGTTGTAATTGGCAAGTTTGTGGTAAAGTTAAATGGAAGCTTTGTTAAACAGCACTAAGTTGATATTATTAGTTAAATTGAAGTGTTGAATATAACCAAACAACTTTCTCCAAATATGTCCCACTTCCATGGCATTTTTTCATCTTCTCGTTCTATGGACTGTTGAAGATAAGAAATTGCGGTGAACAAATTTTTGTCGACTTGTGTTTTCTTTCTTGCTGTAGCACGAATGTTTTTCATTGTGGAAAGCGATATACCAACGCCAGTACGGTTGCCAGCTTGAAATGATTCGGATGAAAGTTCAACGAGTTTATCCCTGTGGTATTTTGATGGCATAGCATTTTTTTGTCCGTATTCTTGTACTGCTGTTCATGTCGCTCCCCAACCATTTTTGCGCTTTTGGCTTTGTTATATCATGCTTTACGTCGCCAAAGAATTAAATTTTGAGCATATTCTCATCACAGTCCTGGATAGTCAACTGAACAACGTCTTGATGCTTACATGCCACTGTTCCTTGCCAATAAGGACTATTGCCTTTTCGAGAATTCTCCTTCTTGACGAAATTACGTTTAAATACGAAGCAGCAAAACAGATTAAAAGTTTTCAATATTTCATAAAAAAGTCGTATAGTTCCCTGTAAATGATGTTTCCACGCTTACATCCCCTGATTTTACAGGTATGTTCAACCACTCAGAGGACATTTTAACATAGGAAACTGATCGTATTAGCTTTTCCCGAAATGCACCAAAAGAAGGAATATTGCTATTTGATAATGTGTTGACAGTTGACAGAAGATGTGGTGTTCGAAGGAAGTTTTCATTTTCATCTTCCTTTAAAGAACTGTAACATTGACATTGATCAATAGCAACGTCGCAGACACAGTCATCTGGCTTTCAACATTAGTTCAACTATTATCTGTAGGTCCTTTAGAATCATTTGAACAAAGTAAATGTGTCACTTTCTTGTTCCGAACATTCAGATTCTTCAGCTAATGTGGTAGAAGGTTTGCACACTGGAACCACATTCTTATCATTAGTGTCGCAAAGCCCATGAGTACTATCCTATTCCGCACCACAAGGGAAACGCTATCACGCATGTGATCTTTATAGGCGTAGGATACTGCGTGACCGAACACATTTCCAAAGATATCAGTTAACATACACTCCGCAGAATGAGATTCAGAGCTACATCTGTAATTTATTGAAATATTTTTTCCACTTCGCTCTGCTCTGTTTACAGCATTCTCAGTGTGAGCAGTGTCTGAACTGTCAGAAGTGGCTCTCTGATATAAATTTCCGGGCATATAACTTTCGTTTGAGACTGTTTGCTGTCGAAACTTTGACTTTATCTTGAGTCTTTTTTCTTGGATATTGTAATCACTGTTTCTCCAAATGACTCACAATTTGTCCATTTTCTTTTTATCCACTCTAATTGCTCCATAATGACTCTTGTGCGATCGATTCCCACATTTCTTTTTTGCTTTTAAAATCCATTTCCATTCTTTCAGTAACAATCGCCACAAACTTGTTTACATCGAATATTTTAGAGACTTGTTTTGTTGGTCTTCCACGCCCACCACCCAACAGAATTGCTTCGAATTTCAAATTGGATTTCAGCAGCTTTCCAAAGGCTAAAATGCAATCTCAAAGGTTGCAATCTCAAAGGTTGAAATTCAGTTTCTCGAAAACTACACTGGCGATTTTCAAATAACTTTCAAAAAAGATTCAAAATTTCATTCATAACAATGTATTTTCTGCAATAAAAAAGGTAGGTCACCGTTATTTGTCCGCTAAGACGGCTTTTTTGGTTGATGTATATAGGCCACATAGGTCGTGACGTCATGTTGTCATGGTAACGTGAAGAGTACCGATTGTGGGTTAAAATTATTCTCTTATGTAAGAGGAAACAATGGCTTGTGCAAAAAATTAGGGTTTTTTTAGATTAAAATTAATTGAATCGGTTTTAGTTTAAAACACTGACATAAGGGAGCCTACTTAAATTGCCCCAAAACGATCGATCCAATAAGTTCATTGGCGAAGTAATTGCCAAAAAATACGTTGTGTAAGTCGAGAAAATCAAAATTAATGTTTATGTAAATCAAGGGAAATCTCCGAGATGTAAGGCAATCCCTGACAACTGATTAATCTTTAAGTGGTGCTTTCCACCTAGTGGAATGCCAATCGCTATGAAACGAATTTATAACTTGATCTCATAGAGCAGAAATCAATTCAAACCAGCTAAAATTACGGCTTATATGCAAGACATAAAGCTTAATTAACTGCCGAACCAATTATAAACTCAGCAAGTGTTTGGCAATGTGTGAGAGCATGTTTTTTGTCGGATTACTAGGTGTTTTATGTATGCATAAAGGTTTTCTTAATTGCATCATATAACATTTGTTTACTTATATTTGGCCATATCCTGCTGCGCTTTTGACTTTGGTTCGAAGTTTGAATGTGTAATATGAAGAAATTCGGTTAAATGTTCAGTTGGGCATTGCTGATCGCTTTTTTCTTTTGCAGACGTGACAAGCAGTGCCGACAATGCAACAATGAAGATTTAAATATCTAATTATAATGTTACATAAAACCTTGTCTTCTACAACGACATTTTAAAGGCTGTATATAAGCTTAACTTGCATCATCCCATAAAATAAAACCTCATAAAATCACCTCATAAAATAAAAAAAAATTCAATAAAAAAAAACTGCTCAAAAAATGTTCCAAAAATACTCGTACAATTTTTGCTGAGTAAGGCAAAAGTGGGTAACATTTCTTTTGGCCACTTTGCTGTCGAATAATCTTGGCTTTGGTTTTGCTTTAGGTTGCATAAATTAGATCTCATTTGGTGGGTTTTTGAGTGTGTATAAGAGCACATAATCTTTCACACACTCAAATCTCTTCATATTACTGTTACATGTGACAGAGTGATTTCAAACTATATCTCCGTGAAAACAATACGGCCAAGCATTATAAATTTTTTGAATATGCTGGCATAGATCCACTATTAAGAAAAAATACATTTGTATCAGACTAAGCGGACTAGCAGTAGACTTCCAATGCCCATCTGGATTCGAGCACAAGTCGAGCACGAGTTGTCTTTTGCGATTTTTCCTGCTGAAACCAGAAGTTGTTTGAAGCTAACAAGTGCATTATATCATTCTATGATAGTTGTAGAAGAATGAATTTGCTGGAAAATATTTCAATGTAAACGTGTGATGCGTGAGAAGTATTTATTCACCCAGCTGCATTGAGCTGGGTGAATAAATAATGTAGATGAATGAAAATAATGTAGATGAATGAAAATCTTTACGGTATGGGCTGCATTGAAACTGTTGCAGTGGTTTAGCGATTTGTTCAGATTATCACTGTTTTAGTGCGAATTTGAAAGTGGGTGTGAAACTACAGGAAATTTCAATATGGAATAATAAAATCCGGGGGGTCGGTCATTCTATCATTCTGCACATAAAATGATTTGAAACACTTTTTCTTTGAAAAAAAAGACGCCAAGCATTCTAAAATGTTAAATATGCTGACATACATCCACTATTAACGCACTTATATCAGACTAAGCAGACTTGCAGACAAATTCCAATGGCCACCTGGATTTTTGAGTCCAGTAAGAGTTGCAACGAGTTGTCTTTTGCGATTTTTCCTGCTGAAACCAGAGGTTGTTTGAAGCTAACAAGTGTGTTATATCATTTTGTGATAGTAGTAGAAGAACGAATTTGCTGGAAAATATTTCAATATAAACGTGTGATGCATGAGAACGATTTTTCCTGACAAAACGACAAACATTTTCAAGATCTAGTTTGATTTATTATATTCACCATAATGTAGTAATGAATGAATTTTAGAGATTAGGATCTACAACAGGTATTTTGCTTATATGAAATATAATATTGCCAATCAATTGCGACAATATGGCGCAGCATGAATTCACATATTGATGGTCTGTCTTTTGCGATTTTTCCTGACTTCACATTTTGTGCTAAAGCCTTCAAAATACATTTGTTAATTGAATGCGTCATGTTCTGAAGAATGAAATTCATTAATAAGTTTATTGCGTAGAAATAAACTAATTCGAGATTTCATACACCAGACACGGATCTATTTTCATATTTGAATCTGAAACTGTGAATCTGAAACTGTAAAGCCGACCGTCAAACTTTGTTGATGATATGGGAACATTCTTTATAAGGAAAATTACAAACATATGTGCAGAATTAGTGTGTGTAGATGATTGTATCTATAGCAATCTTGGTGACCAATGTATCATCATTTTAGAAATTTGAACCTTTGGAGATGGAAGCTGCCAAGCACCTTATTTTAGAGTCAAACACAAAATCTTGCTCCTTAGTTGCTACTAGCCTGCGTACAGGCTGTCTGAGGATGAGGGACAGCCTGCAACCATCACCCCATGTTTTCAAATACGCCCACTTTTAAATATTACTAAACATGTCAAAAACCAACCAATCATTACGTATGTATAATTAGAGAATTAATTAGAATTCCCGCGAAAAGTTAGAGATGTATAGCAAGTATAAAATGTTGTTTTTAATACGTTGACGGAAAATGTCACAAACTCCGAAGAAAAAGATTTCCAAAATAGGAAGGCCTCCTAAACATGAAAGCGTAAATGATTACTGTAGGATTTGCAAGTGCAGATTTAAATTGGCGAAATGTGCATCTTTAAAGATTTTTGAAAGAAACAAGCGAGATGGGTTTAGTCTTATTATTCTGGGAGATATGTGTGCGAAAAGCGGCATTGACATTGTAAAAAACAGTGATTTTTCGGATAGAGTTTGCGTTAGTTGTGCACGAAAGATCAGAGATTGTTGCTCGTTGTATAACGAAATTTGTACCTCGATTAACAAGCCCTGTGTACAATTCGTTGAAACCGAAGGCGAAGCTAGATTTAAACGCCAAATTCCCACTGACTCAGAACATAGTCCAACCGTAAGGAAGGTTGTTAAGCACGTATCTGCGAAAAACAACGAAACAGGCGAAAGCTCTGGAGACCATAAGAAAGTAAAAAAATTACTGTTTGTGACGGAGGAAACAAGTGTCGACAAACATAACATTGCGTGCGAATCAACTGTCTCGTCGTTACTTAACATAGACATCAATTTGCTAAATAACACAATGGAGAAGAAAACAAACGATGTTAGCGTGATGATAAAACATCCGAATGGAGATGTTATTATGCGACATGTGAAAGATCCGAACGCAAGGTCTATTGTTCGAAATATTGCATTGTGTAACTGGAAGTCAGCAGCGTTTTCGATAATGAAGTGTGAAGGTTTGATCGATCAATTGTTAAACGCACTGAACAAAAAAATTGCGAATGAGTTTAAAACTTTTAGCAAGCTTGATTCCATCCTAAAAGGTCGTACGCCAGAGGAATTAGTCGCATTCTCTAATAAATTGCTATTAGAAGAAGTGAGGGTTCACATCCCGTTTTGGAATGCGTGTGTTAAAGGCAGCGTAGGAGTAAGCGTGGATAAAAAAGCCGAAAAACAATGTAACGCTATTGCTTTAGCTACGTCTGTCCTGGCCCGGTGTCGAAATGCCGAAATGTCTGCTATTGCCTACAGGTTTTCCACCATTTTTTTTCATAGCGGCGTAAGCTACGAAGATATTATACGCCTGAATCGTTTGGGAGTATGCATGTCGCATTCTCGCATGTTGAATCTTCAAAGACAGATGGGGAAATTTTTCGACGCAAAGGTACTAATATGGAAAAATGACGCTGAGAAAAAACTTACAGCTCTACGCTTTCTGGAGGATCTCAGTTGTAACCAGCTTGCTCGTGATGATGATGACATGAATGTAGATAAAGAGATTAATCTCGACGTTGAATCAGTACAACAGTACAAGTACTTCAGTACGGATGCGCACGAACGTTGCGTTGAGATAATGGATGAAACGAAGCGACAGTTAGGAGAGTCTCTTAATACAGATGATGTCCTTTTCTCAGCCATTCAAAATTTAAAGGGATATGACATACCTTATTACAAGTAAGCGAGCGTTCTATTGTTTAATTAGCGATAATACGTTCATGTTTAGTACGTTTTGCATTGCTATTTATAGCTGTTAACATCACATAGTCATAGCCTCAACGTTGCAAATAAATCCTGTATATAATAAATATGATTATATTCGTTCGTTACATAAAATGTATCACTTTAGAGAAGATTGCCGCTTTTTCAGAATTAAATGCAGCAGATGATACACTGTCAGGAAATCCTGAAATATCAATGCCGGAACGGTAGCTTGAAATAAACACGTAAATATGCACTGTAATTGGTATGTGTCTATTTCAGTACAGGTAATAAAATAAATCGATTTGAAAGAGAGAAGATAAAAATTGTTCTATGTGCAAAAATAATAACTTCATTGAAATACACGCTACGATTTTACGTATACTAACAAATTAAATTAGAATTACATTGTAAATACCAGAGTCAATGTAATACTTTAATTGTAACAGTGTTACGCCCAATATTTACTTTATTTACTTTACACATTTCTAGAATTGTCGGTGATAACATAGACTTTGAAGTCAGAGCAAGAGTCCAAGATAAAGAACACGGAAACCGTAGCATTCACTGGACACATCAATTCGCAATTAAAGATAAAGTAGTCGACAAACAACTCGACTCAAAGAAAAGCAAACTACCTGCGAAACAACTTCAGCTTGCGGAATTGCTACCGACGAAGTCTGTAATGGACAGGCTTAAATCACGATTTGCTGTTTTAGCAAGCCATGTGCTTGTTAAATACATCGAGAAGTTGAAGTGTCTGAAATCGTGTACTATTAAGCACATTAAACATGCTTATTCTAAAGAAATGAAGGCAAAATCCGAAACGGTTAGTGAAATGACTGCATGTAAAAATAACGTGTGCATTACAAGTACTAGATAAAACATGAGCAGCCGATCTGTATCTGATATACAAACTCGAGCCGAAGGCGAGAGTTTGTATATCAGATACAGATCGGATGCGAATGTTTTATCGTACTTAAGAATTAAATGACCCATCTTATGAGTTAATTGGCGAAGTAATTTTAAAAATAAACATTGTCTAAGCCGAGAAAATCAAAGCTGAAGTTTATGTAAATCAGGACAAATCTTTATCCGATTTACAAACATTGATTAAACATTCATTTCTTTTGTATTTTCCTCGTGAATTATTAATGAATTTTTTAACTATACATCTAAATCAACCTATCGTGGAATCATATTTTATATTTTGGAATTTGTAGTTTCAGACCTGCCATCTCTCACGATTTTGTCCAGAAATCTCACGACTTTTGGCAAAATTTGTTAAAAACCATAACTGATAGATTATTAGTTTTTACATACGAAAAAGACATATTTTCATTATATGTGCGAGTTGCATGACGGTAAAATCGACTTTTGAGCTTTCACATGGCTTTTTACTACATTTAGTTTTCTCGTAGTTTTTTTGTGCAGATACGTTATTTTTCTAACTTAGATTACTAAAGCAATAATAGTGACTACGATTTATTTTATAGACTTTGAAATTAAACAAGGCATACCCAGGCCATAAAATAAGAAAACCTGAAAATTTCTTGATCTCGCAATTTTAACTTAAGAATTTATTTTTGTATATAGTTGCCTGTATGTTATTTTTTTTTTTGCAAAATAATAATAATAATAATAATAATAATATTTATTCAGGAAGCTCCACTCACCGGAGTGTTTTTCAGGGAGGTCCTGTAATATATATCTACATTATACATGGTATACTAGTGTAAATAAATGTTATGTTATGTTATGTTATATTTTAAAAGGCATCCCACGATTCTGTCACTCAGGGGTTGGCAGGTCTGTAGTTTGGATTTACATAAATATTATTTGATTTTAAAATTATATATTTTTATGTTTATAACTATATATGTTTACATGTATAATGAAATGCAACATGTGGTGAACATGTTTTTGGTATTGTAATTATTTACAGTGTTGCCTTGGCATGGAGTTCAAAAACCCCAATGTGGCAGGAGAGATGGCCCAGATGATGATTACAAATCAAGATCGATATGTTCCATCAATGGTCACTAGCAGCTGCAAGAAAGAAGTATTGGCTCCTGTTGGATTCCAAGGTGACCAACTATTTGAAGAACGGGCCCGAAATGTCCAGTGGACATTTCGAGTTGGGAACAGTGATCATGAACGTTTGGAAGGACTAAGCACAGAGTTCGCAGACTGGCATGCAAAGGTTACCCTCTACAAGGTATGATAAGCTGTTAAGAACAGGCAGTTTCCAGTATTACCTAATCTGAATAACACTATACATGAAGAAAATACCCATAATCCTATATTTGGCTCTGTTTAGTTGCGCTGACACTTTACAGTAAGCATCTCCAAAATGAATGTGTATTGTGTATTTGTTAACTTTGAATATTCAACAACAAAGAATATTTAGTGTTGACAATATCTGTGTTGCTATGGCAACAAGGGAAAGGCATAAACTCTGATAATTTGTGCATAGATTTGGCTGTAACTAAAAGAAAATTGGTGACCCATCTTTTTTATTTCATGTATCAAAAGAGCCTGGTATTCTTTAATTCTTGATGACAATTAAAAGGTGTCCTATTAAAAGCTGTTTTAACGGCTGTGCCACCTCATGAAATGTGCTAGCCTGCAAAGCTTCTGCCCGATTTCTTTACATTTTTTGTTTTGATTTGTTTATTTTCAGTAATTTACAGTTTTTAATTGATTAACCATTAAGCGGCATTGCGCCCTACTTTGGTTTTTACTCTGTCTAACGCCAGATGATTTTACTTGTCAAGGGGATATTAATAACCCTAATGGGTTAATAAAAGAGATAACACTGCATGTTTTTACTCTGCATAATTTATAACTATTATGCAGCAAGACTCACCAACAATTAAATTTGTCTGGCATTAGACAGAGTATATGAGTATAAACACAGAGGTATAACTGGATGTGGGCATGGAGCAATTGCCCCCCATTTGTCTGAACTGGTGTTGTGAAAAGTTCAAATCTGGCAAGATAAAATTCAAGGGAGAATTTTTTTTTGAGAAATTGGTTTCAAAATGCTTAATTATTCCTCCCTCCCAAACAAATGAACCTGCCCCAGTTAAAACTAAGTAATATATAGCTAAGTGCTGAATTAATCAGTGTAATGTGAGCCCTTGGAGTATAAATGAAAACTAATTGATTCTAAACAAGAATGACATATATTTTCTTTTGAATAAAAAATATAATTTTAACTTTATTAGAATGAATTTGACATGTTTGTAAAGCATGGGTCAGCTTGTGAAGTGGGCACAACAAGAGCAAGCATGAATCGGACGCACAAAACAAATGCTGCTAAGGGAATTGATCATTCATACAACGAGTACAAAGAATTTCACACCAGAGAGGTTGAGGGGCATATTTGTGCAGCTTTTATGGAAATGGCTAAAATGACCACATTAACAGGTAATGTATGTGCTTTCTTTGAATAGATTATAATAAATAAAATCAAACATTCCATTTGACTGATTCATTAAATACAAGTCATGTTTATTAGCTGTTAATTTTTTAATTATATAAAGATCAACCTGCACTGGATCAGGATATGCCACCAATGTCATCACCCTCCTGTGTTAAAAGTAAATGGCTTACTGATGCATGTGAAAAGCTGATTGACAATTGCATTTCCTTGTCTGGGGATATTACAAGACTAGTGAATCAGACGATTGATTTTGGTCAGATCTCACAAGGACCATTTGCTTGCAGACATGCTGGTTGCAAATGTGAATATGTTTATCATTCTGGAAGAGTCAAGTAAGAAAATATATATATTCTATTTATTAACCCATTAAGGGCCAGCGCTTTCCCCTTGACAAGTAAAATCGTCTGGAGACAGAGTATAAACTTCAGTAGGGTGCATCAGGGTGCATTACCACTTAATTGGTTAACCGGACCTTAAGTAGATGTAGCTTCCACATTAGCCTGTTTACATTAATGGCTGGACAACTTTGCAGGTTACCATATTTTGTGCACATGCAAATATTTTTCTTTGTTCTTAACCCATTAAGCAGCAATGTGCCTGATGGCCCTTACTTTGATTTTTACTCTGTCTAACACCTGAGACAATTGTACTTGTCAAGGGGAGACCGCTGGCCCTTAATGGGTTAAACACAACCATATATGTCTATATACATACCCTTCTGTGTATGAAATGTGAGGAAATACCATTAACCTGTGCATGGAAATGAGGCTATTTGGGAAAATCCAATGAATTATTAGGTCAGCTGTAGTGCACATATACCCTATTGCCACGCATATAAGTGCAGCACCTATAAGGGAAATCCATATATATATATATATATATATATATATATATATATATATATATATATATATATATATATATATATATATATATATATATATATATATATATATATATACACTTGGAAAAAGTAATATTTTTACTTTCTAGACATGAAATTGACATACATGGGGTGCATTATAACACAATTAGTCAGGGTTCTGAAAAGGATGATTATGGCTACGACGTGTGCCAGTATGGTTGCGGTTATGTATACAGCACAAAGTCATCTCGAAACAAGTAAGTTGAAATTATCAGGTAGAGTGTAACATACTGAAAACTGCATATCAACTGCAGCTACACTAGTAACAGGCTAAGTTTTACAACTCGCAGCTTAGGTTTGCTGCCCAACTTATGACATTTTTACGAGGCACCACAAGGTGCCTGGCACTGAGCAAGAAAAGTTGAGAAAATTCACATCATTGGAATCTGCCTTTTACAATATCTAAATTGCAAATATAAACTAAATAACTTGCAGATCAGGAAATTCAAATGTTTCCAAAATGGTCCATAAGAAAGATGGAAAAAAACTGATTAACACTAATTTTTACACAATTTACAGACAATTTTCCATAAAATGGAAAATCACACAATCACGCTTGGCACGTCCTTGTACTGTACATATAATTGAATTAAAATATAGTGTTTCTATACATTAATTTTTGTTACTTTTATATATCTGTAGGCACTACAAGTTGACCCATGCTTCACACTCAAGAGTTGAGGAGACTACACCAACTGTACCTGTCAATCAACCTCAGGAAACATTACAGGACTACCTATTTAACTATCACAACACTAAACTGTTGTATGGCTTAGTATTGATGGAGTTTAGCAGCAGTATTGAAGAAGGTGATGGTGATAGGCTGTTTGATTTATATAAGTTATGCCTTTTACTATACAAGAGTGGAGGAAATACCAAATATAGTTATGTTGTTCTACTACACTTGGTAAAAATAGAATGCTTGTTGTCACCATTTGAAGCTCATTGGCTCAAGTGGAATCGCTTTTATAATAAAAACGGAGGAAATGGAAAGAACATTCCACTTGATCTGAGGAAAGAACAACTAAATAAAGTGCTCAAGACAATGTGGAGAGCCCTAGGCTCAAACATTGATGAAACAAATGCATCTCGTGTTGCAAAAACACTTGAGATGATGGACCAGATGATCGAGTCCATTGATAAGGATTGCAATTATGGTCAAAGGCAAGGTCGTAGAAATATCAAGAGCGAAGAAGCTGCTGTTTTGCAGATCTCTTCAGATTTAATGGAAAAACAGGTATTTAAATTAACTCCAGGAAGAAAAGGACATGCATCTTTTCCAACATTTAGTGGGAATCTCTTTGAAGGGATGGATTACAAAGATTTGCACAAGTGGATGAAACAGCATGTTGAGTTGTGGGCATCAATATATGAGAAATGAACTTTTACATTTTTACATCATATTATATGATTAATTTAACCCATTAAGCTCCAAAGCTTCCCCATTGACAAGTAAAATCGTCTGGCGTTTGTCAAAAAAAAAAGTAGGGCGCACTGGGGCTTAATGGGTTAAGCTAATTAAGAAATTTGAATACAGTAAAACCCTGAATATATAACCTATAGATTTAAAGAACTTATTAGGCTAAAATTCTGTATCTACAGGTAGACCCTTCTTAAATAAGAAAAACATTTAAGCTAGCATTTTATTGCAGGCTCTTATCATTCTTAGAGTTGGAATTAACATTGATAAAGTATGTAAAAAAGTGCCTACAAAGTAATGAGTAGAGTTGGTATATTATGAAATGTGCATTCTGTCATTTATGCATAAGAGAAACCTTTTGAAGGACTTGTGTAGCTTAATTTCATGTTAAGTACCAATTACATAAGACATAAGTCGAGGTTCTCATATATGAGGTTTTACTGTAAGATTAAATATTTTAAATATTTGTAATTAAGCCTTGACACCTAAGGGTTAAAGACATAAGAGTCTCATGCATGCAATTGTCTAAGCTGGTAAACAGCCAATATAATTAGCTATTATCACTGTCATTAATCTCTGAGTCAGATGATGATGAATTAATACTACTATCCAATCCAACTGCAGAGAATGGAGTGAGATCGAGTAAGTCGTCGATGATTTCCAATTCTTCAAATGAAGGAAGTAATGAAATATCACCAAACAGTTCATTGAAAATCTCCAGGATTTTTAGAGCACGTCGCATTGTAAATATTGGATAATTTGTTATAATATCCTTGACGGTAAAAATTGTATGGCAACTTTCAACAATTTCATCAACTACTTGAGTGTAAAATTTTACCTCAACCTCATCACTTGTATTTACTATTGTCCAAAATAATTCCATTAATGAATCTCTTACATCTTGCCTATCTTCCAAGGAAACACTTCGCACAACATGGGGGTGATCTGAATTATTACCATCTGCAGTAGATTCAAATGGCAAGTCAGTTGTAGAACTATGCTGACACATGTCACAGGAACAAAGATTCGTGCAATTTGAACAACAATTATGCTGTGGCGTTAATGATTCTACTTGCTTGTCAAATGGCAGTAAGCTGGCAACTCTATAACAGGCGGTTGATTTTACAAAGTCCTTCACATCATCCTCACAGTGACTGAGTTGCTGACCAAAGAAATAAGTGATGGCATAGGACTGCTTACCATCCCTTCCAGCTCTTCCAATTTCTTGATGGTAATCCAATAAAGATCTTGGTGGACCCCAATTTATAACATAGCGAATATCGGGAAAGTTCACTCCCATACTGAGTGCAGTAGTGGCAATAACAATTCTCTTAGTTGACACTTGTTCAGTACCCTTCATCGCTTTTACAATTCTGTCTTTTTGAGAATCCCAAGTAGTGGAATGGTAAATACCAATAAGGCAGTTATCAGCTGTCTTAACGTTTGTTGGACGAAATGCATTATCAGCCAGGTTGAGAAGAATGTAATTGCTTACGGTTGCAACGTCATTCATAGTATTGCAAAAAATTAGCGTTTTAGGAGTATCCAAACCGTTATTACATACAAGTTCTATCAACCAATTAAGATGAGAGAGCATACTTATATTTGAACACTTGAACACTGACATCCGGATATTTTGACGATTTGGACTCACACGAATATCTGTCTGTTCTTTAAGAGACAAACTTGAAACAATTGCTTGCATCGTTGCTTTATCAGCTGTGCCAGTCAATGCCAAAACTGGTGTTCCTTAATATAATTTACAAAACAATGTATTGATTTCTTATTGTCTACAAGTACATACATGGTACATACAGTTGTACTGTATGTCAATGAGGCAAGTCAAAATTGATCAGCATACCCACTTAGTAATGTATACAGCACAAAGAGATTCACACTAAGTTTTGGGTATTGCTATAAATAATAAAAAACAAATATATGTAATACTATATTAACCTATTAACTGGCAATGTACCCTTAAATCTTACTCTGTCTATTATCCCAGAAGAGGAGAATTTGCAAGTTAACATAATACTGTAATAGTACATGTTTTAATGATAGTAACAAAGAGAAATGTTTTACAGGAATACCATTCATTGTATAGTACATCTTATTATAGTTTAGGGAGTGGTCATTATTTATGGGGAGGGGGGGGGTTGGGAAATGGGGAAAATAAGGATTGAAAACTTTTTTGACCCCCCCCCTCCAGACTGAAGGCAAACTTTTTGTGCCTCCCCCCTCATAAAAGTAGAAACTTTTCTGACCCCCCCCCCAGTGTGGATTGAAAAATTAACAGCAATGAAACAGGTGTGCGTTGCAGGTAAAGTTACATATTAGGACAATCTGTTTAATCTAGCTCATGATGTTTTACCCTGGTGAATATGATTCAACCATATATGATTAAAAAATATATATTATGTGTTACTACTTTGCAATGCAACATTTGTCCTACCATAACCCTAACCCATGACCCGTCTTCATACAGCGAAATGATTTGAACACAGGGTTTTTTTAAGAACTTGTCTGGGGGGGTGGGCATCTACAAAAAGGGACCATACTATATTGAGTGTGGAGAGATGACAGATGTGGTATCGTATGTACTAGTAGGGGGGTCTGGGGGTATTCTCCCCCAGAAAATTTTTTGTATTTTTCCACCCCTAGAACTGAAATGTGAGCATTTTCTGAAACAGATTTTTGGATATACAGCGTTACATTGTGTGTTGATAGACCGAATCTGATCAGTTAAATGTACTTGCATGGTATGTTTATGTAAATACCACAACTGGGTCACTCAGGGGGTAGAAAGCTTGTTAAACTTAGTGGGCTCAACGGTCGCGAGGTGCCACCATGGAGTGGCGCCGAGCAGGGAAATTTTGAAAATTTTGAGTCTCTAGATCGTTGGAAATAGCATTTTCAGAGTTTCTTTTTTGCTATTTGTGATTATAGAAATCAAAAACTTTTATGACCCCCCCTTTATCTGTGTTAAAACTTTTTTGACCCTCCTATTTATAAGGGTAAAACTTCGTTTGCCCCCCCCCTCCCATTTCCCAACCCCCCCTCCCTCCCCATAAATAATGACCACTCCCTTACCTTCTTTGCACAATGATCTAAGTACAGAAAGTTCTCCAAAAGCTTCACGAAATGGTTTTACAGAACCTTTCTTCTTCTTTTTTCTTCTCGATTTGTCTCTATAAATAGATTATTGCTAACATTTAGAAAGGATAATTTATTAAGTGACCCTGAAACAACATTGTATAGAAATCTAGAGTGACATATTACTTTTCAAACTCTCTATTAAGTCCCCCAGGGGACTTATGCTTAATCATTTCAGGTCCTATGGAAGGGGGGGGGGGCTTATTACAGAGGAGGGTTTATTTGATGGAGGGGGTTATTTAGTTACCCACAAAATCTTAGATAATTCTCTGCAAAACCGAACAAAATGCACCATGGAGAATAAATATTTTGTGGTGTTCGTGTTCCACAAAACAAGATATGATTACATTATATAAATATTCAAATGATTTTTATATCAAAATGATATACCTCGTAGAAGTCCAAGTTTCGACGGTATGCGACTCGTCGATAACCAGCAACTCAATACTTTCATTCACAATGGGATTATCCTTAAGAAGGTTCCGAAATGTGGGCGACAATACGTCTTCCGCACTGGCAAACATAAGTTGTTTTGGACGTAACGTTGAAGTTTCTTCTTCTAGAAAGTCCTTTAATCGACAGGCAGTGATACCGAGATATTTTGCTTCCTTTATTTGGTCATCGACGATACTTAAGAGCGGGCAAATAATGAGGGCAGAAGCACACACACTCCCTTGATGTACTCTCTGTTTTGCCTTGGCTAGAACAAAGTATTGATAAATCAAACTTTTCCCGAATCCAGTCGGAAGCACTGCTAAAACATCCTTTTTTAGCAACAGATCAATGAGGGCTTTTTTCTGTTCACGTTTCAACAAAATCCTACCATGCAAGTCTGAAGAAACCTGATCAATTGTATCTTCGAACACTTCAACTCCTTCGGCAGTCGCCATTTTTTATTACTCTGCATTATATATTGGCGGGAAATAGGATATTAATATGGTTAATTAATTACCGATCGCCTCAGCTAGCCAATGGGAATTTAGCCGGCGGTTCGGCCGGCGAAAATCGAAAACATGGGGTGATGGTTGCAGGCTGTCCCTCATCCTCAGACAGCCTGTACGCAGGCTAAGTTGCTACCAGTACTAACATCTATTATTAATAACGGTTTGTCATCAGGAATATTTCCTAATAACATAACATAACATAACATATTTATTATCACTCAATAGTCATTACAGATCAAAATTAAAAAGAATACAAATTGTTATATTGGAAAGAGTGAAGGCCATCTGAAATAACCATATGGATCTGACATTATAAGGATCAATGTTGTTGATCAAATTCAGTTTTCTTGATACTTTTTTCGGCTTTGATTGGTTAGAGTCTGAAGATATTTTCGATTCAATGGGACACACATAGCACTGCCACTGGTTAACGCTGCCATGTTTTGTTTATGCACGGCTGCCTGCTGTCATGGCGGCAAATTTAAATTTGTTGCAATAGTCACATGACCATGCAAAGCCTGTATAGGATCTGGAAGCTCTACAGAATAAGGCAATTGAATATTCTATAGGATCGCAAGTTTCATAGAATATTCTATAGGATATAGAATACCCCGGAATTTAAATTTATTGAATTAAATGACAGTATTAATAGGAATTTTCGCCATCCTGAATTTTTGCCCCAAAATCTGATGTAAGATATTGAAAGTATATTTCTATATCCATGTCCAAATGCTTTCCATATGCTCATGAATAGTGCTAGATCCTTACAGGCACTTTCACTGTCAACTCGAATCTCACATGTTACAAGAAAATTCGTTTTTGAAAGTGATAGTTGATACACTATGGTTTTTGGATGGCAAGCCTCACAGTGCCCTGGAAGGTAATCTCCAATTGGATGGGGGTTTTCTAAAGAACGAAGCAATTCATTGTTGTAAACACAAAAGCAATTGTCAAATGGAGCCAATGACAATCACTCTTCTTGGATGGTCATCACCACGTTTTATTTTAGCTTTTAGAGGTCACAAAATCCCTGAATTGGTAAAACATTTTACCAGGTATAACAACCCTGGAAGTTTCTAAGCACAGAAAGCGAAACCTGCAAAATCTACCTGAAATTATGCTTCGGGAATTATCCAATTGTCTATTTACACACTTGCAAGATACCTTCTGGGAAAGTGGTTGGAAAATTTCCAATCAGATATAATCTCTAGCTACCTCAATGTCCGCCTCAATTTTGCTGTTTACTTAAAGGAACAGAATAAGAAAACAAAACATTTCCAGTCGTTTATAACAGAACTGGTGCATTTCTGATAACCTAGATTTCCGATTTCTTTTTCAGTGTAAGCTACCCCCCCCCCCCTCTTTTCATTGAACTGGAATCACTCCTATGTGAGAAAGATAATTTTCAGTTTATAATCAGAGTTGTAAAATCTGTTAAAAATATGGCTTCATCAAATAGCAATATACTAGAGAATATATAAACGTAACTGATTCTGGAAGCATAAAATTAAAAAGAGACCAGTATATCTCGAGGACTATGTGACTGAATCCTGATACAAGCTTAAAAAAAATACGTTTATGTTGAACTCTGAAGGAAGGAGATGTTATGGGGTGCACCCAGGAGCCTGGGACATAATTGCCCCTTAAAATGAACACGGACACCCTGAACTACAATGTTTTGGTTAGGACTTGATATTCGAAAGAAACACCATAGAACATATTGTCATTGATCTAGTTTCATGAAATAAAAAAGTTTTTACTTGTTTATTCATAACATAACAAAAATCAAACATCTGGAAAATTACCACAAGAAAATATAATGCCAGCATGCACTTTATCATGATGTAAAGTCACTCTATGTGACATATTATGGCTGACATGATTAGCCACAAGGTTTATGAATTATTAATGATATTTTAGCCTGTGTACAGCCATTACTCTCGACGAAGTGTGTGAGAGAATGTCTGTGAGTTGGATGCATAATCCTTGTTCAGGTCATGTGGATAGTTCCCATATTTGGGGACTGGCCTTTGATTGGACAGTGCTTTATTTGAATAATTTATGACAAATGAAGCTATTTCATTGGTTAATTCATAATTAGCATGCATTTAAATAACGCAAAAGTTTTAAAATTCCAGATCAAGAATCAAGATTTCTTTTGGGGCATACAAAGGTTTCAAATTTTTTAATTTGTGCTGTATTGAAGTTTAAGAAAATCAAGATAAAATTCTAGTGTTTGGATACTCAGCGAACAGTGCTTATAAATATATAAAATACAACAAACTATCGGATGGAAATTGACAATTGATAATTGACAATGTAATAAATTGACAATCTGTTTATATGTCCTGACCCCTCGCGATAAAGCATTTTCTTTGCATGTGTTTAACTTCGTCTTACTTGGCTAGTTAACTTTTAGTTACTTTAAAATGCACCTTTTGAATAACCAGTTGTGTTTATATTTAATACTTTGTCATTGTAAACAAATATACACCATATATATGTGCACCAAGAACTGAGCAGCTTGTAAACCGGACTTGCCGGCAATGATTATTCAGCATTGTTCAGACACAAAACAAATCTCTTCATCAAGAAATATATGCAATATATTTCTGGTGTATTGTTTTCACATTGTATTTCAAGTCTTTCAAAACCTTTCAATGCCTCAAAGGAATTCTTGATCTGGAATTTTAAATTTTTTGTGTTGTTATTTTAAATGCATCCTAATTACCAATTAACCAATGAAATAGCTTCATTTGTCATAAATTATTCAAATAAGGCACTGTCCAATCGGAGGCCGGTCCCCAAATCTGGGAACTATCTGTGTGAACTGAACAAGGATTATGCATCCAACTCACAGACATTCTCTTGCGTGCTTCGTCTAGAGTAATGGATGTACACACGCTATGATATTTTAAAGTAATTTTTAAAAACCCAACAAATTTTCTATCCATTAACTGAAAATACGATTAAAAGCTTTAAAATTTATTCTGCAAATCATTCATAATTTGTTGGGGAAAAAACACGCTCTCATTTACAAAATTTGAGTTCGAGTATTTTTTCATTATTCTACATTATGGGTACTCAAGGAATCTATATATAACAAAAACGTGATATCACACATGATATCTCTTCTCCAGACGAACTCCTCATTCGAGAAAGTCTTCTCATTAACAAACTCAAACCCTCTCTCAACTTACAGGGCAGCTCGGTCCCTTTATTTCTACTCTGATCCATTCCTCTTTCTACCTTTGTAATATAATATCTTGTAAATAGTTGTAATTTATTCATATTTCTTTGTTTTCCGCTTTGTATGTCATTGCTCTGAAGATGTCTTAAGTTAAAGACGAAACGTTAGCTTTCTAATAAATATTTTAAACTATATTTTTGTTATGGCTCTTTTACGTGTTTTATGCTGGGCATTAATATTTATCCTAAGATTGATATCACAAGCTGTTTTTTATACACCCTGTGGAGTCGAGGTTGTACGAAGTCTAGTCTTATTACAAGCACAGTATGGCAATGTTTGTACCAAGGAAATCCGACAGAACATGGGTGACAAACATACTTTTAAGCTTTTACCGAAAGCAAGGTTATCTCATTTCATGATGTCATTGTCTATATAAAACAGTAGGCTAAGCAACAGAGATCTTAGTAAAATGTATTTCTTGAAATGTATTTACTAAAACAACCTTATGTTCATCAAGTTAACTCCCTGGCAAAAGAGGCTGTGGCAGCGGCTTAACTTGAAGGGCTGAACTTGGAAAATACCTACCCTATATTCGGCAAGTTTAATTATTTTTATCCCTCAAGTTTTAACAAGTTTTCGAGCATTTCAGACACTCAGTTAATTATTCAGACTCTGACTGTTGGTATATTGACAATTAACCAAAACACTAGAACCTTATGGGAAGACATTAGTTGGAACATTTTCTGCAAGACGTCAACCGAATTTGAAGAAGCTGGACGAACAAGGAAATCTTGTCAATGTTCAAGAGTCAGAGTTGCAAGCATTCCAATCTTTTGAAAGATTTGGTTGACGACTTTGATGAAGCTGTGTATATCATCAATGAGAAGTTGCAGATAAAGGAAAATAGGAAATATGTATGTATATGTTGTGCTAGTGTTCACTCTGTAATATGATAAGGAGAAAATGTTCTTGAGTGAGTATTTCATAATTTGCAGACCGAACGTAAGCAGAAAACTTTACCTGCCATGTGCAGCAGGGTTTCGAACCTATGATATATACAAGTAATGGTTTAAGTTTTAAGAATCTTTAACCTTAAAAATTGAGTGCACAAGGTATGATGGGTATTGCTTTGGATATTGGTATTGCATAATATTGGACATTAGCTTAGTGAACCAAATAGCCCTACATCAAAAGTGTTCATTATTTATGATGTAGCATTGTTGCAAAGCAAATTAAGTCTCTAAATAGGAAGTTGCCCATCATACCTTGCACGTTGAATGTTTAAAGTTTAAGATTTTTGAAAGACAACCTTTTTTGAATTAGCTGTATTTGTAAATATAGATTACTATAGTGTGAATGATCAATAACCTAGGTGTGTTGAAGGATAACTACAATAAGAGCTATGATGTTGATTGTTTTTTATGGTTTTTCATTTTTAATATATGTACAGTTGATGATGATCTGAATACTAAGTTGAGATTTTTTAAAAATGCAGGTCATGTCAATATTACACAATGTGAAATACTAAAAATTTTAAAGATGAATTCCAGTCGAATTCGCGCATGCGCGTATTATCGTTGTTTACGTACCCCGTAAACAAACCAAATCACTATATATTACATAAAGTATATGGAGGAACGAAATTGAATACTTAATAAGTCTTGAAAATAAACAAGGAGCGAACAATATATCAGCCACAGCAATATGGCGGAAAGTGGTGAGAATAGTTCTACGGCAGATACTTTAAATGTTCCTACCGTTCCTACTAATATTGAAGAAAGAGTAAGATCATACGAGGCGCAAAGAACAAAATCAAGGATCAATATATTTGAACAATTCGGTGCTTGGAGGCAAATACGAGATGAACTGAAGATACAAACCGACAAACAACTTGCAAAGTTTTTTATTGAAAACCATTTATCCAGACAAAATGTTTTTCTATGGTAAGAGGAGAAATGTTTCCAAACTTTTTTTAATATTGTCATTATATACATAGTGTTTCTTTCATTTTAACAGCGATGTAGAAACACAAACAGAGTCAACAGACCAAGCAGATGAGACCGATGAAGAGATCCTTCGAAACACATCCAGCTTGAGTTTGAAAATGCCTTTTGTCCCAGATATTTCAATAGACACTTCCTTAGAGCCGATCACAAACAGACAGCCTTGTAAGTGGGTTTCTATATCGCTGATTTTTATATCGTTTATATTTATATTAAACTCACGATTGTGTTTTTTTTATTAAACTAGCGTTTTTCCCCCCTGATTTTATACTGTAGTGATGATGTCCACTCCTATAAAGGCAGTGTCAGGAGACAAATTTGGTTCTGGACATGAACTATTATTTGATGCTGAAAATGAACCTTGTATTAAAAGGCAGCGGCTTTCAGACTCCACTATAACTGCACCCAGTCAGTCAAGGTATGAACTATGAGATACAATTGTGTTCACCCTGTACTATTAATAGCAAAAATGGAACCCATCTGTTAAAGAGCTCTTGAGAAATTGAGTATAAGGGGTTTGCCCTTGATTTCTTTTAAAAGGAATGCTCTACTAGGCTGTACTTATTAACCATTTTCTGTACCTCATTCAGTATATAAAATGTCATACAAATTCTATTTATGTCATGCATGTAGATTACAGGACATTGAAGATGAAGCCACTCTAACTGCCGAAAGTGAATCGGATTCAGATGATGAGATATTCATGGATGATCATGATGCACACATTACATCTTTGACTGGTCACAATAGTATGCAAGATTTCTTGTCCATGTAGGTATTTTTAAACTGACCAACTGTGTATTAACCCATCAAGCTACATATAGCTTTCCCACTGACAAGTAAAATCATCTGGCGCTAGACAAGTAAAAAAGAATAAGTAGGGTGCATTGCGGCTCAATGGGTTAACTAGAGACATTTGGGTTAACTAAAGATCTCAATGGGTTAACTAGAGATTTTTTGGCTAACCCGCTGACGAGTGAAATTGTCTGGTGTTAGACAAGTAAAAAAAGATTGGCTCTCTGGGACGCATTGCGGCTTAATTTGTTAATATGCCAATTTATCGTATAATTTTTGCATGCATGCCATTATTGCATTACTGTACTACTACGTAGTACTGTCTCCTTGAGAGGTAAGAGTAAAATACTTACTGTAAGTAGGGCACGTTGTCATGTTATATTTTATAGTAAACCTCGGCATCATCAGTCTATTTGGCCATATTTTTGCTCAACATCTGAATTAAGTACATACAGTTTGATACCAACAATTTTAACCCCTAAGCAGTATGTATCACACACCGTAGTCTAACCAATAAGCTGCATTAGAGTAACAATACTTTGACTGTTTAATTTTATTCTAATCACCAGTTGAGTTACCTGGGTATCAAATGGTGAACACTGGGGGGAAAGGAGTTGCTTCATCTGAAAGAAAAATATTCATTTGCTGTTTTTAGACCAAGAAATGTTGACGATTTATACAAGACATACCCCGAAGACGAAGTGTTTGACACTCAAATAGATGGGGATGAAGATTCTGAAGACCCAGAACTAACATTGCTTGCAGATAAAGATCCTGAAATTGATTCAGAACCACCTGCGACCACTTTAAAATCCATTCCATTAGAGCTTATACAGATGGAGAAATGTATTGTATTCACAAACAAGATACAAGAACTGTTGCAAACAATACATGGTGTCTCTTGTTCAAAAAGTGGTTGTCCAAAGCAATGGATCTACACCAAGGTGTATGTTGGAAGCTGTTTGGTTATCAGTTGGAAATGTTCTTCTGGACATTTTGGTGGGAGCTGGTCCTCACAGCCAATGTTTAATAGAGCAAGAGCTGGAAATTTGTTGCTTTCCTCCTGTCTTCTGTTGACAGGAAATTCCTTCGCAAAAATTGCATTGTTTTTTAAATTTCTCAATCTCAGGTTCATTTCAAAGAGCTTATTTTACCAGCATCAAGGACTTTATATTGCACCTACTGTTCAGAGCTATTGGGAAACAATGAAAGAAAGCCTATGGGAGGAGAGAAGTGGCAAAGAAGTCCTTCTAAGTGGTGATGCAAGAAATGACTCACCAGGCCATTGTGCCCAATATTGTACATACACATTAGCGGACATGGACGATAAGGTGATTTTACAGCAAAATGTGCTTGACGTTCGGGAAGTGGAAGGACGGAAAAGTACGAATATGGAACGGTTAGGATTTGAACGGGGTATGGATGTGTTGATGAGTACAAATATTGACATAAAGGAAGTCATCACTGATGCCCATACTGGAATTGGTGGTTTGATGAGTAAGTTATTAATTTTTCATGTACAAAATGTAATTTAGTATATAATTATATAATTCATGATGCAAAAAGGTGCAAACAAATGTGACATGGCAGCTGTAAGTTTTTTGTAACCAATTTCAAAAGCAATAGACATTTTGTTGTCATAAATAGTACAATTAGTGTGCATGTGCATGGTAGCTAGGCTGAACTTACTTGTACAGTGTATATTGCAGCTTGCTTGTAAAAGAGTCTGTCATTGTCTCAATAACCTACTGTATAGTAATTGTCTGGACATTTGCGTAATTACATGTAATGCTTAAAAATCATACAAATAATTTGAGTAGTAATCATAGGTAGTCTAGGTTTAGTATATAGATATGTGCTGGATACTTTTTTGTCGGATACGATATAGTACTGGATACTATTCTACTTGATACAGGTTAGGGGAAAATATAACCAGATACCGGACAATACCCGAATTCTAATGGTAGTACTTGGACAATACTTCACTATTTTGCCCCATAATACAGCTGTCCAATGTTTAAATTATGTGCCTAATTAACTAATATCTGAGAGCAGTTTACATCTCGAAAACAGTTCCTGCATTTCATGTATCCAGTAATTGTCCCTGATTCATAATTTCTTGACACACAAAAAAGCACAAAATTTTTTTTATTGGTTTCATGGTTGTAATAAAAGTTCCAGTGGCTGGGCTTTAATTTTCATTTTTAAATTACGCTTTCTACCCGGTGTATCAATCGCTGCTGTTTTAAAAGTTCCAGTATTTAAATATATTTGAAGCGAAACCAGGATTATTCATAATAAGTTTTTAGACGTTCTTTGGTTTTTAAATATTTATTATTACGAGCTTTCGACTGCCAGTCTGCAATCTTCAACGGATGGATTACAATGAGAGTGTGACAATTACAACGGTTTACAATTACATATAGATACAAAATGATAGAAATATGACAGTTACGCCTACATACATTATCCAGCCAAATTTTGCAAGACACCATATACTGTACTGCCGGACGTCTTTTTTTTTACCGGATACCAATCATCCATATCCGGCACATCGTGCTAATTTATATGGTTACTATGGTACTGCCAATAAATAGATTGACAAAACTATATTCCATTGTTTAATTCTGTCTGATGATGACTTTGAAATAAAGTCGAAAATTTACAGTCTCATACACACTTCTTGCTCTAATTCAATATATCTTGAATTTGAAGATGACCTTATTTTTCGGAATTTGTTTCTTTTTGTATTTTCCATGATTGTTTCTTGTTGACCCATTAGTTGCCAATAAGACTATATGTGCCCTACTTTAGTATTTTACATACTGTATCTAATACCTGACAATTTTACTAGTCAGTGGTATGGTGTTCATAGTAAATGGTTTAACAGCATTATAATACTGTATATCATATTTTGTATATTAAACAGGTCACTCTGACAAATATAAAGAAATTGTTCATCAAAGAGATGTTTGGCATGGGGGGAAGTCTGTTGGAAAGAAATTGACTAATGTAGGTTATTTATTATAACTTCCATTTTATCTGGTTTTACTTTCTTCTTGAATAATTTTCTGGCTGGTTCAAAAATGGGAAATGATTTTAACTCATTGAAAAAATATGATTTAAGTCTGACATGTATGACATGTATTGCACAGTGGGTGTCATATGTGTTAAAGGGATATATCAGGAAACATTTGGCAGACTGTTTGTTTGTTTGGTAACTCATTAACACACAAGGCCTTCCTAAACTTGTATGGTGTTAGATAAAGTAAAATGCTTTTCTTTGCCATGCTTTAGCATTTTATTCTAATGTCATACATTTTACTTGTCAACGAAAAGGTTTTGTTTGTTAATAATCGGTAAACGTTTTTTAAACAGACATAATGGTTTAATTATATCAGGTAGAAACAGTACAACAAAGTCGGCTCCTGTTCCTGCACTTATAGTACAAACACGAGGTACAGTAGGTACTGGTACGGTCATTAGTCTAATTAAGTTATCTCTATATTTTTTTGTAGACAGCATGTGAAAAGGGGAATGAGGACATTTTGCCATGGGTGACTGCTATAAAAAACCACTTTTGGTTTTGTAGTAGAAACTGTGGTGGAAATGTTGATGACTTCAAGGTACTGTACATGCCAGTACAGCATTTTGTTTTTATTACTTTTAGATAATCTACATGTATTATTGCAAATCAAGTGTTCTTTTAGGATTTGTGGTTAGCATTATTACATCATGTGGTAGATGAACACAGTTGGGTCTTAAATGATGGGAAGTCTTCTGGGAAATGTGGCCATGGTCCTCTCACAGATGATGATAGGCAAAAGCCTTGGTTATTAAAAAATAGCAAGGCACACAAGGCGTTGCAGAAAATTGTCCTCAGCAAGAGATTTCTAAATACATTTCGATATTATACAAGGTTTCGGTAAGAAAAAAGTGTTTTAATAGGTTTTATTTAAATTGTAATAAAAGCAAATCTCTTTACAATGTAAATGATTATTTTTTTCTATTTCAGGCACACAGGCTTCCTTGAATCCTATCACAATCATTTACTGATGTATTGCCCAAAACGTCAGTCCTATTCGTAAGTACATTTTAAGCAGCTATATAGTTAACGGAATACTCTTATCATCTGCGTACTTAATTTTTTGCTTAAAGTGCCTATGACATGAAATTTATTATTTTCTTAAATGAAAGAACTCTTTAAGCTGTAGTGTAACTTATATTTCAGTTTATTGTTTTTATGGTTTGTTCCGGAGATATTTCAATTTGTTTGACATGTAAATGAGTGTGAATATGTCCGCTAATTTATGACGTCACGTTGGTTGCAAGCTCCTCAAAATGGTTGAATATCACTGCTATCATCCAAGATGATAACTTCAAACTTCCCTCACTGGTAAATGTGATGAAACACTGGATAAAAACGTGAACTGATATTTTCAGTTTTTAGAGTTAATAGATTTATAGCCAGTGTAAGTTGAGCTTGCAACCAACGTGACGTCATAAATTAGCGGACATATGTAAATGGTTACATATCAAACAAATTGAAATATCTCGGGAACAAACCAAAAAAACAAGAAACTGAAATATAAGTTACACTACAGCTTAAAGAGTTCTTTCATTTAAGAAAATAATAAATTTCATGTCATAGGCACTTTAAGCCGGTTTTCATTAGGCGGAATTTTCAGTGCGGAGTGGAATTTTTCTTTATCTTTTCTAATTAGTTCCACCTGAGAAATCAAAAATCAAAGAAAATTTCCGCTCCGCGCGCAAAATTCCGCCTAGTGGAAAACCGGCTTTATACCATTTTATCTGTCCAAGCCCAAGTTATTCAAAACTGTAATTTAGTTAGAATATGTGCAAGTCTAGCACGACTGGGCATGATTGGACTGATATGATCACTGATCAGATAGAAATAAGAAATGTTAGAGTCGATCGTAGCCTGTGTCTCGAATTGTGTTCCTTGATATATAACACTAATACTAGTTTCGTGTTACTGAAGGAATCCCTTTCAGAAACCTGTACTTGATGTAATTCATTATAAAGTTAGGTACCCCTTACCAAACTGACATATATGTAAAATGTCTGCAAGTATCTGTCACATATCTGTTGCAGTACTGCAGCATAACTGCAACAAGGTCTACAATATCTGCAAAATATCTGCATAAAAGTTGCAGATATTTTGCAGATATGTTGAGTATCTGTCAACATATCTGCAAAATATCTGCATAAAAGTTGCAGATATTTGCAGATATGTCCATTGTCTGTCAAAATATCTGCAAACTATCTGCATAAATGTTGCAGATATTTGCAGATATGGTAATTGTCTGTCAAAATATCTGCAAACTATCTGCATAAAAGTTGCAGATATTTGCAGATATGTCAGTTGTCTGTCAAAATATCTGCAAAATATCTGCATAAAAATTGCAGATATATATAGATATGCCAATTGTCTGTCAATATACAGTATCTCGACTACACAGCAAAAAAATAATTTCTTATTGAGAAAACAATTCTTACTTCAAGAAAATATTTGTTGAAATGAGAAACTAATTTTCTTAATTAGAAAAATGATTCTTAAAATTAGAAGTATTTGATTTGCAAGACATTTTTTGAAATAAGAAAAATTCTCTTAACATATCTTAAATTACATTTGTTTTCTTGAAATATGAATGTTTTCTTACGATTTCATCATCTTCATATCAAATCATTTTCTTAAGATAATTTTTAAAACATGAAATCAAATTCTTAACATAAGAAATAATGGTTAATAACAAATTATTTCTTACTTAAATTTTCTCGAAGAATGAATATAAATTTGTTAAAATTTAAATATAACATCTTTTGCAATTTTTGCATTTTTTTCCCAAAATGATATATTTTTCCTCAATATTCTTTTAACAAGATGTCAAATGTCATCCTGGATTTAGATTCTATATGGGTTAGTATATTCACGTAATTAGCCTTTTCTCAGTGCATATTCTGGGGTCATTTGGAGGGACAAAATATATGGAGACAGGCATCAAATATGTGAAAGAGTAGAAGTATCTACTATAAAATATCAACTTTTTACATGACCAAAAATGAGATATCTCCTTTTTACATTAAACTTTAATTTAAATGTGTGCTGTCTTTTTTTGTCCCTCCAACAAGGGATTCTTGCGACTAGACCCAGGACTTTGGGAAATAGCTAATTAAATATACAAATTCTCTTCTATCATATTTATCTTTGTTAATTAATTTGTTATTAAAGTAAAATTGGGACAAAAATATTGTGTTTTATTTATATTAAAATGCTACATTTGCCCCCTTTAGAAAAGGAGACCTTGCCCCACCCCCTTTCCATCATTCCTGATACCATATAACTACATTCTAATTTAATTTCTAAAGTTGATTTCTTTCCATGTTTTATTGAATCATTGTAGAGAATTTTCATTTTCCGAGAATTTATTATCAATAAATTAATTAACAGTCAGTAACTGATTGAAAACATTTGTAAATATTCCTTATATTCGTAGAGAAACTATATTTAATCACAGTTAATATTAACTGTGATTTAATACATGACAACTGAAGCAATAGTTCGCGCATTGCCTGGAGGCCTGGTGCCTAGTTTAAGTGTCGGAGCGCAAAGTGTCATGGGATAGCGTCGTTTCGAATTTTTGTGCTAAAAATTTGAAAGCACATTTACATGTCTTACATGGTGAAGAAACTTATCGAAATTTCAAACCCAAATGATGGAAAAGGCATGGAAAAGTTCGTAAAATGTTATTCAGATCTCACAGGTAAGAATAGTTATATTTTGACTTGTTATTTAAGCGCTTTAATTGCGAAAGAATGTAGTGAAAATATGATTGTTACTTGAGCCATGTGTCTGAAATTCTGTTAAATATAATTTTGAATTTGCCGCGTTCAATTTGCATAAGAAACATACGAAATGTTGGTTTCTGGCAAGGAAAGAAAGAATATAATATCAATTCGAATCTATTATAGTAAATTCTGTAGTAAATTGTGCACTAATGCACTATTAATATCAACAATTTAGCAATAATTGTCACATAATTATTTGGCACTTTTCTAGACCTTGTCAAGGGTGTATAAATTAATAATAAAACGATATAAAATAATATATTAAACATACTTGTGCTTTTAACAATATGAAATAATATATTAAACATTTGAATGCTGTTAAAGATATGTTAGCATTTTACAGTAATACATGAATAAGGATTGTAATTACAGAAGAATTACAGCATTGAATGTGATCTATCAGTGTATTACTGTATTGATCCTTAACCCATTATGCTGCAACTATGTTGCTTAAGACAATTTTACTCGTCAAAGGGAGAGTCTTGCAAGCTCTTTATTAACGAGCTTCAGTTGTATAAAATGATTTGTTTGTAAAAGCTGGAAGATGTACGGGCACTGAGACAATGCCTCAAATGTTCTCTTTATATACTTTCAGATTAATATTGGAACTAGATTATAGCCCGGTGTGCTCCAAATATTGTTCTCAAGTCTCGACAATCAGATCTGGATTGAGTTGGCAAACTGGTGTTGTAAGGTAAGAATTAACAAGAATAAATAGTCTGCTTTTAGTGCTTTCTATGAAAGAAATGACAAACTGGCCCAGCTAAGGTGGCCAGCTAGGCCAGATCAGTCTCAATCTTATAAACAGCCCCTACAAAAATTTAGTAACTAGTAACAACATAATTACACATGAATCCTAAGTTTACCTCCAAATGCAGCCATTTTAAGGCCTGTTAACATTGACACTGTGCTCAATTTTGGTACACGTAACATGTTTACCATGCTTGGACTACCTATTCATACTGGCCGAGCACAGATAAAGTTGGTACAGGTACCAGTTTGATCTGTGCCATACCAAAAATTGAGCATAGTGTGTAGAGCTTTTAAGTAGTTTAGTGCTTTAATAATCTAAATTATGCCAGAAGTATATTAGTTTTAAGGGTCAGTGTGCAATAGCCAATTTTCTGTCATGAATGAGTCATTACAGTATGGTACATGTAGAGCTGTCCATAGGCCTGCAATAATGCAGGGGCAGGGCTGTGGCTGGACCCATTGACCTGCAATTTGTCCTAATGTGCTCTGTCTTGTTAATTTTACCTATTTTTCCATGCTAAGTCCAAAAAAAGAAATGCCTGGGTTTATATTTCTCATATGCAAAAAATTTAGACAGGGTAGGTAGGGTTTTTTTCTTATTTTTTATTATAAATGTTCATGCATGAGAATGATATTCTACATCAATTACGGCAGCACAGATGACACAAACATTCATTAAATATTACATCAACTTTGATTTTGAAACAAACAGGTTATACTTTCTTTGTAGGTTTCCATGGCGATAAAACATATAATACTTTTGTTTGTGGAAACACAACTACATGGTGTTTCCACAAACAAAAGTATTATATGGCTAGTACAAAACTAACGCCACAAACTGGGTATGAAAAATTGTTCCGAACTCTTTGCAAACTTCAGATAAAAAGATTAGGGTCAGTGATTTCTTTGACCTAACTCATTAGTAAGCCCTAATGTCTCCTATAATATACTTTACAAAAATAGTATTAATAAATCAAATGTAACCTAGTAGATGGTTAATTATAAGCCAATATATACCTTGTAACCCATTAGACATGGCTACCCTAAGGGCATCCCCTATTTGGCCTAACACTATCTAGATTATTCTTCCTGTCAATGCCAATTAAATCTAAAACATATTAAATAAATCTGATTTTATCAATTCCTATTTTTTCAGCTTTTGTTCTGGATGATACAGTCTATGGAAAGACAGCTGCTATGCAGTACACGGTACAGGACAAATGCTGTGGGGCTTGAACTAAAAGCAAACCAGCTGAGTGAGACTTGACATTAACAATTAATGACTTTTAGGTACTCATTTATTTCTGGCCATGTATATAAATATAATTATATAATATTAGGAAATTTTAAATTAGTGTAGGTTATAGCAAGTGTAATTACTCTGCCCCAGGAGCCGGTTGTTCAATGCTGGACTAGCGCTAACCCTGGGTTAAAATTTAGCCTGTTTATTTCAAAACTTCAGAGAAGAAAACTCCTATCGATCCAGACAAGATCTCTGAAAAATCTTTCCAAATTTATAGACAAGCTGTCAGGAAGTTTGCTTTGAATTTTAGGTAAACCTAGGGTTAAGCTAATCCAGCCTTGGACAACTGGCCCCTGGAGAAAAATTGATTGTACAGTCTTAAATTTATCTATATATGTAAGCTATAATTATATATTTACTGATAAATACATTTACTATTCTGATCTAATATTTCTTCGTATTAAATTATTTATGGCTTCAAGTGAACATGACAGAGGTACAGTTGCAGCAACGTGATGTTGCAGAAGAGGAAATAGTTTTATGCAAGAGATAAATCTGACTTGGTGGCAGTTATGTTTATACGTATCTGTTTGGTAGATAATATGCAGATAATTTTCTCTGTATGGAAACTATACTGTCACATAACTGTGGCAGATATGTTATTGGGCAAAATACCTATATGTTGCAGATATGTGACAGATATCTGTCATATAACTGTGACAGATATGTTATTGGGCCAAATTCCTATATGTTGCAGATATGTGACAGATATCTGCCACATAACTGTGACACATATCTGCCACATAACTGTGACAGATATCTGTCACATAACTGTGACAGATATGTTATGGGGCCAAATTCCTATATGTTGCAGATATGTGACAGATACTTTCGTACATATATTTTGCAGATATTTTACAGAACTGTGACATATATCTGTCACATATCTGTCAGTCTGGTAAGGGACACCTTGAGGTTTGTACCAGCTCATGCAAGTACGCGACAATAATCATTGGAGTATTATTTTTTGTATTCTCTATATTCCTGAACAGGTTCGTTGGATACAAATTACGAAATCAACTGGCTACCATCGATTTTAATAGTCATCAAAACAGAGAACCAGCTACAACTGCCGATGGAAGAGTTCGGTAAGATGACTATGATATAGGTACAGTATATATACCTGTATACGGTATATATATAGAGAGAGTAATGACTGCTAACCATATATTGAAATTACAGGGCTTTCAGAATTATTTAACTAGGTGATTAAGATAAGAAAGTATCCAGTGGTGATGTGTATTTACTGTAGAGTTGTTTGTTAATGGTGTTGATAATGTTCTGATATTTGACTAAAAAACCTGGCAGTGAACCTGTACTCGCAATCACTGGATCTGACGGTTCCACTTCAGTATTTATATGCATTGAAAACCGTGTGAGGTAAGTGCTTCTAAGGTCTATTAAGTTAATGGAAAACTTTTGACCATTATATTAATATATTATTTTGCAGTTACCGTGCACAATACAGTAAACGAACCAAGCAATGGCGTCCAGTTACCATTCTCAAGGCAAAAGAATACAAGTACATTCCAGATCTTATTGCCAAAATATTTGAAATGCAAGTTAAAGTGGGAAATGTGAATCAAAAAATAAAACGAAGTACAGAAGACCCACGTAACATATCTCCTAACATTGCTATTGTTCCAAGACCAAGTGTGGAAAATCTGCTGTTGAAGAACAAGTCAAGATTCACATAACTAAATTTAAGTATACAAGTATGACATTCATAATTTTCAAATGTACTTTGTGGCTGTGCCAATTGTATCTTGCATGTACTTTATATTACAGTTGAACAGTAAACGATAATCTTACAACCGTGCTGGTCGAAAACCAACGTAAATACCATTAGGTGATGGGTATCTTTTCCTGATTGTCTGAACACAGCAACTTGGGACAACACGTCTGTCACCTTGACCTAACCGGCCATGCTGCCATAGCACAAACTGTCTGTACGCAGTGTGGCGAAAATTTTCATTGTTCCGTGGATGCTCCATAGCCAACACATCTTCCTTGTATCTCATTGCAATATCAAGTATGTTAGGATCCAAAACGATTTGATAAAACAAAGGGTGTGTTGTAATGCATGGTTGAACTGTTTGTGTGCAACACTTGTTTTCAGCTTGAGTTGGCATCACAATACATACACCGCACTTGCACCACTCAGGTTGATTGTTGTATTCTGGTTGCTCAGGCAATTCGTTTATATTACCCTGTTGAAACACAGGTAGCTCTCCATTCACCAAATCTGCAAACATGGCTGGTTGCCGTCTGAGCAATTCTGCAGTTAGTACTCGAAGAGTTGCATCATCTAAGTTATTTACCAGTTCCTAATGATACATAGAATTATATTTGTCAGTTGAACAAATACAGTATCCTGTAATTAAAGAATCTCAGTTTCAATTACGTGTTTTAAATAAGCAAATAATGTAGTAGAAAAAATCCTGAAGTAGCAAATCAATTAACTGAAGTGTAAGTTCAATACGGTGCATTTGGTTTGATGTTAATTAATGATGTGTTAACATAAGTGATGACATACTGTAACTAACCCTACAGTGTACTTTATTTTACACATACAATTATCTAACAGGATACAACATTTTAAATTGGGATACTGGAATTACTAGATTTTCTTGGTGGATACCATTTCAAGTTGGTAGTATCCCGTTGGATACTGCTGAAAAATTTAAAGCCCTGTATTATAACGACTCTGAGGTTGGATTTCACCACATAATCGCTTGTTAAAGAGTATTATTTAATTATTAATACGTTAAAGCATATTACAGTATATACCAAGTGTCAAAATTAATGTTTTTCCATCTGATTAGACAATATAGTAACATGTGAAATTCATTAAATTTGTCTTTTTACTACTAAAGATTAGCTCTGATGTGGTTCATTGTATGCTGTTACTACAGTATATGTTAAATAAGAATAAAATAGTTTGGTACTGTTATTTTTATGTGGGCAATATAAGTTCACGTCATGCAATAATTTAACACAATTTCCTTGACACTTGATATTCTGTATATATAATAGAATACTGACTCAAACTATAAGGAAACAGTATATTTTGTGGACCCTCTACTGTATTGCCATGTTTCCTCTTATCTCATGTTTACAAACCAAAATGATGTTCCATGGTCACAGTCAAGACATTTCAAGAATAAACCAATGCATACAAATTCATATTACTTGGTATACTAGAAATACAATGATTTTTACAGCATTGTTTGGATATTATGTGTACCACACATACTTGTAATTAATAAAATGAAACAATTAACCTATTTTGAATTCAAATTGAGTTTATTATCACCTGCAGTTGTTCTTCATGCTGAGCCCTTCTCTCTTCCGAATTCTCCTCAGCTACTAATCTGCCATGCCCTCTTCCTCTTTGTTGTCCTCTATTTCTTTGACCTCTATTCCTCTGACCTCTGTTCTGTTGACCTCTGTTCCGTTGACCTCTGTTTCCTTGACCTCTATTGGTCTGTCTCACTCTGCCTCTCGACGTACCACCTCTTCTGGCACGCCCTCTGTTTGACCTTGCACCAAACCCACGTATAGTCACGCCAGATCGTCCACGTCTACTGACTGTACTACTACCATATGATTGTTGGCTAATGTTAAAGCTTGTATCTGAGGATTCCTGAAATTTTTAAAACTTTAATTAGGCTGTGGGCTGTTGGCCAAAATTATTTCGCTTTGTGGCACCCATGTGGGAAATATTTGGTTTGGGGTTTATTTGAAAGGCATATAGGTACATCACTACCAAAAAAAGTTCCCAAGCAAAACAGTTGCCCAATCCCGAGAAAATGGGTGATCAATGATTATCCTCTATTAAATTGTATTACAGCAAAAAAAATGGGAAATTCTGTATTCAATTACGATAATTCAATAAAAATGACTTGCATCCTTGGAAAACGTACAAAAAAAACGCATATAACACTTTTAAACAGTTTTTTATTTTTCAAATAGTCTTTGAGTTATTGCTGTTTTAAATGTGAAAATTGGACCAAAATGCCGCAATAAGGACTGGGTACTAGGTCAAAACACGTTTTTGACAGCATATAACTTGTAAACAATTTTAGATATGAAAAAAACTGTTTAAATGTCTTATATGTAGCTTTTTGTATGCAAAATTTTACATACAAAATTTACATACAAATACAAAATTTTACATTGTAATACAATTTAATAGAGGATAATCACTGATCACCCATTTTCGCGGTGTTGGGCAAGTTTTCTGCTTGGGAACTTTTTGCGGTAATTAAGCATCTATGGTTCTATGAATTGAACCACAGAAAATCTATTTCCCAGGAGGGTGCCACGAAATTGCTTTTCTAGGCACTTTTTCGCACAACAGCCCACAGCCTAAATTACTTATGGGGTGGGTAGAAGATGTTTGGAGAGGCAATGAAAACATTCTGGGCTACAAAGGGTGGGCTGGCAAAAAATTCATGACAAGAAGGGGTGGGATATGATTTTACTTAAATATGATGCTAAACGCTTACTTTTCAACGTCAAGTGGGAAATGACCAAGGAAATGAGAATAATTGTAATATTTGTAAACATGATATCAATGACATGTATGTTGACTGCCTTTTGTATGAATAGAAAAGGCTAATTAACTTACTTCCATAACTACAAGTATTGTAAATTGTTTAGAATGCAGTTCAGGCTATATATAATGGTTGCACATGCCCTACTCTTTCATGTGCAACATGATTTGCAAATATATAAATAATTTGGTAATGTATTAAACCTGGAAAATAATGTACTGTATAAAATGTACAAAAGTCCTGTCAGATATTATTTTATTTATAATGAATCAAAATGCGAGGCACCCGTTCAGTCAATATGACAAATAAAACTTCAATCAATGTCGAAAATAAAAAAGCAACCATTGCCCAATACTCACTTGTGTATCATCAGAATCTGAAGATAAGTTCCCGTGTACGACGTTTCTTTTATTTAGACAAGTAGTCGAAGCCATTCGCCTATGGCAAGCTGATGAACAAAAATGTCCAACATTTTTACAGGGACACGCATTACGACCACTTTCTCTTAAACACATACCCCTACAAGTGCATACAGTTATGTTGTCAGCACCAAAAGGGTTTTCAGACGCTTGAATAAGTTCCTGTTGATCCAAATTTTCTGACGTAACAGAGATATCCATAAATGCGAAAGTTTGAATAAATTATAACGCCAACGCAACAATTCAAAGTATTTATATCTCAATGACAATGGTATAACGTAATATGATCCGAATTAAGTGTTCATCACCGATCGCCAATCGTTTCCGCCATTGTTTTTATGAGAGGACAGTCATACTTCATGTAACTTGCATGTAATGGATAAAAACATAAAATGTAAACAATAATACGCGCATGCGCGAATTCGACTGGAATTCATCTTTAACCAATCCAATGAATACGTCTATCATCAAGGAATATAATACAAGCGATGTATGTAAATCTTACAGATTAACAGATACGGTGAAATCCAAGAAAAAAACTGGCATTTCAAGTGGATAATCCCATACTTGTGCCTTATTCCATCGGCCATGTCTGACAAGGAAGTACGAGGATATTTGGAAGACAAACTGGAAAGCTATGTCATGAGTATCAAATGACCATTTCTTCAATTTGATTGGCATGAGTTTATCTCCAAGTCAAAGGGCTTTTTCAAGGGGAACTTTTTGCCATTCATGTTACTCCTAAGTGGTGGTGTTGCAGCTTTTCACTACAAAAAAGTAGGTAAGTAATTAATGTAGTTGCAGTTATTAATGTTTTCTTCACTTTAGAGGTTTTTGCACTATATGAAAGTGTTTTTGGATGAAAAACAAACGTGCATATATTACCATTTGCATTCAAGCATTACCCCATGCCGCGAAAACAAGTTGTTTATGAGTTTTGTAGCGAGCATTTTGCTTGGAAAACTTACGTTTCACGTGCAAAACAATTATGACAGAGGGTGTAACTTTGCTTTGCATTTTTTTAATTCAAAACACACACACTTCCAGATTGAGACATTACAGTAAACACTACCAGGTGTGCCAGAAAAAAATACTCCAGTTTGATTTATAATAACTTCTAAACAAGTAAAGCTATCAAACAGAAATAACATGCATTAAATAGAGGAAGGACTAACTTAGATTTTGATATTTTACAGTTGTATTTTACTTAGAAATTCAATGGAGATATTAATGTTCAAAATCGGGAGTATATTTTGGGATGTGTCTAGAATCAGTGAAAATTTGCATATCAAATATTAACTCCAGCGATTGTTTGCTTAATTTAATAAATGACATATCAGGCTAACTTGTATTTCAGCGAATTGTCGTTAGGGTTTGTATATGGTGTAGATTTAGACATCTTACATGTAAGTCTTAGCTCATTGTTTCCTGAAATATGAATGTTTGAAATTTTGCAAGTATTTAGTAGGTCTTTACAAACTTAAGAGTACATGAAAGACCATGCAAGGCAGGCGCTTAAATTTTTCTTAAATAGCCTAATTTTTTTATGTTTTTCATGGGTTCAAAACAGAGTTGATTATTTCTCGGTTAGAGTAGGATGAATGTTATATATATTCTTTAATGAAGGAAATAATATTGCTTTTTGCAAATACACATCATAGTATCAACGCTACTATTTTGTTACGTTTTGTTCCAAAAATGTTGGATGTCTCTGGGGAGTTGCTTGTTATGTCTTATGGAATTGTATGATTTGATTGTGTTTCATTCTCAGTTTATTCTGAACTTGCCAAGATTAAGAAAAGGCAAAAGAGTTTGGGTGTTCTTAACAAGATTTCAGGACGTTGCAGAAGTTAGAAGAGCTTCACAATTCCATTGTGACAGCATGCCCTAATTCAGAACTACGAACGATCCATGACCATCTTTCTCTATGCAGTGATCTCATGAAATAAGGAAACGTTTTCGTGCTAGGAACACACACAGGTTTCAGACAAATAAATCTTGCTTGTATTTTGTGAATAATAATACTTTGTTTCATAATAAACAATTTGTCAAGTGTCATTTATTTACTGGTAATAGTGCATGTTTCAGTCGGGCAAATCTTGATTAATATTTGATATGCCGTTTTTTGCATATTTCAGACACATCCAGAAATATGCTCCCCATTTTAAACATTAATATCTCCGAATCAAACCAGAGTGCTTTTTTGGGACACCCGGTAGTACAAACACATGTTCACTGTGAGGGAAAATGGCTTACAAAGTAAATGCATCTGGGCATTCTTATCGAAACGGGATGGCATTTTCAGACGATAAGCGATCATTGATTATTGATGAAATTGTCAAAGAAGGTGGGGATAGAGTAGCTAGTTATATGCCAGTTACATACACACAAATTGCTGGAGATTAAGTGTATCCCATCAATCAGTTAAAAAAATTTGGCAGCAGTTTCCAACAACATGTCATTGAAATCCTGCAAGAAGGCAATGACGGTCAAGACATTGTGTCTATATCTACAATTTCCCATGCAATTAAGTCCAATTTATTGTCTGGCAAGAAATATCTCGCAAGAAAATATCGAACGTTTCACTGCAACGCTTTACTGCGACAAATGTGTTGTACACACAGCTTTTTATTGATTATCTGAGCTCAAGATTATCAAGCAAGATTAAATTTTCAATGATTATTCCATGCAAATGCTACAAACATCAAACATGGCTTGCGCTTTGGCACTTGAGACAATCACAAACGAAGACATGAAACAATTTTATACCTATACTGCATATTTGTTCGAAGATTAAAGTAAATCTTTACTATTTATATTATTTAATCAAACTCAACATCAATAAGACTGCAGTATTTGCATATTAAACATTCTAGTCTGGTCAAACATGCAAGAATCAGAGTTTATGAGAGTTGGCAGTCAGTCGTGTATTGTTTGTATAATATTGTGGGACATTTCAAGTGTTCCAACTATGTTTTAAACTTATGTTGGGAAAGCATTAAGAACAGCTAACCAAGGTTGTGTGACTGCCAACTCTCATGTACTCTCATCCTCGTTTTATCCAGGCTTACAAAATAAACCCCTTGCAAGTTGCAACTAAAGTAAATTGTTACAATAAACAGAATATGAACATCGCTGTAGCTTTTGGCCTGGTTCAAACGTCAAACTTTGTAATATCATGTGCAATCTAATGGGAGTATAAATTTCAATCCAAATATAGTGATACAGAAATTCAACATGCCAATACTGGCGATATAGCATTGCATTTGCGTGCAAGACAGAAATATAAAACAACGAATTTTACAGTATTAGCCTACTGTATTAATAAAAATAACTCTAATTTCTAGTTTGTAAAATCCAACGTACGTATGAATCAACACTGTATCTTCAATGGATGTTAGCTAAAGAAAGCAACAATTAAGCTGCACTTTGTGTGCCAGACTCCTGTTCGCCATCTGGAGGTGGGGCACTTTTCTGTGTATTTGAGCTCATTGTAGATGTCGTAGTGCTTGGGGTAGGGACACCAATAGGGCAATCTGATGTACTTTTCCGCTTCATCTGTGCGTTTGAGCTGATTGTAGATGTCGATGACTTTACTATGTAGTACTATGGGTTTTTTTTAATTCAACGCTGTGTCCTTTAAGAAGATCCTTGCTCGTAAAATTCCGGTGTTTGCGAGGCTGTGCTTGATTAACTGATCGAGTACTTTCTTGGCATTCTTCATGTGCTTTGTCTAATGTTTCCATCAGTTGATGCCTAGGGAGAATTTTTCTGTTCATATACTTTTTACAATAGGACTGTAAAGCATATACGTGTTTTCGTAACAGAGTCCAGTTTTTTATACCTCCTACGTAGTAGTTATCATTGTTTTCTTCTAAAAGCTGTCTTTCTATGTTATGATGAATAGAGGTTTTAACCTTTTGAGATGCTTTTAGTTTATTGTCTAAATCTCGACGCAACTGCTCTATATCGGTTGTTAGTTTGTTAATTTTTCTTGTCCACATTCAACAGAAAGTGATATGCACGAATCAAACATGCAATTTCTCAAAGTGTGACCCAATCGCAAGCGACAACTGTGGCACAGAACTTCCAAGTCGCTCTTGAAATTCAGCTGCCTTATTCTGAACTTTGTGTAAATTGTTTTCTTTCAAACGTATTTGTTCTTTTCTGTTCTCTTCACAATCTCTAAAATGGAGTCATCCCTTCGTCAAAGGCTAAGTATGGACTGTTTTCATCCACATGCGCAACAGGATTTTCTGCATGCAGTTCTTCATCGCTATTATATGCCTGATCAACGTCACTAGCAAAGTTATCTCTTTTGGCCTTACTTGGGAGTGTTAGTGACTTCCTACAATGCTGAGTAGTAGAGTTATTAGACTTGTTATCTACACAAGGGAAATGTTCATCGACGGCAGTACATAGACGCTTTTTTAAAGGCGATTTACACGAAACACTGGACGCAGTTGACTCTCAGGCTTCTTGTGTCTTTTATTTTTACGAACAGACGGGAACTTCCTTCAAAAATTTCAACTTTCAACCTTTTTAAATCTGTGCCTGGAATAATGGTATAGCAATACAAAGAGATCGAGGATCTCTCTTTAGACTGACGTGTTCACCATCATGATTTTCATACATAATACTGAATTCAATAGCTTTTAATCACGAAGTTTGTTTTCGTATCTCATTTTCCAGTTTTCCATATGTACTCAGAACATTAATTATTGTGGAACGAATAGTTTCATTTACTTTAAACTGCAGCTGAATTATCTTCCATTGTTCACAACAATAAACCACACCTTCAGTGTAAACTGTGCTTCTAACATGTGAAGCATAAAGTTTAAATTGGACTTTTAAATTTTTAATTCAATTTTTTGTTTAATATCCCACAGGTTATAGAGTTGATGAATGACGATGAACTCCTCAACAAGAAGACTCTTGACAAATACTTAACTGATGAGTTTGTGCCTTATGCCACTTTGTTTTATGATGTAACTGTCCAGGCACATACATCCATACATCACTGGACAAGACCTTTCAGTTACTTGTCATCACTAAGAAACCACTTGATAAACACGAGGTAAATCTGGCATAAGTTACTGTTATTTTGGTGTAAACTTCATGATGAATGTCAACTATTATACATATTAGGAGAAGAGAGGATTATTGTATGCATTTATAATCTGTAGCTTCAAAAATTTCAAGCAGCAACTACAGACTTTATGTATTTACATGTTGTGTTGAAATAGATTTTATTATTTTTGGAGATTCTTTATACCCATTTCAGTATAACTATTTACCATTAACTATTGCAAGTAACTGATTTCACTGGTCACTAAAGGTTTTCAAAGTGTATATGGATAATGTGGTTATCGCAAAAAAATATAGAAAATAGAACTTCACAAGGTAGTATAGTGTAGTAGTTAGTCGCAGTGAGTATACTTATAGTCTAGAAACTACATATCCAAATGTATGTTTGCATTCGACTTGGGTTTACACATAAGCAAACATATAATTAAACCAATTAAAGTCTAAACCGAACCCAAACTAACTACTAGCAACTTAACTAATTTTCTTAAAATATCCCGTTTGAACTTTTTGCGACTATAAAAAATATTGTTGTGTTGATATTTTGTTGACGTTAGATAAAATAAGTAATATTAATCTCTAAGTTAATTAGTTAACAATAGACAGTGGATAGATATGATTGACAGTTCTGCATGTTTTCACGAGTCGAAAATAACATGAGGACAAGGGGTGTGCTTATTAGTGAAAGATACGAAGCAAATGTAGGATAAAATGTGTTAACCCGCCAAGAAGTAAGTTCATATTTGTGTATTAGAGTATGTAGTGTAGAATTAGAAGTAATTTGTAATTGTAATTCAATTTATAGATCGAATAAAAACAGTGTAAACAATATACAATTTGATGGGCAATGTATTCATTTGATCAGACCACAAATTCGATTTCCAATGCTAACCTGGCATTCGTAAGAAATATATAAACGAAGATAAACTTGTGTCCTAACCAGAAGCTAACCATGCGAAACTAAGATGTAGAACTGCTAAAGCCGTGCGAACCCATATAAATAAAACACTAAGAATTAAACTACAAAACAATAGACCCCCAGGCGAAATAACTGAAGTTTTGCAAAAGGTGAAACAGGCGTATTATTTAGTCGTTAAACATGAAGAATTTGCCCAGAACATTGAAAATGATGAGGAATTCGAAACAGAGGAAAAATGGCTAGAAGAAAGTCAGGATGCGTATCTTCTACTAGAATGTACAACAAATGATTATATTATGAATAAAAACAAGCAACATACATTGGGCGGAAGTGTTGAACGACCGGACACAAGTAGTGGAAATAGCAGAAGTGAAGCCCAAATGAACACTGAACAGTCGGAAACATTCAGAGAAGCTTCAGCAACTGAACAATCGAGTAATAATGTCCAAGAAAATGTTCAACAAAGCACCACAACATCCTGTGGATTCAAAATGGAAAGACCCAAGATGCCGCAATTTTCTGGAGACGTCCGAGATTACGTCATATTTCGGGCTGATTTTAAATATGCTGTAGATTCGAAGTGCGGTAAAAGAGATGCAATGTCCTTGCTACGTACAAGCCTTAGCGGAAGACCCCTGGAGCTGATAAAAGGAATTGATAGTGACTACAATGCTGCATGGTAGCACCTAGATTCGATATACAGAGACCCTAGATTTGTTGCAGACACTGTTACCCATGACATTTCAAAATTCAAACCACTTTGTGAAGATGAAGACTCAAGATTTTGTGATTTAACCCAACTGGTTAGAAGAAGCTACAACACGCTCAAGGAAGTCAACAGACAGTTTGACATGGATAACAATCACATCATAGCAATAATTGAACAGAAATTGCACATGAATGACAGGAAGATCTGGTCGCGCCATTTGGAAAGCTGTGGACAAGAAGCTAAATGAAAACAAGAATGAAGGCTACAGCGCCTTTGAGAAGTATGCAATCCAGACATCCAGTTGGAAGTTTCAATGCTGATATTTCTGGAAGTAACCCTAAGTGCTGTGGGTGTGCAGGAGTTCCAACCATTTCATTGATCAATGCAGAAAGTTTTCAGCAATGAATCCCAGTGAACGACTACAAGCTGTTAAGGACAATCATGCCTGTTATAGTTGTCTTAAGCATACAGGTAGAGACCACAGATCATCAAACTGTTGCAGAAGATGTCAGTGCCAAGAGAAAGTGAATGGTAACCAGTGTAAATACTACCATCAATAACTCTAATTTATAATTTTTCTTAAATCTGCTGTAAAATGAGAGTTTTCAGGAGTTTTTAATCTGTTGTTTCCATTGTGAGATGTAGTTATTCTGAATTCTATCAACTAGAACATTTATTTTTTTTATCAGTTATAAATTTTTCTAAATCTACTGGTTCAATTAAAGTGGGAGAGTGTTTTTTTTCAGGAAATTTACAATGTTTGAGTAAAAAGAATCTTCGCCTTTCAAATATAGTTCTTTTGAGCTACGAAATGTTAGTTTTGCTATCGATAAGTCGGGGAGTTTATATACAGGGTGTATCAAAAAAAGTAAGACAATTTTGAAATTGCTCTCAATTCCACAATTCTGTTCATGAAATATAATTTTTGATATGTATGGATTGCTTGAGTTCTTAAATTATGGAAAATATAAAAAATTTTGAAAATAGTAAATTTTGCTATCCAGGGAGGTGGTCAACTTTTGCTCCCCTAAAAGTGGCTTGCGCACGGAAATGACAAACGGTATTCTTTATTTGAGTTCATGTATAAAAAGTTTGCTATTTGTTGCATTTATGATAAAATTTCGGCAGGATTTTACCGAGTACAAATCCTCCTAAAAGCCTATGAAAACGTTACATTTTTCTCCTTTGGTGCTGTTCTTGCTTCATTATGAATTCATTTTTACTCCCATGAGAGTTACATGGAATTTCCATGGAATTTATGCTTTCGAGTTCTTTGTGTTGAAATGCAGTTTCTATATAATACCTGTACACTTCGAAATGACAATGCCATGTATGGTGGGCACAGGACGGTGCTCCTTGTCATAGGCGAAGACAGGTAACTGCTAACTTTTTGGAGACCGGGTAATCACAATGAATCATGCCGTGGAATGGCCTGCTAGATCACCGGATCTCACTCCACTTGACTTTTTTCTTTGGGGTTATCTGAAGAGCAAGGTTTTCCTAATGCCACCAGAAAATCTTGCAGAACTTGAGCGCCGAATGTTACGAATCCGTGAAGAGATGAATGTACTCAGACAGATCGAGCAATGATACGCCGTGCTGTTTTTGACATGGTTAGACATGCCCAAGTTTGCACAGAACGAAATGGAGGACACGTTGAAGAACTAAGACAATTTGTTTCTTTTTTGCTGTTAAATTTACTTTTGTTTTATACTCCAGATGTTAAGTAGGTGTCATTATTCAAAAATATTTAAAACCATGCACGAGTTTTAAATTTTATTTACTTAAAGAATTAAGACACATAATTGACATGACTCATTTAAAATCAAAATGCAAATTGCAAATTTGTGAATTAATAATGAAGCAAGAACAGCACCAAAAGAGAAAAATGTAACGTTTTCATAGGCTTTTAGGAGGATTTTTACTCGGTTAACATGAACTCAAATAAAGAATACCGTTTGTCATTTTCGTGCGCAAGCCACTTTTAGGGGAGCAAAAGTTGACCACCCCCCTGGATAGCAAAATTTACTATTTTCAAAATTTTTTATATTTTCCATAATTTAAGAACTCAAGCAATCTATACATATCAAAAATTACATTTCATTAACACAATTATGGAATTGAGAGCAATTTCAAAATTGTCTTACTTTTTTTGATACACCCTGTATATTAATTATATAACTTGGTGTTCTTTTAATTATTATTAAGTCTCACTAAAAGCCATAACAAGATTTTCCCCAAAAGTGCTACTTGAAGCAATAGGTTTACAAATAAAACTTCTGAAATGTTTGTTCGTTTGTCCACGCAGCTGAATTTATTATTGTTTGAATAGGAATGTTCAGTGCTTTGGCTGCAGAAGTTGAAGCAGCATGACGCTCTTCAGCCACCTTGCAATTGTGTCACAGGAAACTCCATGGTGAGGTATTTGTTGAAAAGTTGAACTGAATTATTCCAAATAGATTTGGTCTTCTTCAAATATTGATTTAAGCAACTAACAATACATAGGCGTGGATCCAAGGGATAAGCAGTGTGAAGAGTTCATAGATAGGTAAACACAAGAGATATATCCCATATTTCTGTATAGCGAGGCAAAGCTGGCCGTGAAACAAAGACACCTTTTATGAACCTTGTGACAAGTGGATGATTACCAAAGATGGTACCACCAGGCACCAATAGGATGGTAGATAAAGCACTTCTTGCAGTATTGATAGCACTGTAAGACAGTCCCTGGGTGTACAGTTCGCTCACAAAGTTTAGTCTGTTTTCTACAGACACTGTAATGGGATCAATACGCCTTGCACCACACTACTGTCACCAACGGTTGAAGTGTGTTTCATATTGTTTTTTGGTGCCTGTTCTCCATGACTGTTGAATAATTTCTGAAGCTTGTGACGAAATTCCTTGCTCAGAAAGGAGTGCCCCGATAAATGGCAGAGTAACAGATCTAGCTTGTTGTGTAAAGAGTGGGTTTGCGTCGGATGAGCTGGCAAAGCTAATGCCGCGTTTCCCACCAAGTTGGCCACCAAGTTTGGGTAGGCAGCCAGTAGGGCACTATGATTAATCCAGTAGCTTTTTCCTATACAATTTTTTGTAGCACTCGTTGAATGATACTAAAAGACGTAAAAAAACATAGACGGATTTTCATATTTTTTACTGGGGTGGTGCCAGAAATTTTAGGGGGGTGAGTCGTGAGCAGGTGACTGAAGCAACACAAAGTGTCACCAAACCGCAGTAAGGTCTATAGTCTAGGGGTGGAGCACTATAGCCACGAGGGGGAGTCTAGAGCAGGGGTGGAAAAAGTATCGGAACCTGGGAACCTAGTTCCCAGAAATTTTTTTGAGTTGAGAGTTTTGCAGAAAATTTTCCAGAAAATATTTCAACATTTTGAGATAACCCTGTTTACTCAACTTACAAGTTACAACTATTCTACTTTATTTACACTGTACACGCTAACATCAGCAGCTTTCAAATATTTGACAGAAAATAATTCTTTTACCCACCCCTGTCATCACAATGAATGGTAAAATGGTAAATATATGCTCTGCAAAGTCTCCAATAAAATGCAAATTAAATAGTAAACAAATAAAAGTGATGGAATAAATAAGATGATAGGACACTTAGTTAAGCATTAGATCCTTACTATGATGTTTGTGATGTTATTCTGAGTGTGTATCCACACCGGGCCAGCTTGAAAAATATGCCTGGCCACGGTGGGAATCGAACCTACGACCTTTGGAATACTAGCCCAATGCTCTGCCAGCTGAGCTACGCGGTCAGGTCAGTTCGAGTATGTGATATTTCGGAACTGAGTTTAGTTCCTTCAACATCAATGTAATCTAGTATTCCAAAGGTCGTATAAGTTGATTCCCACCATGGCCAGGCATGTTTTTCAAGTTTGCCTGGTGTGGATATACACTCAGAGTAACATCACAAGCATCATATTCATGTTATTACATAACACCAACACAGAAAAAATCAAGATCCTTACTAGTTGGTCATAACTCATAACTGTGGTATATAACAGACAACTATTGTGATATACAACCGTACAAAAACCAGTCTAAAGCCCATTATTACTAAAGTACAAATAATACAATAATTATGCATTTGTTTTGTTATTTTTGTAATTGTAACATTACAAATTTTACAGAAAATTTCTAGCCTTTGACCCAGGTTCCCAGAAAGAAAAAAAAATTTTCCACCCCTGGTCTAGAGAGCAGAAAACAAAGTATCCCTGGCAAAATTTGAAAAAATCATGATTTCTAGCTTCGAAAAAAAGTTTTTTGAAGTTGTCAAGTTGTCATATCAATGGATTTGGCATGTCCGATTGTCTGTTGAGACTTGAGGGAGTTAAAGTTAAATGAACCTGTAAAAGTGTAAACCCAATAGGCCAATACACAATATGCTTTTACTTTTATAAAGTCATTAACATTGTATCATTTGAATCCGAGTACAATTTATGATGCAACTCCAATGTAAATAATATTTGGGGCGTAAAGATTAAATCTAGGCAAGTCTATTTCCTAAAAGAATTAAAAACTAAAAATAATGTTCGTAAAAATTCCAAACGTTCCTTGCAAGCAAGCTATTGGCATGACAAGGCACTGAAAACTCTATTCAGGGGAAATAATAGAGTTTCAAAACTTTACAATTGCTCCAATAAATCAGTGAATGCAAGCGAGGAGCAATTAGTTTCAGAGTATTGCACTGTCTTTTTCTATTTGATTGTACTCCTACGTTTATTTTGTATCATCAACACTCTGCACATTGGAGTGGACTATTTAATTATTTTTTATTATGCCGAATATTGGGGGGGGGGGTTTGAAATTTTTTTTGGAGGGGTAGACATTTTGTTTGGGGGGGGTTATAGCTAATATTGGGGGTAGCACCCCCCCCCCCACAAAATCCGTCTATGGACTAAAAAATGTAGTCTGTCCATGATAAAGAAAAAGCATTTACTGCCATAGTGTAAGGATCTGGCTTATGCGAAATATATGGTTCAATTTGAAAGTTTAACTGTGACACAAACAAATCAATATTTGGTATAACACCTATTTTCTGAATGGCAGCAGAATAAATGCGCTTGTTTAATTGCCACTCAGTTTCTCTGCGGCTTACTCAAGATTCTTGATCCGCAGTTATACTTTCTATGCCTGGGATATGTGCTGCTATTAGCCAAATATTGTGAGCGATACACCATTCCCATATGCGGCAAGTAAGTCTGTGATTTGTGCAGGAATGACATGTACCCATTTAATTGATACCAGCAACAGCCATGGTATTTTCACTTAGAACATTAACATGTTTGTCAGAAGTTTGTGAAGAAAATGATTGAGTGCAAAGAAAACTGCAAGCATTTCTAAATTTATGTGATATTCTGCCTCTGTTGGTGTCCAATTTCCCCCCAACATTCACGTCATCAAGTGAACAACCCCATCCTGTTAAAGATGCATCGGTAGTAATATAGACTTGTGGTTTACCATGACTAATAGGGTTATAAGCAGAAAAGATGGATGTATACCACCAGTTTAAATCATGTATTGCACCTGGTGAAAGGGTCATTAGTTTGGGCTTGCCCTAATTCAGAAATTATATCATCGATTGTCGGAGAGATATGTCGTTCTCAACCTATTGCTTAATTTGGTTGCCTTATGTGCACACAAATATAGTTTAAAAACTTATTAATAATTCATGAAGAAAACACAAAAGAAATCATGGGCGTAAAGGAGTCTGTATATGTGATACAGATTCATGTTGATTTACATAAACTTTAACTTTGATTTTCTCGGCTTAGACATTTATTTTTAAAATTACTTCGCCAATGAACTCATAAGATGAGTCATTTTTCGCGCCCTTGTTGTATCTGATATACAAACTCTCGCCTTCGGCTCGAGTTTGTATATCCAATACAACACGGCTGCTCATGTTGTAAATAGTACTTATAACGATAAAACACATGCCTCCAAAATGACAACACAGTGTTTTCCTTATTTGTGACGTTTGATGTATAGTTGTATTATCAGCTGGTAATAGTGAACGCCTCGCAGTTTGTATTCGCTGCGGAACTGAAGCAATTCTCTTCACACCATGACCAGGCGAGTTTGCAAATTTTTGCGTCATATTTTCGGAACTCCATTCTTCACAATTTTTCCGATGAGATTCTTTCAGGTTGCTTATTTCTTCAAATGTACTTTTATAGCGTTCCAAGCTACACAAACATTTTTTGCATAATACTGGCGAACCAGTAGCCTCACTAAGAATTAAAACAATTAAAACATTTTTAGTCCCCCCCCCCAAATTCTATAAAGTCCTCCTTCAACAGATATGGACTCTCCATAAATACAGCAATTTAAATAATCAGGTAAGCGTTTTTGTATATAATTTTCACTGGTGTGACAGGCAAACTCGTTGAGAAGCGAAGCTAAAATCACGCTATGAAATCACTTCGTGAAATTGAAAACTTTGTTTACAGTATGTTAGAAAAAATCCATTGAAACGCTTTGTCTCGACTTTTCTGAGAAGATTATACACATTTTGATTGGTTAGCGGGAGATCAAACAAAACAGTAAAATAGCACGCTTGGTTCTAGAGGTTTTCCCACTCACCCGTCCGTCGCTATATTTTGCGGGCTTTTTTGTGAGCGTGGAAAAACCTCTGGCACCCAGGGTATATTTTTCTTAACTATGTAGAATTCTGTGCAGGTAATTTTTTTCTGTGTTTCAATAACAGTTTTAAACTTACCAAGAATCGTCAGAGGGATTTCGCTGTCATACAAGAATATTTTCCTTGATGACTTTTGCAGGGTGACATCTTTAAGTCGCAGATAGTCAAATTCTTCCATTAAATTAACTGTTGCACCAGTGTCCACAATGAAATCAACGTTGTCTTTGCCAGTCATTACCGTCACAGTTGGATGAACTTCTAGTTTATTATTTATCGCCCCTGAAGTCATGAAACACACCCACCATCACTGCCCATTACTTGTTCTTGATCTCATACTTCCACTTGATTCACCGAACGTCTCCACAACTTTTTCTTTCGATTGCTAAAATCCTGGTCTTTGTTCTTACCGTTTTTTGTGAAATTGTCATGCTTTCCTTGATGTTTTGAATGACAAACTGCTGCAAAATGTTACATGTTTTTCCTTGTGCAGGACATACACCAACATGTGGATAATTTCCATTACAATGATAATATTGTTTGTTTACTTTCAAGGCTTTCATATTTTGTAGTTTGCGATGCATAGTTCTATTTACATACTCTGTCTGTGATTGTAATTTTTTCTCCAGCCCAGACACTTGTGTATCTGAGGTTTCAAACGACCGTCCATAATCGAGAAGTTGTACAAGAGTCATGGTTTCCTGTAATGCTTGCCATCATAGTCTTTGGGACAAACACCCTTGAGTTATTTGAGTTTTTTTCTCTTGCGGTCATTGTCTGTAAACTCACAGTTTTTTACCAATTTTCAAACATGGCGGCCACACGTCTTTGGGCTCTGCTTTTTTCAAACATGGCGGCCATGCGTCTTTGGGCTCTGCTTTTAGTTCTGCTTCTTGCCTGTCAATTGAAGCTGAAATGGAGCAAGTTTGTACAAAACTACGACTTAGATATATGTGAAGATCTACAAACAACTTGTACTCAAACAATCTCGAAAAATACTACCGAATTACTGAGAAATGAAAGTGGGTATCGAGAGTTCAGTCGGGCAAAGAAATCGTGTGTAATTTTCCGACTTGGCCGCTTGAATGGCCCTTCACAACTTCCCATGTTGTTATTACTGCTTGGTGGAGATATCGAAGTAAACCCTGGACATAACTGGAAGTTCCCTTGTGCCATTTGTCTTAAACCTGTTAAGAAGAACCAGGTGGGAATTCAGTGCGGCGAATGTAGTAACTGGTTTCATGCAAATACAAAATGTATTGATATATCCCCGGCTGTGTATAGCACCTTAGTAAACAGCTCATGCATGTGGATTTGCCCGACGTGTGGTCTCCCAAACTTTTCAGATTCATTCTTTGACAGCTCAATAGACTCACTTAATTCATCAAACGTCTTTGAACTGCAAAACCAAACTACGTGACCATGATATTGTCCTATGTACTGTCAAGACATCCTGCCAGCAGAAACGAAATGTTAAACGTAAAGTTTACATTAAGAAGAAAGCTGATTCTGCTCGTATCAAGCAAGAGCTGCAAACATTAATTACGACTCAGCATCAGGAACCTAATTCAAGCGATGTGTCAGTTGACAAGATGTGGGCGGACTTTGAAGGAAATATCCGACGTATAATGGATACCTCACAAAATGTCCAGCTCAAGATACAACCTCCCCTGGTTCAACCGCTTACTTAGAAGGAAAACAAGAATTAAACAACATCTTTACAATAAGGCAAAGAAATCAGGAAACCCTGCACATTGGAATGAATTTCGGACTGCTAGGAAACGACTGCAAAAGGACTTGAAATCTACAAGAGAAACGTATATTTCAGATTTCCTGGGAACCGCGATAGAAGAAAATCCAAAGCGCTTTTGATCATATATTAAACAATTAAAAATGAGGATCCTGGCGTAGCTGACTTCAAAGTTGATGGCAGAATTATACGTGACGGGAATTTGAAATCGGAACTCCTGAGTAAACAGATTTCTAGTGTGTTTACAGACGAAAATCCTAATAATATTCCTCCCGTCGGTCTAGACCCGAAACCGAGTATTGGCACCATTATTATTACAATTCCAGGTGTCATTAAACAGTTACAGTCCTTGAAACCACATAAAGCAAGTGGCCCAGATGAGATACCCCCGTGGTTTCTTAAAGAATATGCAACGGAAATTGGCCCTATGTTGGCAGCAATTTTTCAAACCTCCATCGATAGTGGATGTACACCATCTAAATGGAAACATGCTAATGTGTGTGGTGTGCATAAGAATGGTCCCAAATCAGATCCAGCAAATTACAGACCTATTTCACCAACCTGCATATCATCAAAGGTCCTCGAACATATTATTCATAGTCATGTGATGAAACACCTAGAACAACACGCGATTCTCACAGATGTACAACATGGATTCAGAGCAAGACGATCCACAGTAACGCAATTAATCCTGGCGATTCATGATATGGCCAAGGCGATCCAAGACAATAAGTCGATTCATGCCGCAGTATTAGACTTTAGCAAGGCCTTCGATAAAGTTCCTCACAAACGTCTTATTATTAAGTTACAGTATTATGGAATCCATGGATCCCTGCTTCGTTGGTTTGAGTCATTCTTAACTAACCGTTCTCAAACAGTGGTGTGTGAAGGCAAGCATTCCCACCCTACCCAGGTAACATCTGGAGTGCCGCAGGGAACTGTGTTGGGACCACTTTTATTTTTATTATACGTAAACGATCTGCCGGACAATCTGAAGTCCCAAATCAGACTTTTCGCCGATGATGCATTACTATATGGCATAATGTCAAATGAGGAAGATGGTGACCAACTCCAGGAAGATTTACAACAACTCGAAGAGTGGCAAAATAAGTGGCAAATGTAATTTAATCCTTCTAAGTGTAAAACGATCTGTATTTCTACCAAGAAAACACCACCCCAGAGGGTATATTCCTTCTGTGGGGTCAAACTGGAACAAGTTGAATCGATGTCATACTTGGGAGTCACTTTTAATGATGATTTGAAGTGGTCCAATCATGTCTCTACTATCTCTAGTAAAGCAAGCAGAGTCTTAGGAATGATGAAAAGAAATTTTTGGAACTGCCCTAAAAAAGTGAAAGAAATTGCATACACGGCAATTGTATGCCCAAAACTTGAATACGTATGTGCTGCTTGGGATCCCTATCTTCAAAAGGACATCGCTTCTCTTGAGAGAGTTCAGAGAAAAGCAGCACGGTTTTGTAGCAACAATTATCATCCCACAGCCAGTGTCACAGATATGCTACACGAGTTAGGATGGACCACCTTGGAGCTAAGAAGAACAATGACTCGGCTAGCCTTGTTATATAAGATGAGCCGAGGGCAAATCGATGTCGACACCGAGACTCATCTGAATCCAAACACCGAACTTAGAACTTGCGCAAGCCATCAATATAGATATATACAAGACAAAGCCACAAAGAACACGTACTTTTATTCTTTTTTCCCTAGAACTATAAGGCATTGGAATAGTCTACCAGCAGAGATTGCTGAGTTAAATTCCTTTGAACTTTTCAAGTCTGAACTATTAGAATACCTAGTTGACAATCAGGACTAATGTATTTTATCCTATGTACTTGAACTTTTTTTTAGAATTTTATATACCGTACATCATAGATATTTTAGTTTTAAATAGTTGTTGTGATATAATTTGTAGATTTTACCGACTTAATTATATGTAGATGTAGAAATCTGTTAATTGTCTTGCCAGTCATTTGTTTCGCTTGACGAAATACATGAGTTTCATATTCTATTTTTCTTCGGTAGAAAAAATTCAAACAAGAGTTCTGCTGCTCTAGAATAATCATCTTTTTCAGGGAAGGTATCAAATATGTCTGCAACTTCAGAACCCACATAATGAAACAACAAAGCCCGTTGTTTTTTCTTGTCTGTATTAAATATCCAAAGGCAATTAAAAGATTATCAAAGCATTCAAGCCACTTTGCCAATTGAACACCCATTGAAGCAGGGTCTTTGTGAACATTAAAGCGTTTCTTCTGCCATATTCTCAAGATTTTCTATCCTCGTCACCAAATGTAAGATCCAAAACAAGACGAGTATTCTGAACAAGATCTAGATTATTATACTAACTGTATTTATTTAATGCGCCGGTTATATACATAACAATATATAATATATGTACATAATTATAGAATTTGTTCACCCTCAAGTTCAAATCTTGCAATCCTTCCTGAACAACAATCAGGGGTGGAAAAATATTTTGGTTTCTGGGACCGCAATGAAAAGTGGGAAAATTTTCTGCGAGTTGTTGACACAAATCCTGTATAATTTATATTAATTAAAAGATCACTTGCAAAGAGGACAAATAAGATTTAAGAAACAGCAGGTGGAAATCGAATTCTAGTTGAAAGTATTATTGCTCGGCAAATACCTCGTAACAGAGGCATATTCAAAAAATATTTATTGAGTAACGTTTCATCACATTACAAGCAACATCATCAGACTCAATACAGTTAAGCTATTTCATCTATTTTATAACAAATTTTGAAAAAATATATGATATACAATTACAAACGGTTAAAAAGTTAAAATTAGAAATATACACGAATCTCTGAGCATTGTGGAATTTTGGCTTTGACTGGCAATCCTCTTTCGTGTGTTTAAAAATCTAGTATTTCGGATCATTCTAGAGAAGCCGGTCATCCAATTGAACCAAGTGATTTTAAAATTGTTACTTCAGCTAATTCTAACCATAATATTCTTATTAAAGAAAGCTTACTAATTGCTCAAACTAAACCATGGCTTAACAATAATGTCTCATTCGTAGCTTGACTGTATTTAGTCTGATGATGTCGCTTGTAATGTGACAAAACGTTACTGAATAGATATATAAATATAGTCTAAATTATTCTTAACTTAAAGATATTTGGATTTACATAGTATATATATAAAAATATAACAAATATGAAACTACTGTAAGAGTCGGACAAGAGTTAAATAGCATTATTAGTTTTTAAAGATCTTTTAAAAGATGAAAGTGATGAAGATGATCTCAGACATTCAGGCAAGCTATTCCATAATGAAGCTCCACTATAACTAAAGGAGCGCTTAAGATAATCCGTTCTAGGTTTAGGGAGAAACAGTTTGCCTTCAGAATCTCTGAGTCTATAGTGGCTAACTCTAGTTACAAACAAATCTTGTAGATACATAGGTGTTAAATTGTTCGTGACTTTATACATGAGAATTGCTTTTTATGGTTAGTATATAAATTATTCCATCCAACTTCTTCAAGTACAAAGCTAGATGATGCATCATAGGAAGCAGCTCTATTTTGAAGTTTTTGCAATTTATCACTCAATTTACTACCAATGCCATCCCAAACAGGGGCACAGTAGGAAAAATATGGCTCAATTAGTCCCTGATACACTCTAGCTGCTGTATCTTGGCTAATATAGCTTCTTATTCGCTTTAAAGCGCTAATTGCGTCACATTTTTTGCATGTTTTGATGTAAAAGACTGGTCTTCTGGCAAATTATATTCAACACTTTTATTAGATGCATTTAAATTAGAAGCATTATTGGGGCAACTTCCAGTACTTGTAGAGGCAATGCCAATGTCATTATCTTCATGAACAATACATGCTTGAAATAAATGTCCAGTTGAGTCGTTAGAATTTGAATTCTCATTTGCAGATGGCTGATTGATTACTTTTTTAGCAGATTTCTTCATTTTATACTTGCGCTTTAATGGTTTTGGAGATTTAGAATTCTCCTCAACAAGTAAAACGTTCAAATCAGCCTCTCCGTTTTCGTTTCTTGCAATTATATTAATATCAGGTTGTTTCTCAACCTGATTAATCCGACCGTAATTCAACCTCGAAAATCAAAGATTCTGCTAGAATTTGGCTATCATTTCGAACTTCAGTGGAGCTCGCATTCTCGCGACCATCCGCCATGATGAATAGCTCTGAATGGTAATGAACACAGTTTACAAGTTGAGATAATGAAATCAACTGACAATGAAACTGTGATAAAATTATCAAAATTTATCTCTTTCTGTTTTGAGACGAGATCTAAATGCCTTGAAACCATGAATGCTGACAGTCAATAGGCTGTTTACAGTTGTGCCAATAGAAGCGTTCTGAAATGTTGACCAGTTCATTTCCCAACTTGAAGGAACACCTCTTGAACAATTCCTCAACAATTTAAAAAGTTCCTAAGTTCCTGTTTCATTGACCAATCAAATTTTATATTTTATTTTTGAGCAATCTAATTGGTCAATGAAACAGGAAGTTAGGAACTTTTTAAGGAACTTATCAAATTGTTGGGGAATTGTTCAAAGGAACTCCTTGAAGTTAGCAAATGAACTGGTCAACATTTTTCCCAATCCTTCTATCGGCACAAGTGTAACTAATCCAAACTTTTCAATTTATATGCTGTAAATATGTACACTCATCTGTAAAGTAATGTTTCGTTAAATGACAGAAAGCACACAAAACCAACTACAACATACTTCAATTTATTTAGCTAGCTAAAAAACACATATATACAAAATGTTTTCTTGGCTTAAATAGGCTACTAACTAATTATATATGCATGCAAATATTTTTAATTGTTTTTTATGAATATTGCAACATCCTTTCATAGAAAAAGAGATTCTATCGTTATTGACTATTTATCTTATAAATAAGTAAAAATTTATGATTCCACTAGGTACGATAATCGTCTTTAACTAATTCGACCTTTCCACGTTCGAGTAATTATATTGTCTCTCATGCCACCAGACAGCATACCGGACTCAGTACTGCTTTGGGCACCTCGATCGGGATCCGGAATAAGCTCTGGAATAGGGTCTGTTTCTCCATCAAACCCTGTTGATCCCCGCTCGGCAAATTCAGGTGTTTTAGGTAATTCTTGGATCTGTTGATGGTCATCGCAATTTGCAGGTTTTGATTTTGCTTTCTTCAAACATCTTCGATTTCGAATAAGAGTTCGGTCATTCTCCGTTTTGACTTCATAGGACCTGATACCTGCTTCTCTTAATACGGTTGCTTTCTTCCATTCTCGATCCCCAACGTTGACTGGCTGTATCCATACTTGGTCACCTGCAGCCCATGCTGGTAAATCTCTTGCTCCACGGTTGTAAAATTTCTTCTGTTGTTCTTGACGCGTTCTTTGCTGTTTCGTTTTTTCAATAACTGCTGGTTTTAGCAAACCTTTCGAAATTGGCAAAACAGTTTTGGTCCACCTGCTCATCAATCGCTGTGCTGGGCTTCTACTGAAACCTTTTGAGGAGTATTTCTGAGGTCCAACGAAGCTAAATGTGGGTCTCGTCCAGACATCTTGGCTACTTTCAGGACTCGTTTAGCTTTTTAACAGCAGCTTTGGCCATTCCATTTGCCTGATGATGATGCGGGCTAGTCATGGTATGCTTCATTCCATAATTCGCACAGAAATTCTTGAATTCTCCAGAAGTAAACTGAGGACCTTGATCACTTATTAATTCTTCAGGAATGCCATACCGTTCCTTTGATCCCTTGGTGACTGGCATGAAGACTTTCCATCATTGTCTTTCGATGTGCCTTAGGAATAACTAGTCGATCACCATGTAATATCAGCCCACCTTGGACCACCAAATCATCACAGATATGAAAGTAGGACCACACTGCGGCTGGCAGGTTGTTCTTAACCACTGGCCATCCAGACTGTATGACTCTCTTTAACACCTGCAATCTTCATCTTGATCTGTTTTATCTCAGTACATGTTAGCAACATCTTCACTCGCCAACAATTGGTTGATCTCCATGATTTCATGTTCTCCCTGCTCTATCTCCAAATCTGACAAGGTAATTCAGAACATCCGCTTCTCTGGAACTGCTGTCATATAGTGTCTGCTTAGCGTATCTGCAAGATATAATTCAGTCCCTCTTTTATATCTCACATTCAGTTCATACATTTGTAGCCGCATCAACATTCTCTGTAATCGTCTGGGTGCAGAAACGAGAGGCTTTGCAAATATGGTTTCCAATGGTTTGTGGTCAGAGTCAACGCATACTGGTCTTCCAAATGTGTACTGATGAAATCGGTCTGCCATGAATACAATCACCAAGAGTTACTTCTCAATTTGAGCGTAATGATCGCCTCAATCTTGGCTGGGTCAGGTTTCACCCCTGCAGATGTAAGAATGTGACCAATGTAAGGAACTGACGTTTGCTTAAGCAAAAATTTCGTTCCATTCAGCTTCACTCCTCGCTCTCCGCATCGATCCAACAGTCGCTTCATTTTGGCGTCATGGTTGGTGATTGCTTCTGCCATTGAATCGCCATTTCTTATCACCAGAATATCAGCGACTGTCTTGACTCCCGCAAGGTCATCGATCGCTTGATCTAATTCGTCTGGCTTGATCTAATTCGTCTGGCATGACCTAATTCGTCTGGCATGACCTTCGCGCGAAATGTTGCCCTAAGCTTTGTTTCGATTGGTTTTTGTCTGTTGGTATGTTTGTTTCCTTGTTTATATCACTGCTTTAGCACATGGGTTACTTATATATACTCTTAGCACTGCCACCAATGTGATAGTCACTCGTATAAATAACAAACTTTATTTATCTTTTACAATTTAAGAGTATAACACAACATGTTCACAATGTACGTCCATAAAACAATATGGGAATCCTGCTGGCCAAGATTTCGCAGGCGCTCACAGTTTGTCATTGTTTGTTCCCTTTGGATATATCTGTGAAATTTTAAAAATTAAAAAATTCAGTTTGACTACATCACACAGTTACCGTCTGAGTGTCAAGTAACTTGATTATTTGCAGAAAATTTTCAATGTTCTCTTGTGGTCCCAGAAAGCAAAATATATTTTCCACCCCTAGAGCTTCCCTTAACATGGTCGATTACCCACTTTTTATTCACAGTGGAAAGGCTGTTACTCAGGTGCTACAACATGGGTGATTTCATTGTTGTCCATGTTTATGTCACCGCTCATTGTGGATCCGTTTTTGTTGGCATAGTTACCCATGAGTGTCCTTCACCCAGCTCCTTGTGGTAGCATTGGAATCCTCAACTGGATCACTCAACTGAGTGATCCTACGCCACCCCATGTCAATGTCACCGGTCATTGTGAAACCACTTGAATCAAATCTGGGTGCCAGACCTTTAGTCATCTCATTACCGACCCACTTTTTAAAAACTGTGGAAGCATTGGCAGTCGGATCACCTAGGTTCTTGATTTCGTAGCCTCCCACATTGATGTCTCCGCTGAGGGTCATACCGTCTAGTCTCGCATAGTGAGTCAGGATGGTAGTCGGTCATGAATAGCGAACATTGATTGGTCAAATTTAAAATTAGTGCTACAATGACTGCATGTCGACAGCGAAATAGCAAACATTTCTTTTTTTGAATGATTTCTTGAAAATATATTTCATTTTTGCAAGATTTTGTCAATTTGAAAAGCTTTCTAAGAAAATAAAGGCGAAATAATTGCTAAAAGAAGAGAGTAAAGTCGCTGACATTAACAAATAACAAAGGTAGATTTGTTTTAAATATTGATTTGTTTGCTTTATAATAGCTTTAACAGCTGATCATTGCATATATTTTAAATGAAAAAGACAGCATATAATTTCAGTGTTTCTTTATTGATTACCCTTTTTTATTATATTAAAAATTTTAAATAAAAAAGAAAGCAAAGTTGTTTGAATGCGAGAATTTGAAATAATTTTATTTCATACTCAAAGTTTATTGATAATGACAGTTTACTTTTATAAAGAACATTTTAAAACATCTTGCAAAGCGTTTTGAGGTTAAATTTTACATTAAATTGAAGTTTATATTATGTATAATAACATACCTAACATATATATGTTTGGGAATTCATAATTTTATATTATAAGTTATAATTTTTCATTTGTAAAAATATTCTTAACAAAATTATCCTGTTACCTTGTCAACTACTTTAAATACTTCATGTTTGGAAAATACAATGGTTTTGTCAGCAAGGTAAAGGGTTTATTTTGTAAATTTTGTAATCTTGCAATTTCTTGCAATTTCAATAATCTTAAGATTTCAATACAATTATTCTAATGGTGGTATTGCTGCCTCGATGGCTTTCAATCGAGCAAAGATATAGCCTACCAAAGTTGAAGACATGTGATCAACATGCAGTACATTTAAAAAAAATACATATCTTAAGGATTTAAAAGAGGATAAATCGCTTCAGTTGCATTGTAAACAAATAAAATTAGGTCTCATAAGAGATTTTGAAACGGCAGATCTAACAGTGGTACTTTCATCTACATAGCATGCACCGAAATGAAGATATGAATCTGCAAAGTCACTCATGCATCACACTGGTGTAATGTGTTAATAGGGTCATGTTGAGAAAGAGTTTTAAACTATCGTAGTATGAAGAATGTTAGTTCTGTATTGTACTACAACTGGAACACAATGGAATAGAAAATAAGTTAATAAGTGTTCCTCTTGCCAGGCTTCCTAGTCAAATTATTAACATTTTTTGCCCACTGCAACAACATTGTTTTTGGTGTTGAAATAAATAATTGCTTCAACTGTCAAGATCATCTCCATTATGTTATCATCATCAAAACTTGAAAATTCTGCATGTGCACCATTTTGTTCTACGTAAAGTTTGTATAACTCGTATATTTTATCACCAAAGAGCATGAGGGACTTGGTGGAACCTTCTGATGGGCAAGATGACACTTGCTAACCATTGTTTGCATTTATTCTTTAGTTGGGCAAGTCTGCACTCACTACATTTCACAATATTCTTGTCAGGTATGGGTGCCAATTTTTATGACACTTGTTGCATGAAAGGAATCTCCTGATTGATTGAACACCGTCCGCTGAACAGAAGACTTTGGTGAAGCCCAAGTTGTTATCTTTAGAATGCTCATCTTCCCTCTCAATTGTAGCAGACCATTCTACTATAACAGATTTCTTGTTCAAAGAGAGGTAGTTGGTTTCGTTATATTGATGCACTATGACACTGAACAATTTGTACGACTTTCCAGTTGCAATCTTATTGATACCACCTTCCCACAACACAAATCGTGCTGACGCTGTGTTGTCAGTGAGTAAGGTCTCTTGTTTCCTCAGCGTTTTCCTTTGGAAAAAATCTTCAGGGCCTTGGAAGGTGATTCGACCAGAAACATCCACTTTAAGATTTGGTGGTCTATAAGTGCTTCATTTATTGTTGATTGGATGCTATGTTCCCGCCCTGGCCGTTTTATGTCAAATTAATCTCATTGCTGGCTGGTTCTAACAATAGTGTCTGTTTGTTGATGTGTACTTCATCCTGGTCAGTCCAATTTTTTTCTTTTCAGCTGGTACTTGGTCATGCAACTTGATTGGGGAAAACAACTTGCACATAGTTTTACATTGCTGGTGCTTTTCGGGTGAAAAACATACTGCTCTGTACAGTTTATCTTCTGTTTGTAGAGGCATATCAAAATACAAATTATTTTGTTGACTTGTATTTATTTCTGACAGGTTGTGGACATAACCTATTCTGACAGTACCTGAAAAACAACAAAGCAAACCACTATGAGGCTGTGAAAGCATTTCATATCACTGCATACATTTCCACATAGAAATATATAAACATATGCAGTGCAACACATATTTACAAACATGTCTAATGACGCCTAATCTCTGACACCCTATAAGTAGAAATTATTTGGTCAGGTAAAATAAACTCAAGAAATGATTGAAATGGCAATACATCTGGAGATATAATGGTAGAATGTACCTCAAGCAAGACAAGAACAATGTCGTGCATATTTTTGATACAGGAAGACTTCAATGAATTTCAATCAAGGAATCACTTTAACCAACAACTAAGTACCAATTTATTGTTTTGTTGTGTCTATACTTTTTAATGCATGATTGGTGTATGATAAAAACAAATCTCATTTTCTATATCAACTACCCTTTTATAATTTGGATAAGGGTGAATTAAAAATCCCTTCCTCTTATTTGCTTATTTGAATAATGTAACTGTTTAAAAATTTGTGTATATATAATACACGCTTGTAAATAAGTTTAACTCAATTCGATCCGCCAATATTAATTTCCGACGTATATGAAGGGAAGATTAAATATTAAAGAACTTTGCAAGTATTTGCAGTAGACATACGAAAATACCACCAAAAAATTCTGCTTGATCGATACTATATATTCAGAAATATTCATATAATTTTATTGTTTCTCGCTCAATTTCAAGCAAATTTCTTACCTTGAAATGATCAATGCAGTGAAATTTATGCAAATGACACATTATCAATTTTGCTGTTGCATTTTGAATGTTCCGCCTGATTCAAATGCTCGTCTTTTTGCTTCTTTTCAACGTATAATAATAACAAATATACCAAAAGAATTGCCATCTTCCATTCTATAGCTCGGAGCAGTCTCGGGAAATTGCAAAATAATCTAAGCCTATTATGGCAATTCTTGTGATCGGAAAGTGTTCGGCCAACTTCGGATGCCAAATTCTCGGTAAAGCATTACAGTTTCCTGGTAAACGACTGCAGGAATCACTTCCGGAGTGTTTGTTTACCCTAGATACGGATTCTGATTGGCTTAGGCAGAAAAAGAAATCTTTTAGAGCAATTTTCCTGATTATCGCGCACGGGAACACACGAGCGTTGAAATGTATTGTGTTGTAGTTTTGTTTGAATCGCATTCTGAAGACGTTTTTGGCTTTATTTTGCAAACTGATAGTGCTAGTAATGATGGAATGTCTTCGTATGAAGACTCAACCTGGCATTGGGAGTCATGTCTGGAGTTTCAAGGCAAGTGTTTGTATCATTTCTAGACAATTTCTATTTCAATGTTTTGCCGTTGCCATGACGTTGTAAATTTATTTGTATTTAGTATAGCTTCACTAGTACGACCAAGTATGTCCTCATATCGCTTTTTTGTGTTGAAATAATCGTTTCATACTGAAATTGACAAATATAAATGGTATTTATTTATATTGTTGACGAAAATTTATGGTGTTTTCGGCATAAAAATCTCTGATTCCTAGGCGAAGTAAAATGAGCCTTGAGCACATGTTTGGTTGTTTGTTACATACATAATAGCCAAGTATTCATACTTATATCTTACTAGTTGGCTCTTATTATAATTTTAAGTCGCACCATGTCTATAAAAGTTTTTATTCCCACTGATGAATAGATTGATCCTGTTCCTATCTGCTGTTCCTGTTTCATAGCCTCAGGGAAGTAGAGTTCTGATGAGTCATGACAACCCCACTCACCAACCCAGAGGGAAGGTAGGGGGATGAGTAGAGGTAGAGGGAAGCCCAGCCATTAGGACCTAAGGTTTCGAAAGCTCCCTCTCTAGCATCCCCACTAGGCCCCATAGTACATGATGGATATGATGATCCTGACGCCAGGAATGTTCTCCCAGATTTTACTCCTGACTGACATGTCCGGGATCCATTTCGATCAACTGTGAGCTTGAGTTCATTCGGCTCAATGAACTGTGAGCTTGAGTTCATTCGACTCTTTTTTACTAAGGGAATGCTTCAGGAGGTAGTTTCCTGGCCATACCAATACATATGCCCACATACAAATAACTCAAAAGTTATCCCCATATACTAATAAAAAAGGGTCTTGCAGTTCACCAACCTTGAGAGGTTGATTGCCTTTTAGTATAATATGCAGGTTTGCTAAAGGTCGACAGTGAGATTGAAAATTATTGGAGTGTAAAAACCTTATATCATGGTCTGTGGGCAATAGACATAATTTCTCGGGTTAGGTACAAAGCGCTTATGGCATTTGTGAATATGGTAGATCCTGTACTAAAGACTACAGCAATAAACTGCATCAACAACTGTACCAGCCGTCACAGAATATTGTTGTTGCAGACAAACACACTGTCAAATCAAGAAATAGGTTGGGGGTTAGGCAGTTCATGAAAGCTAGATGACCTACTATGTAGGGAATAAATCTGTGGGTTGCTGCAGACAATCCTAATGGTTATATTGCGACTTTGAAATTTATACAGGAAGAAGTCCAGATATTCATCGCAACAGATTTGGGTATGATGTGGTGATCTGATATCAGTTTGGTTACAGTCTTAGGTCTTTTGTAGTACAATATAAAGGAAATATTTTCACCACATAATCCAATTATGTGCTTTGGCAAACATTACTGCCTTGGAAAACATTACTTTTTTATAACTACTAATTATGATGATGCCAGCCCAACAACACTTGGTCATGCTATTGGCAAATAGTTTCATGTTCTAGATTGTGAAAACAATCAATTTCTAAACAAATGAGTAGTGATTATTTCAAATTTGAATAGCATGACCAAATTGTGAGGCTGGTTATGCCACTAATAACTAAAGTCAATGGTGTAATGATTATCTAAGAATGTATGTAGTAATTGTAGAAATAAAGACATTTTGCTAATCATGATTTGAGTGTTCTTTTGTGGGTATCACAGACTTATTTTGGTACCATACTATCTTTGGAGAGTAAGAAATATTGGAAATTTGTATTGATAACATGTTGCAGCAATAAAAAAGGATCTTTGATAAAGGTATTTGTTTCATGTGAGCACAAAATGTAAATTTTACTCCACTACCTAGTTTATATAAAAAATCAATAAAAATATTTCTATTTATGCTACATGCATGAAACTTCGGGTACTTGTAGATCATAACCGTGTCTTTCAGTCATATTCATAAAATTTTTTTGACATATTTGAAATTTGAACCGCTAAATACATTTATGCATAATTGCAACATTTTTTTATATCATATACTTGTCTGAAAGGCATTTGCTGGGCTTTAATTTTCATTTTTAAATTATGCTTTCCACCCAGTGTATCAATTGCTAGGGATGAATTACTTGAAACGTCTGGGGCATGAACATACTCCAATTCAACTATGAACTTAGATGCAAAAGATTTATTCCAAGATATTATTGAATGCCCCGACAATAACAGAAACCTAGAGGAATGTATATTACAATGAAAATATTGAATCCAAATATTATAATATCAACCAAACTGGATCCTTCTTCTGCAAGGCTAAAAAACATGTGTTTCCCATAATGCATCACAATACACATAGTTTGCCAAAAAATCTGTCTATGCTACAAGATTTATTAGGCTCAATTAAAGAAATTCCTGACATCAGCCATTTCAGAAACCAAGTTAAATGAAAATAATATATATAATATCAGTTTGCCTATCCAGCTAAGAATTTATTCACACCAACTCAAAAACATCTGCTGGAGGCATATTCGAGTCCAGTATGTTTGAAATTATACACAAACGACAGAAAAATATTATATAGGATGCATTTATCAACATATATCTAATAACCATACTCAATTTCGTGAGAGGTTAGAGGTGACTTTGACAGAGTTAAATGGAAAGGGATATGAAGTGTTTTTACTTGGTGATAAAGATAAATTTCCCTAAGTACAATGTCGATGCATAAACATCTGAATATCTTGATATGCTATTCGGCATTTCGGCTGGCCATGTCATCATTTTGTACAACTTGATGGAAACTTTATGTTAGAAGTGGTAACAGGCATTTTCTTATAGTTTAAGCCTTGGTGAACAAGACTATCCCAGCTAGCACACAACGTTATCACAACATTGGTAGAAGGTTGTGGTAATGTTAGGTCGGACCTAACTTTACCACAAGTTAGGCGACATTGTTTTCTTTCTTTGTAATAAAAGTTTGTGATAAACGTTGTTGCAACATTGTTGTTGGACGTTGGGATTGAGACAGCCAATTAACGTTTGTTCAATGTCCGTCCAAATTCAGAGGATTAACTTGATCATGTGATCGACGGCCAGATAATTCATAATTGATGTGAATTTTGGTTTAACCTATAACGTCAGCAACTGAACAACGTTGACACTACTGGTTTTTAGAATAATACCTAAATCTTATGTACATTTCAATTTAGCTATATAGCCTATACTGGCAGTCTGGCAATCTAAAAACTCGAATTCTTCGTCTTCTTGCCGGAGTTGCCTTTTCTAAATTATTAAAATATTCAACTGGGCACCTTGTGGCGCACAATTGAGATATTCTCGCAGATGGCAACATTATGATTGACACTATTTTGCCCGATTTGACTACAATACGAACTTGATCTGCTCGCATCCGCTAGTGAGATTAAAACTATTTTAATAATTAAAGGTCGTTTTTCTTTCTTGTAATTCAAAACCGCATTTTATAAAGAACACAAGAGTGCTGTGGCCATGGGCGCCTTGGCCACGGGTTCTAATTTGCATGCGCATGCGTAAAGATTGCATCATTTCTATTCTTTCATCATCACATGGCATTTGAACACATTCATACCACACTGTCAACACTGCTAAACTGGAGCTCTAGAAAGCTATATTCGGATTTGAAGGCAATATTTATTTTGAGACAATTTGTTGATCCTACTGTTAAACGTAAGTAGACACTTTTTACAAATAACATTGTGTTATTATTATTGTTTAAAACATTGGTATAGACGTGTGTATTATATTTGTGGCCGACTGTAATAAACAGGCTAACAGCTTCATCTAGTTCATGATAATTTCATGAATTTGACGACTTAAACTAGTTGTCCTCAAATGCGATGGTTTGTTTGTTAGAGTATTTATCTTGTATAAAAACGTTGATTATAAAGCATGGATTATTTTTATGTTTTGGTATAATCTGTATAGTATCAGTATTTACATTATTTGCGATGAAGAAAACAACAGCTTTCTTCCCCACTTGCTTGATATAAATTCAAGATGGCCGCCAGTCTTCCGATCAATTTCGAACTGATATATTTATTTTATATATGTATATATTTTATACATATAGCCTTATATAAAATATAGACAGAGTAGAACTTTTTAACGAATTCTGGCCATTGCTGAACTCATCATGATTGCGTTTAATATGTATGCTTCATACTCAAGCCTATATTAAAAAGGCAACTAGTATGGAATGTCTATTTTTGTGTGCTGTTGTAGTGGTCTCAGTACTCCCTGGTCTGGGTTCTCTCCCTTAAACACTCTTTAAATTTAAGTAAAAATGTCTTATAATTGTTGAATTTGTTTGCAAGACAAGATAAAGTAGGAGCGCTTTTTCGTTGTGTTTCTTAACACATAGCCCATTGCTCTGTTAATCCAAAAGGAAATATCAGACCGGGATATAACTGAGACCACGACACAGCACACCTAACACTGTTAACACATTTACTGGCAGTACTCTACCACTGACAAGTAAAATTGTCTGGCATTACACAGAGTAAATACATAAAAGTAGGGTGAATTTAGGCACATTGCCAGTTAATGGGTTAATAATAGACGTTAGCAAATAGGTTCGTTAACTCTTTCACTGGTAGTATTCTACCACTGTCGAGTAAAATCGTCTGGCGTTTCACATAGTAAATACTAAAGTAGGGTGCATTGCCAATCAATGGGTTAATAAGAGATGTTGGCAGATAGGTTTGTTAACCCATTAACTAGTAGTACTCTACCACTGACAAGTAAAATCGCCCAGCATTAGACAGAGTAAATACTAGGGGGTATGCTCCAATGGGAATATTTTGAAAATTGAACCCTGGAAATGCCATATCTTGCACTCTGAGCTATAGACTACTCAAAACATTTGAACTACATAATCATATCATAGAAAATGCTGATATCGAAGGAACTAGACTCAGTTCCAAAATATCATCAACTCAAACGAACTTGACCATGTAGCTCAGTTGGCAGAGCATTGGACTAGTATCCCAAAGGTTGCGGGTTCTATTCCCACTGTGGCCAAGCAAACTTTTCAGCTTGCCCTATGTGGATGCATACTCAGAGTAATGTCGCAAACATATTCACCTGAGTACATAACACCAACACACACAAAAATACATATAATTTAGACAATAAATAGCATTGTCTAACGTTCTGCACTATACATAGTTTTACTCATTTGTGCACCAGTTTGTGCACCAGTTTGTGTACCATTTTTACTGTTGTGCACTGGATATGTTGGTGCACAGCCTTTACATTCCATACTGGAATGGCAAATGTGCTTGTGTATTTTTTTCTGCTGTATTTACTGTATACCAGCCGCCACCACATGGTTTATTCACAGTTTATAATGTGCTTTTAAAATACTTGATAATGTAAACACCTTGAAAAGGTGGTAGCTTGTTACTTTGAATATTTTTTGGGTTCAAATTACCTCAGAGAAGGGGATGTACAACTTTTATGAAAATATGCCCAAGATTATTATTAAATTGCCCATGATTCATTAAACTACACAGTTGAATGACACCACATTTACCGAAGGAACTACTAGTAGCAACCTTTGGATATAATTCTATATTTAGGGCCATAGCAACGGGGCTGCCCCCCCCCCCCCATAATTTGCTAATAATCATTCTTTTTTTCAAAGTCATGCAGACCTTTACCATTTAAATAATATACCATTATAGTACTAACAATTGATTAATTTTAAGCGGCTACATTATCCATGACAAAAAGTATGAAGATATTACCCATACTTTTTTGGCAACTTATCGAATATATAGTTAATTAAATACGCCTTCGCTCATTTAGTACTACTAATTGTAAAATTTCCTCTGGCTTTCGGCCCTTGCTTTCAGCCCCCCAACCATAAAGATCTTCCTACGGCACTGTATATATGTATAAACATGCAATTATACGAATGCAATAATGCATCAAGTATTCCTTATAGCGCTATAGCTACATATTAACTGATTAACACTTAAGATTGTTCCCTTGATGAGAACCTTTTGGCATTGACAAGAGTAGAAAGGTAAAGTAGGGCACATGAGCGCTTTCATGGCCCTCGCTTTCAGCCCCCCAACCATAAAGATCTTCCTACGGCACTGTATATCACTATAAACATGCAATTATACCAATGCAATAATGCATCAAGTATTCCGTATAGCACTATAGCTATATATTAACTGATTAACACTAAAGATTGTTCCCTTGATGAGAACCTTTTCGCATTGACAAGAGTAGAAAGATAAAGTAGGGCACATGAGGGCTTTCATGGCCCTCGCTTTCAGCCCCCCAACCATAAAGATCTTCCTACGGCACTGTATATCATTATAAACATGCAATTATACCAATGCAATAATGCATCAAGTATTCCATATAGCACTATAGCTACATATTAACTGATTAACACTTAAGATTGTTCCCTTGATGAGAACCTTTTGGCATTGACAAGAGTAGAAAGGCAAATTAGGGCACATGAGGTTTCATAGCAGCTTAGAGTGTTAAATTGAAACATGCATTCCTGTGTAAGGCTGACAAAAGTCTCTACATTGGTTTATTACAGTTTGTGGTTAAAGTTAATATGAAACCAAGTCGGGCACAATACAGGCGAAAATGGGTTGCTGCAGCTAGAACATTACAAAATACAAACCATCATGATCCTAACATGGACAATCATCCCACTGTTGACCAACATCCCAATGTTGACCTTGATCAGTTGATTGAACTTCCTTTAAACTCTGTATTACCAGACAATAGTGACCCAGACAATAGTGATCCAGAAATAGATGAAGAACAATCTGAACCAAGTCGAAAACGTCTTTGTGGTGCTGCAAATGGTTCCTTGCATGAGGAGGGTGATATAGGTGTATAGGAAATGAATGTAGCTCTGATAGCGAAGATGATTTAAATGATGAATCTCTTCAGGGCGCGCTAGCTAGTTGGGCCAATGAGTTTCTAGTTAAACACAATGCAATGGATAGCTTGCTTGCGCTTCTTAAAAAGAGGGGTCACCCAAATTTACCCAGTTCTGCTCGTACACTGTTGGGTACAAAAAGATCTATTTCTGTTCAAGTGAAGTCTGGAATGGATTATGTTTATCTGCCTCTAGCTGCTGAATTGTTGAAACATTTTAAGAGACATCCTCCCAATATAGTTGACCATATTGATTCATTTGAGATTTCTCTAAATGTTGATGGGTTGCCCTTATTTAAGAGTTGTAACAAAACTTTATGGCCTGTTCTCTGTGCAATTGTGAATGTAAAACCAGTAGTAGTTTTTCCTGTTGTTCTAGCCTATGGGAACTCCAAACCAAAAGATTTGGAATTTTTGGAAAATGTTATCAGGGATTTGGGTGATGTCCTTGAGAATGGTCTGCAAGATGGTAATAGAGTTCTTCCTGTAAGTTTGAGGTGTGTTGTGTGTGATGCCCCTGCAAGAGCACTTGTCAAAGGTACCAAATTATGCTCAGGGTATTTTGGTTGCGACAAGTGTGCGCAAAAAGGCATGTGGGTTGGTAGAGTATTTTACCCTTTAATTAAGGATATTGACTTGCGATCTGATTATTCCTTTCGGGAGCAGGTTAATGAGGGACATAATTTAAGTGTGAGTCCTTTTTATACTTTACCAATCGATATGATTAAAAAGTTTCCTATCGACTATATGCACCAGCTGTGTTTGGGAGTGACTAGAAAGTTGATTTTGACTTGGATTAGAGGTAGCTGGGAAGTCAAATTGTCAGCTGGTCAAGTCGAGGAGATCAGTAATAGATTAACAGGTCTGAAACCATTTGTTCCAAGTTTCTTTGCACGTAAACCAAGAGGCATGGCAGAAATTGATAGGTGGAAGGCAACTGAGTATAGGCAATTTCTTGTGTATACTGGTCAGATAGTTCTCAGTGGTATACTAAGGCCTGATCTATATGATCACTTCTTATGCCTTAGCGTTGCTAGTTCCATACTGATATGCCCTAGGTTAGCTTTGCTTCATAGACCGTATGCTAAGCAACTGATGGAATACTTTGTGGAGCAGGGGAAGGTTTGATATGGCAACGAGTTTCAAGTGTATAATGTGCATAACATGATACATTTGGCTGATGAGGTCCAGGAGTATGGAAGCTTGGATGCATGCAGTGCATTTCCATTCGAAAATTACATTTACATTGTATTTCCATTCGAAAATTACATGCAGAAATTAAAAAGATTGGTTCGTTCTGGAAAGAACCCTATTGCGCAGATAGCCAAACGACTAAGTGAGAGCTATGGTGCCATCCCGCAGTCCCGAGAAGCAGTAATCAGTCTGAAGAAACCGGACAATTGTTTTATACTGACTGATTCATCTTGTTGTGAGGTACTTGATAAATCTAATCATCCCGATCATGGCGAAAATAAATATTTGTGTTGTGTATATGAGAGGACTGAAGCTGTATTTCATAGACCATGTGATTCTCGCCTCATTGGTGTGCACAAAGGAAATCCACGGTGAATAACTATGAAAGTTGTGTGTCAGCACAATCCCTCAACAGAAATGCAATGAAGGTTGATCTTGGTCCCAACAAGATTGTTTTTATGACTATCCTACACAGAATAAAATAGCAAAGGTATTGTATGTGCCTGTCCTAATAGTTACAATAATGTGACTATTTCCTTGTGGGATAAATGAAAATGAAACTATAGAAAGTTAAAAGTAAAATTTACAAATTTTTTCATTGCTCAAATAATTGTAGCAATAGCATAGGAATATTTGCTTTTGCTTGGGAATATCCAAACATAAAATGCTGCTGGTATATAGTCTATAACTGCAAATATATATCTTTTTCATTGAAGATGACTACCACTGGTTTTGCTGTTGTCGAGTTTGTCGATGAAAAGTCAGTTGAGATAATTTGTGAAAAATGGACGGAGACATGTGATGGGGTAAGTATGGCAACTTTCAGTACCATGTTAGTTTGAGGATGTCATATATTTTGCAAAAGATAGTTAAACAACAGAACCAGCTCTATGGTTAGTATTTTATAATGCAAGGTGTCTATTTTTATCTTAGGTTATGTACAGCTACTGGCCACAGTTAAATGCAAAAGGAGAAGCTAAAAAAGCTGAGATCCCCGACAAAGAATTATGGAAGAAGTATAAAATAAGAGTGCTGTCATACACAGGTATTAATGTATTTTAGTATAAATTTTCTATTTTATATCAGCTTTCACATGCATGCAATTCACCTATAAATCTGTTGCAATATTTATTGCTACAAGCATCAATTATTGTGTTGCAAAATAATAGTGATAAAAGAGTAGCCAAGTTTCATTGTTTAGAGAACACAAGCGAAAAAAGGCCGAAGAAAAATGCTGTCATTAAACCATTAACGCCCCAGCGCTTTCCCCTTGACATGTAAAGTCATCTGACATCACCTAGGGTAAAAACATGTGTGTCAATTGAAGACTTTATGTTCACAGTAGTTTGTCATGATGTGTATTGTTTTTACACCATTTTTTACAGTATGTGTACCTCTGTATTGTCCATATTAGAGAGGTACAACTGTATTTGAATTTCAGTCGTTGTACCATTTTCTAATGCCTTTTAGATAATTTCAAGATGGCTCAAAAGTGGTTAAAAAAAGCTGAAGAAACATCAAATGTTGATTCAGAGTCTGATTCAGATGGTTGTGCAAGAAGAAAGAGGTCAAAACCTAACACCCGAAGAAAGAGAAGTCGACCAGGAGGTTACCATTATGCTGAACTGTCGGAATGTTTCGATGGTAAGTTTCAACCTGTAAGTTTTAATTACTATTTATAAGTGAGACTTGAATGATGTGGTTTCTTGCACTTCACTTGGTGGAATTAATATTAGAATGTTAGGGTTTGTAATCCAAGTGACTATATACATTTTAAGACCTGACCAGGAACGACTGCGAAAAATGCAGCACAAGGTCCTCTGGTAGGAATTGAACCTACGGCCCTGCATTACAAACCCTAACATTCTAATATTAATTCCACCAAGTGAAGTGCAAGAAACCACATCATTCAAGTCCACCTTATCACAACCCGCACACCCGATTACCTATATATACATGAACTTACGGTTGCAGCTCAACAGCTGGCCTCTGTAGCTCAGTTGGTTAGCGCTGCACCGGAATCGCAGGGCCGTAGATTTCTATGCTTAAAAAACAACTATAACTTTCATCATTTGAACAGTTTGAAAATGTATTTGGAATAGGTTTAACTTAATGTTTAAGTTCCCTGTTTAAGACTAGAAAACATACGAGTCTTCTCATTTCATGGGAATATCCTGAGTCTGCAATCACGGCTTCAATTTTTGAATTGCAGAATAATTAGATGCACTATCTAGTGTATATAAGATATCTATGATTACAAGCCCTAACATTCTAATATTTAGAAGTGAATTTGTTTGAATTTTTTCCCATTACAAAAGTCCAATAGGATCCTCTAGGAATTCCAGTAGCAAATTCAGACTCTTACTTATACGAATAGACTAATTACAGTATTTCTAAAGGATTTCCTTGAAGCATAAAATATTCTAATACGATTTTAAAGGAATTCCAATAAAAATACATTGTATGACTGCAGCCAAATTTCTTTTTGGAATCCTACATACAACAATAAAGTTGACCCATTGAATATGGGTCAATAACTTTTACCAATATAATGTAACTGTACATGTACTTTATTCTCTCACATAAAGGCAATGAAACGGATAATCTGGCACGCGAAGAAAATTTAACATGTCCTGCTCTCACACCACTTCTTCCTGCAGCACCCATATTTCCTGTTGCATCATCCCCTGGACTAAATAGAAATGGAGATTTCTCAGCTGCCCTTATATCTGCGGTTAACACTGTCTTTGATTCAATACCAAGTGGTGAGAACACTCCAGAATTGATTAATTAGAAGTACGATCACAGTTCCATGTTTATACATTGCAGCTACTGTAACTTTTGAGATTGCTTTTATCTTTGCGCAGATGTAAGCTGTGATAGTCGTCCATTACATTCAAGTATTCCTTGTACATCTACCAGTAGTCCAAATTATTCAAATTCTCAAAGACAACATCAACGTAAGTTTGAAAAATCCGTCCTTGTTATGATTACATACACGCATTGTCGAAGAGGTTAACATACACTATCTTTGATCCAACTCCGATTGGTGAGAGCACTTCTGAATTGATTAATTAGAAGCAAATCGCAGTTCCATGTTCACTCATTGCAGCTACTATAACTTTTGGAATTGCTTTTATCCTTGCATAGATGTACTTAACAGCCTGAATAATGTGAGCAGTGGTAGTCGTCCAGTTCACTCAAGTATCCCTTGTACACCTACCAGTACTCCAAATTATTCAAATTCTTATAGACAGCATCAAAGTAAGTTTAAAAATTTGTGCTTGTTATGACTACATATTAGACGTATCGTCTACACACGTAAAAATCTTGCATCTTGTAACAAGTCTGCCAACAAGCCATCAACAAGATGTATTCGCACTGCTTGTCACAAGTTGTCAACAGGTTTGGAACAACTTGTTGACAACTTGTAACAACCTTGTCGAAATTATCAGACCTGTTGCAAGGTTGTTCTGACAAGTCCGTTACAAGCTTGAAATAATAAGATTGTTACAACCTTGTGTTGACAACCTTGTAACATCCTTGTTATATCATGGCTGTAACAAACGTGTTAGCACAGTCTTGTAACAAGGCTGATAATACCATCAAGCTTGTTACAAGTTGTTAACAGCTTGTTTCAAACTTGTTACAACAAAACTGGGAACAAGCAGTGCGAACACAACTTGTTGACAGCTTGTGAACAGACTTGTAACAACTTGTTTGCAGACTTGTTACAACTTGTGCGTTTTTACGTGTGTAACAGCTTAACATACTGTATACATGCATGCTCTTTACTTTTATATTTAACACCAGTGTATTGTAAATAGCTTTTTGCAAGCACAAATTTCATTTTTTTTCAAAAATTTCAAACCAAACCACAGTGTAATTTATGGTTGCATGCCCTCATTGTTATACAATTTAACTAGTACCATTACCAATTCCTAGATGGATTGAACAAAAGCACAACGAACCTTAACAATGAGAATCCAGTGTTAACACACAATGGTAAATCAACTTCCACCAAACAGGATCAACAAGACAGTAAGTTACTATATTTGACCACATTATTCATGACCAAGACCCGATATTGGAAATGTTGATCCTTGACCATCGTATTATAAAACTGAACAAGAGTACATATATAAAATACAATGTTCAGTGGTTGAAACGTCTCTAGAAAGGGTTATTTAGCTATATAAGATACACAGTTTCCTCCAACCAGAAATTTATTTAGTGTGTAATGGAGTACTAAATCCAAAGTGTTTTTGAAAATTTGAAGATAAAGATTAAAGCATAGCATATGAATTTCTAACGAGACTATAAATAAAACTTATTTGTTGAAATTTTCGTTATATTGTAACTACAAAACAAAATTAGATACGAAACATCAGCAATTTTTTGTAACGTCTTGTTTGAAATTGTATGCTGGGCTTTTAATATATTCATCAAATTGCGCTTATCAATTGTTAAGTTTGTAAGACACTAAGACTAGCATGTGTAGTTTTCCACCACTGCCAATTAATATTCAAAGAAGTTGGTATTGATGGTAAAATCTCGAACGGTCTTTGACAGTGTAGGTAGTGATAGATTCAAAGCTAGGAACGTGGGTAGGATTTCAACCACCAATAAATATACAAGAGGATTAAGTCTCGATGTTTCGAGCGAAGACCCTTGGTCGGGAGTTAATTGAACGTTCTCTTATGTATTCTTACTTATTTTTTTACCTTTACCCTTTGTCGTACGCTGCATATTTTCCTATAGTCTTCTATTTTTGTATATTCTGTAGTGTGATTTGCATTTTGTTTATAGTTTGTTTTGACTATGCTTATCTGATACACTTTTGTATTCATTTATATAAAAACACAGTCGTGTGTTTCCCGATTCCTGCTACAAACTCCCAACGAAGGACCTTCGCTCAAAACGTTGATATCTCTTGTATATTTAGGTGCTATTCATGCTATCATATTTGGCATGTTGAAACTTGTAGAAAAAAGAAAAACCTTTCTTACATAACCTTTCTTGCTTTCCAAATAGATGGAATGCAAAAGTGTTAAACCATACCAATGCTTTGATATTTTTTGTTGAATTAAATTAGTAATTGTATAGTGCTTTTCCAAGTACCCTTTCAATTACGAAACGCACATTATGAAGACTTGCTCATGGTGAAATTATTTGTAGACTTTCAGTGATGCGTCCTCACAAAACTGGACATTATGATTGAAAAAGAAGATGAAGGTCTTTCCATTTTGCGGATATTACTCGGTGCCACCAGTAAAGCTACTGCTAATACTGATATAATGCTAGAGGACATAATTCCAAGTCCAGTCGACTCTGTTGACGATCTAAATCAATTGTCGTCTCGCCTTGACGATGATCAAGAATTTACGAAGAAAATGGTAAGTATTCCTACAAATATTGTTTATCCAAGGTGAAGAACGCTATACAGAGTAGATATATATGTGGATACACTTTATCCTCCTTTGTTTTTCATTACTGCATGTCCTCCTCCCAACCTTTTAGCCAGGATTCTTAAAGTGCATATGACATGAAATTTCTTATTTTCTTAAATGAAAGGAACTCTTTAAGCTGTAGTGTAACTTATTTTTCAGTTTCTTGTTCTTATGGTGTGTTCCCGAGATATTTCAATTTGTTTCATGATATGTAAATGAGTGTGAATATGTCCACTAATTTATGAAGTCATCTTGGTTGCAAGCACGTCAAAATTGTTGAATATCACTGCTATCATCCAAGATGATAGTTTCAAACTTCACTCACTGGTAAATATGATGAAACACTGTAGAAAAACGTGAACAGATATCTACAGTTTTTAGAGTTAATAGATTTATAACCAGTGTAAGTTGAGCTTGCAACCAATGTGATGTCATAAATTAGCAGACATATTCACACTCATTTACATATCAAATAAATTGAAATATCTCGGGAACAAACCATAAAAACAAGAAAGAAACTGAAAAATAAGTTACACTACAGCTTAAAGAGTTGTTTCATTTAAGAAAATAAGAAATTTCATGTCATATGCGTGCACTTTAAAAAGGGCATCCAATTTATAAAACGTGAGACAAAAGTGAACTGTGCCACCATACTTTTTCACTTACAACCACTGTGAAATTCGACGTCAATTAGAATATTCTTTTCTAACATATTTATATATTTTAGGCAAATTTATTGAATTTATTCTTCATTAATAATTTATAGTGAGTTTTTGAAATAACATATTAACTAATTATATTTTGTGTATATACTGCAGTTACAATTTATGGAAGCTCTCTGTGGAATAAGCACAACGAGAATTCTTGCAAAAGTTGGCAGTAATAATCTGTGGTCTAATTACAGTCTGAAAGGAAAAAAGTCAAAACTGCCTTTCAAAGACCTTACAATTTGCAGGATTTTGATAAGTAAGTAATTTGTCTTTCATAATTTCATCAGTTATGGACAGTGGCGGAAATTAACTTTCATTTTGAAAAATGTAACATGCGGGCCACATGCTATACCTGGCCAATAAGGAGCTCCCTTAGCCGGACGACGTCAAAAATCACGCGTATTCTGTAGGTGCACTTTACCTATAGAATAGATTTCTGGCATTTCCTGAGTCATACGATAGAAACGTCGCGTTGTTTTGACGTTGTGAAATTGTATTTATGGTTGGGACTAGCTCACAGTCAGACCAGAAATGGAAATACTGTGATAATGATGCCAATTTGAAGATATAGGCTCGAAATGTGCTCTCAAAAATTTTAGCAAAGTTTCCATGTCCTTGCCATAAAATATTATACTAAATTTTAGTTTCTAATGTTCAGCAAAACTTCTATTGTTTACAACGTCGCTGCCAGCGGACATTGTGGTTGTAAATCTTTGACAAACTGCGATTTAAGTGGGTTGTATTTATGTCATGGGTCAAACATAGGCTTATGCAGCCATTGCTTTTTATACAGGTAAAGTATTTATGTCTGCGTCTTGGTAGACAAATAAATTAATCTCTACTTCATCTTTAATGCAGAAGAGTGCACAAGAAGGCTAATGATGTCGATGTCGAGTGGAAAATTGCAGAATTTCTGAACAAGCCAGGAGGCACAAGATACAAGGTAAATATTAAATAATTCACTGTAATCCAACTGACACGCCGAGAGGGAACCTTTCTAAACAAGTTCTTTTTTTTCAGGACCGTGAAAGTCACAAAGATTAGTTATTCATTACAGAATTTATATCATTCTATGACTATATGTTCTCCGTATAATGTTAAATCTAACGTTACACTATGTAATTTTTTAATGAAGTTTTTCCATGATAAACTTAGATAATTATTAGGTTATTAAAGTTTGTTCACGTTTAAAAACTTGTTTGATTGATGTGTTACTGTAGCAAATATACTGTATATATGGTCTGGATGTTTTCTAAATATAAGTTCTTTCATTATTGCAGTCTGAGATGGGCAGGTACAAAAGTCGGATCACATTGTCGTACTGCATTTGGATCGAACCCTAACTCAAATATCAAGCCCACGTCTGGTTTTGGTTACTGTAGCCTTGGGGTTAAGGTCAGGTCCAATCCACGTAGCGATCCGATTCGACTGCCTAAGATATTTAAAATTTGAATTGCATTCCTAAATACTGGTAGCATTCTGTGTGCCTCGGCCTTTTATAACATAATTCCATAGGTTTTTTATGCGAGCAGCGGCTGTATAGTTGGAGCGAAGCATTCTTTTTAGTTTTATACCTGATAATGAACAATATTATTACGCCGCTGAAATTATCCTTTCATATTCACATTTTGCAACGTTTGAACAAACGTTCTAGGCACGTTGTATAAACTTCGAGGAAACGTTCTGTGAACGTTGCATGAACGTTCAGCACAACGTTATTCACAACATTTTTAGTACGTTTCTGGGAGTTCACAAAATAACGTTGCCACAACGTCCATCACAACGTTCTTTTCACGTTATTTCAACGTTTGTACAACGTTGTGACAACGTAATTTTGGTAGCTGGGATATGTTTTACCACTTCTGATTTTTGTTTTTTGCCAAAAATTTGAGAATTTTAAAATTTTGCCTATTAACTCATTAAGCGGCAAGCTGTTACAATGTTTCTACCCGCCTAAGGCGCAAGCAATATGGCGAATTTGTGATTGAATTCAAGAGCTTTCACCAAAATGGCAATATCTCAGAAAGAGTTGCATAAAAAAATCTGATCTTTTCAACCAAACATTAGTGATATATGATTGACCAAATTTAGTTTAAATGACTTTGCATACCTACATATATCACTAGTTTTTTCAATGAGAATTTTTATTGTAAAGCAGTGACACTTTGTTTTTCATGTCACTCATCACCGAAAGGGGCAATATCTCCATAAATTTATATAAAAACAAAAAAAAATCATTTACTAAATTGGTACATATCTATATTATAACCAATTTTCTTCTTTTGGGATATGAATTAGAAAACGATCAAAAATTATAAAAAATACTCATTTGCTTTTTTTGGGTAAGATATTTACAACATGAAATTTAGAACAGTAACTAAGTGTTCAAATTCAACTAAATGTGCAAGCCAAAACACAGTGCTTGTTCATCTTTGGAGTTTTTAATTACCTCAAATATATTTAAAAGGACATATGGTACTAGAATTTATTTATTTTCAATATAAACCAAGGATGGGAAGGTGAGAAAATAGGAATTTTCTGAGGTGTTTTTAACACAGACAATGACAGCCGACATTTTCAAAGGCAAATTGCGGTGACAAAACCAAAAGTTATTCACTTCTCTACTCAAAGCACTGAAAAACACCATAAAGAGAAAAACATTTTAGACATACATCAGGTAAGCCTTTCAGCTCAATTTTCTCATGTTTCTGTTTGGAAAGAAACGGTTTTTAGCCAAAATTATTTTGCGCGCCAATGTAGGCTGCTATAAAATGTCAGACACGCGTTTTCTTTTGAAGTCTGGCTCTAAAAAACAAGCGCTTTTTTTAGTTTGAAATAAGCTTTCATAAGGACTAATTGTGTACAAATGTTATCTGTATGCTCAAATGAAAAAGATAACCTAATATTCAGGTATTCAACATAGCTATAAAAGGGTGAAATAAGGACTTTCATCTTTGGTTGTTTGTCAGACATGAGAAACCACATTAGTGCCATTTTGTCGCGCGTGCTATTTTATAAAATAAACACCTCAAAACCATAAACTTTTGTTCAGAAAACAACAAAGTTTCCCATAGACATTATTAAAAATGTTCTAGTGAAGCGATTTCATGATAAATAAGTGAGCTATGGGCCCAAAAGAACTCCTAAACTATGTTTTTGTTAGGACTTCAATTTCATGGCTTCCCGCAAAGGAAGCCCATTTCAGATAGAAGCGGCATTTCTGATTCAACGTGTAGTTACTAGAAAATGAGGTTGCATCAACATTATTATCTGCTTTATCGATTTAAAGTTTTATGGGGATATAAATCCCAATAGAAAAAGCGTTTTAAAAGCTTTAGAACTCAAGTGCAGACTTTTTGAAAATTTGCACGCGGCAAGCAAGCGCACTAATTCAATACACTTATTTTAAACCACAATATGTCTGAAACGAGTTGTCGTTTTAAGACTAAATTGATGAAAATAGATATAACAGTGATTTTGGAGTATCCTACTTACTTAGTGTAATTTAATACTCGAAGTATTCTTGCCAAAAAGGGCACGTACGCACACAGTAATTTAATCTGGTGTCGTTTGAAACATACTTTAGCTAAAATAACAACTTGAACAAGAAGACCAACAATGGGGTTATGAAAACAGTCGAAATTGTGCCCAAATTTGCATAAACAGTTCGTCTAAAAAGATAAGTTTAAACTAGATTCAACCAACATTAATGTGGTCGAATTTTGTGAGTGTTTGATCGCATATTTCTACTCAACAATACCCTTAAAAATATCGTATCTGCTCACTTGAGTTCCGTGTTCATCTTTCTTGTGATTTCCGACTTCTATTTTTAATAAAGTTTGGAGAAATCCTCATTTTTTTGGCTGAAAATCTCGCGCATGGTTCACAGAAGAACTTGGCCCCAAAACGTCAATACATTCGCTTTCCTTTCATGCCAAATTTTCGTTGTAGATGATTCCAAAACCTCTTCTTTCTTTGCTTTTAAAACTTGCTGTAAAACCATTCTTTGCAACAGTATCGCCATTGTTCATTATTTTTTAAAAACTAAGGTTTTAAACTTAAAAAACTTTGTGAGTTTTTGGCCGATTTTCTTGCATGATACACCGTTGAAAAGCTCGAATTTCACGTTCTAATTTCGTATCCGTTGCTAGGCAACCCGATAAACACGTGCTCAAATATCATGCCCGCAAGTTAAGGAGTCATGTTCGGGCGCATTCGGGCACATTGCCGCTTACCCCCTTGCCAATCTCAGGGCGCATTCGGGGGCATTGCCGCTTAATGAGTTAAATTTAATACTATAAAGGCAAAAAATGTATAATCTCATGTTCTCTTATGCAAAAAAATTATATTACTTGAAATATTGCAAAACTATATACAGGGTGTATAAAAAAAGGAGACCTTTAGAAATCAAGCATAGTGTTAAAACTTGAATGCCTTTTCGTATGTTGAACTGTAGTGTATGAAATATTGATGGAGTGCATATATCAGACCTTTAGAAATTGAAATAACGATTAAACAAAAGATTGTCTGTTTACCTCAGTGTTGCCATGGAAACACGATAAGAAAATTTTAATTTTTATACTTTTGTGTACAACAGGGCAAAAAATAGTTGAAAGATTATTGCTTTTAACTATATAACAATGACTTTCCACAATATGTACTGTAGGTATGTTGTTCTGGATTTTGTGAGCTTTGATTTACTGTAAAATTTAAAGGGGCCCTACAGTCATTTTTTAGTCAAGTGAGTATTCTTTACATTTTTTTGTTATTGTCGATACTTGATATGCGCATCACGGCATGAATGCGTGTTCCGGTGTGCGGAAGTACTCATACTCATGGATACTGCATGTAAGATACAGCCAAACGAATCTCTGTGGAGTCCCCTACTTAAAGTGCCACTAACCCCCTAAATTTTTTTTTCATATAATAAATAACCGCTATTTATGGAGTACAAAACTGGAAATTTTTTTTAATCGGTTGAATTCTCGCAATGCCATGGCTTCTCAAAGTTTGCACACATTTGTTCCACGACCGAGTTTTGGGAGACTGGTGAGAGAGGAATGTGTGACGTCAATTGGTGAACTCATGCGAAGCCTCCTTGTAAACACTATACATTTACCATTACAAAGAAGCTTTAATTTCGAAGAATAATTCGCGGTTTTTTATATCTTTTTGCAATGTCTTCGACGGATGCATCTTCCGAGGCTTCTTCGTTCGCATCAGGGAACGATTATTTATCAGAATATGACAAAATGTAGGGATAGAAGGCTTAGAAGCCGATATATCTGGTTTCAAGCGATGATGATGCCTTTATATCATGCCTATGCAGCTATGCTTGGGTTGATGATCCTGTCGCTGATGAGGAGTGGACATGAGGGCGAACGAGATCATTAAAGACGAGATATTGAAGCGTTTGCATGAAACTGCGAAACTTTATGAGTGGGTAAGTCGCAAATTTTGCTTATACTATGCTATGCTATACTATGCTATACTATACTATTACTATACTATACTATACTATTTTAATAAACATATTTACGTTAAAGATTATTCCATGGCATGGCAAGGCCACTCATGTTGTCAATATTACATAATTTATATTAGGTGCAAATGTGAAAATTGTAGCCTGGAGTTTTTGAGTAATTGGCAAGAATGCAAATATATTGCTGTTGTGAGCTGGAATGTTGCTACTTAACCATTTAATAATAAGCTGCTATGCACCCTACCTACAAATCTCTCTAACACCAGGCAATTTTATTTGACAAAGGAACATGCGGAACTATATGTTCATGAACTTTCCCTAATCAGCAGTATCAGGCAGAGTAAAATTACAGAACACCATTTGTTTCATATTTCACTTAGATAATGATAGACCATTGAGAGGAATGTTGGAAGCTGCACTGTGTCTCAATAGTGTGCTCATATTTATCTTACTCTGTCTAAAAAACCAGACAATGTTACTAAACATTAATGGGAGAGTTACTTATATTGAAACTCAATAGACCTTACCGTTTATTTACTTTTGACCCAGTGGCCTCGTTTTCATGTGATATTAAAACTCATGTTTTGTGCATAAGAGAGTAAAGAATAAGCTTGTGATTGGAATTAAGATCAATGAGAGACAAACTTGTGCAGGAAACATGAATATTTAACTTTCATGTGCGCCTAAAATAGGCAAACATGGAAACGAGGCCATTTGGTCAATAGTGAATAAATGGTAAGGTCTATTGTTTCCAAAATTTGTGTAAAAATGTAAAGACTAAACAGACTGTTCAACATATAGAGCTTTATCCTCTTTCAGGGATATATTTATGGGGGTACACACTGTTCCATGACCAGTGTCTCCAATAAGCATCAACATCTCAAAAATGAATGTTGGTGTAACCAAAATCAGGAACTATATGTATGTATAGTTTCTATATATAGCTATTATAGTTTGGGTTGTTCTTTGTAATACAAAATACTATTTTATTGAAATAGTTTTTGCATTTGTCTACATACGATTACTTATGATAAAGTTGTTCATTTCTTCTAGGTTTTTACATAGTGTGGCATACAGAAAGTTTACAAGGATGGTGTATGGTGTAATTGGAAAACAAGAATCCCACTGCATACCATGCAATAAGGAAGACATTCCCTCTCACAAAAGATGAATCATTTACCAGATTTGAAATGGAGGATAAAATATTTGAATAAATTAATGACTAAGTAAAACCCATCGTATAAGACCCTACCGTAGATGTTTACAAAATAACAGTGTTTCCATTACTTTATAAAGAGCTTATTTTCTTTAATTGATGTTTAATTTTTTGCTTCTTCGATAAAATAAGAAGCTGTTTTGGAATTCTAGTCTGAACTGGTTCTTTTGTAAAGCAGGGTTTTACTGTACTATTTAAATATTATACTCTCATGAAACCTATATGGAACATATTTGGTATCAACATAAATCAGTTTTGACTAGTGCTCATCAGGGATAGAAAACAAGTAAAGTAGAGCAAACTTGATACAAGTAGTGCATAATATAATTTATTTAACAAATATCACCACCCTGCCTATAAAGCACCCTCCCTATTAAGCCCCTTCCACAATAATCACCACCCTCCCAATAAACACCCTCTCTATTAGCCCCCCAATAAGCACTACCCTCTTTATAAAGTACCCACTCTATTGAGTCCTCTCCTAATAACTAATAAGCACCACCCTCCCTAGTAAGCTCCATCCCTAATAAGCACCACCCTTCCAAATATTTCCCCTCTGTTAAGACCCTTCCTGCTGTAATATAAGCCCCAATCTCTATTATAAATCCCCAACATCCTGAATAATCCTAATATGCCCTTCTGAAAAAAAAAACACCTCCCAATATGCCCTCCTTCCTCAAATGCCTTATCCATATAATACACTATGATGTGCTCCTTTCATTCCTTGGACAGTCTGTAACAAACTTGTGTCCTTTCATGGGTTGTTCCTGTGGTTGTTCACATGCCCTGCATTTTGGTGCTGCTTTAGACTTCTTTTGGCTCTGTTCAACAACGTAGTAGTGAAACTACAGTAACAAAAAGATTTATATTAACACCAAGCATACTAGGTAACTTATCTATGGGCCATAAGGCAGTGGGCAACACTTTGCAAAGACACCGTACTCTTTGAGTTGCTTGGCTGCCTTTTTAAGATCATCTTTGGTAACATTGAGAAAAGTTTGAAATATTTCTTTGACATAATCTGTACAAATCAAACATGGATATATATATATATATATATATATATATATATATATATATATATATATATATATATATATATATATATATATATATATATATATATATATACATGGGTACATGGTATGCATTGATCAATATTTCACTATAATTATTTTGACAGTCAAATATGATACCCTCCTCAGACATCCTTAAAATACACAACTATGGGCTATGGGTCATAGTCAGTGGGCATATTGACTTCACTAAAACATAGGCATAGCAAGAGACATAGATGGAGAATTATATCACTGTATAATACTGTTTCAAATTGCACACGGAAATTACAAAAATCTGCAAGGCTGAAGACAGAAATGACAAAGAAAGCTCTCACAGACTAAACGAAATTGTCTTTCTTATATGCTTTACCCAATTACTGTATATCAGTTTAAGTGTTAGCATGTTATATAATGATATGTTTATTAATTAAATCAGTTTCGTCAAACAAATTCAAGTTACGCACAATTATGTATAAAATACAAAATTAGCATACCATTCTCTTGTATCTGTCTGAAACTTTCTGTGCGTCAGCTGATGGCATGATTGTTGGGAATACACAAATTCCGATCTCGTCCCTTTTGAGCCATCTGTTGCCAACGAAGCTTTCACCTTCGACATGGGAAAACCGTCGCAAAAAATCCTCGGGCCTGAAATGCTCAGAGCATATGACTGAATACGACGTCGGCGTCCATTTTGTACGTTTGAGGCTTAGCACGAAGTCAGTCCATTTCTTTCGGGTTTTTTTTCGCTTCGGGCCGTTCGTCCCCCGAATAAGAAATTGCATGTAACGATATTTCTTTTTCCTTATCTCCTATTTTGTTACAACCGGCAACAACGCATCTTTTCGGCATTTTCTCGCCGTTCACATGCCTAACAAACTCGCCTAGCACTGTAAACACTTGTGTTTAACAGCCGGTTCACCAATTGACGTCACAAGCCCCGATTATCGGCGCTCGCTCGTGGGACAAAATGGCGTCAATTTTAGGGCAATTTTTCAAACTTTGAGAAGCCATAGAATAGCGAGAATTCAACCGATTAAAAAAAAATTTTCATTTTTGTACTCCATAAATAGCGGTTATTGATTTTATGAAAAGAAAATTTAGGGGGTTAGTGGCACTTTAAGGTGGCTTTTCGACTAAAAAATTACTGTAGGGCCCCTTTAACCTGAATTGCTTTGTAAAATGTTTTGAAATGTTCATTTTAATAACTACACTGCTTTTGCCTCAAATTGTTGAATAATTTTATTTAGGTCTTCAAATTAATTTGCTCTCCTTTACACTTACCTTTTTTTCTTAAATTAAACAGGGGGTAATTTAGGAAACTTACTGCTTCTTTGAAAACGAAAACAGCAGTGCATGTTTCACCCAATAAATTATTAAAGCAACAAAATTCATAATCATAAACATTAAACATTCAAAGTGAAGTTGCCATATATTTCACAATTTTCCATTAGTAAATCAATTCTTCTCATTTTTGAAACAAAAATTGCTTCAAAGCTCATTGTGTGAAATGTGATTTTCCAAATATATACTTTTGAAAATTGAAATCTTGATTTAATATACTCAGTGTGCTTATCTCACTCCTGGCAAACACATATATTTTTTTAGATCAGTGAGGAGGTCCACCCATGGATCATAGCCATGCGCCCACGGTATTTGATGAACTTTAGACGTCACTAGTGCGTTCCTTTCCCTGGGTGTAAATAGCCGGGTGGAATTAGTACCCTCGCCTGTTGGCTCGGGGAAAATACCAGGATATCAAATGCGATTTTAATATCTATAAAGAAAAGACATAAGCTTAAAAAATCACACTTTCTAAGTAAAAACCCTGATAAAATAAGATATTATAAATCGTATAACAACAAGTTAAATAAGATTAAAGAAGCAGCCAAAACCAATTACTAATAGACAATAGAATTTATTCAGTACCATTAGTAATACATACATAAAAATTAAGATAAAGTTACCAAAAGAAGGTATTAGCTAACTGTAATAATGAAAAGGCTAAACAAGACAGTCAGCGAATTTGATTAGTAACAAATATATTTTAGTGGGTAAACTGAACAATAAAGATTGTGCAATAAAACACATGCAATAAAGATTTCAGAATGGGTGATTTTGATGCTATAAGCTTATATGAATTCAATATATTATTTTAAAGTTTGTTTTTAAACTGAGATTTAGAAAGACCCCAGCCTAGACCTAGGCCTTTACTCAGCTAGCTTTGGCAGGTTTGGTGAATTTCCGGCTAGCATTTGGTAATTATCGCAATGGTCATTGGGATTCATTATATGTACAGTAGTTGTCGTGACGTCACCAGTATCGATTACAAAATCAATTTCTGGACGATTAGAATTTAGTCGATTTTAACTCAAATATAAACCGACACTTAAAAGAGGTCGTAGAGAATGATGAACATTTTACAGGTTGGATTGATGGAGAGATTAATTTGAACATGTTTTTGAGGGAATACAAAGTTGCTGGATCGATGTCCTTCAAGCTTCTGCGCTTTGAGGTTCGGCAAAGAGATATGGAAATGAAGGTGCAGAAATTAGCATATACCAAACATTTGCATCTATAGTATTTTATACTGGACTCTTTACATTGTAATATGCATTGATCATAAAGCTTAAACCAACTCCTGAAATAAATAGTTTAAGTCAATACATGCTTTTGTGTTATTAATTTTAAAATCATTAATTTATTAAAAAGGTAATTTGAGTTGAAGCAGTAATATTGGAGATCTGTCCAGAGGAGGTTGAACACAAGCGCGCGCAAGGGATCATGGTCAGAAAATCAAAATTAGTCATATCAAACGCTCGCAAAAGCATGATCTCTGACCTCACATATTTTTTGCAAGATGGATGCTATCGAAGAACGAGTTTTTCAGATGGATGTTTTCAAGCAAAATGACCTAATTCTAATACATTGTATTCTTCATGAACATCATTTCATGTTCACAATCCCATGTATACCCTTGTTAAGATGGAAGGGAATTATTTGCCATTTCAGCTTTGCTAATTTTCCATCTCGAAGATGAATATGCGTAATGCCACTTAGCGAAGCTATCCTTCTAAAGTTTTGTGATATACATTCTCCATGTTTTGCTCGAGTTAAGTCAAGTGTTCTCTTTAAAGTAAGTCGTTTAAATGGTTTTAATTTCTTGTTATATTCAAATACATTTTAAACTTAAACAATTAGTTAAAGCACCTACAAGAGGTCAAGCAACTCTCGACTTAATCGTCACCAACTTAAGTGAATTATATTCCCAGCCCGAAATAACCTTGCTTTTTGGTCTTTATGATCACAATACTGTGTCGGTGGTGCCAAAAGTGAGAACTCCTAGGCAAGCTTCAAAGAAATTAATCACTGTACGGGACACTCGCACCAGCAAAAAAAACTCCTTAGGACGTTATTTAAATTCTATTGATTGGTCTGTCATTAATGTACACGATGAATGCGAAACCAAGTACGATATGTTCACTAAACTTGTGAAAATTGGGTTGGACAATATCATGCCGGAGAAAACCTTAAAAATATATCCAACCGATGTTCCTTGGATGACTACGAAATTAAAACACCTTCCATGCCGATATGCCGATAGAAACAGTTTTCATTTCAAATTCTACCGCAATGCAGTCAATAGAGAAAAAAGGTGCAAGTCATATTATTCTTCAAAGGTAGAGAGTTTGAAGGGGTCTAATCCGCGTTGTTGGTGGAAGGAAGTAAGAAAACTAAGTGGATCCGTTGAAAGTAATGACAGCGACATGATGAGCAGGCTGTACGTTCCTGATTAAGAAAACATGAATCCAGACGAAATATCTAACTCAATCAATGCTGCCCTACTGGAACCTCTGCAGAGCTATACTCCACTAGATGTGAGTGCTTCCCTTCAATCAGTTGATGAAGATACCTCTGTCTTCCTCAAAGTCTCAAGTTTTCGTGTGTGTAACAACCTACAGCATTTAAAGCAGAATAAGGCACCGGGTCCTGATGGTCTACCCAACTGGATATTTAAAGAGTATGCAGAAATCCTCTGTGAACCGTTAGCTAACATCTTGAATTCATCATTTAGGGAACAGCGACTTCCCTCCATTTGGAAGCAAGCGAACGTAACACCAATACCAAAGGTCAAACAAGTTAAAGATCCTAAAAAAGAGATACGACCTATTTCTCTCACCCCATCGATTTCAAAAATTGCGGAGGAGTTTGTGTAACTGCATGTGTATGCATAATTAATAAATACTGTATATATAATGGGATCACAGTAATTGGCCAAAAGCTGTCGTGAATACCCTGTCACAATTGTTGTAAATTGTTGTATTGTTAGATCTATAGTGCATTTCGAGTTATCTTGCATCTACGGTTTTCATGTCTGTTTTAGTCTGTTTTAATATGGTTTAACAGTTTGTTGGTCCTGGAAAACGATACATGTAAGGATAGCTCGGAACGTGTTATAGTCATTATAGTATTTAGATATGTAATTTATATTGTGACGAAGTTTATAAAATTAAAAAAAAAAATTAAAAAAAATTAAATAATTTATTCTGTTATAAAGAGACTTGCAAACTGTGCTAAGTAGTCTTGCATAAGAATCAGTAAAGTGAACATTAAGAGTTAGTAAAGAGAACTACAAAGACAATTTAAAGACATCATTATATCTCACAGATACTTCCTATAAAGAGTTATTAAGGAAAGACCGTGGAGATTACAGTTAAATGTTATTGCAAAATAAAATAAAATTAAAGAGATTTAATCAATCTTCCGTATTAAAGTTAATGCTTTACGGTTAGCAAGCGACGTCACACCGAAAGGCGGAGTGAAGACCTTCGTAATGCGTCAGTGTATTCTTTGCATGCAGAATCATCCATTAGCAAGTTGTCAGAAGTTTAAAGAAATGAAATTGAAAGACAGGATAGACTTCGTTCGAAAGAAGGAATTGTGTTTTGGATGTCTTGGTATGGGTCATTTCTCAAACCGATGTCTCGCAAGAAAGAAGTGTGACGTCTGTCAACTAAAGCACCCCACTCACGGGTGTAATGAAGACACAACAAGTTCCATGATCTTACCAGTATGGTTGTACCACCAAGAAGATCCAGATCATCAAATAATGGTGTATGCTCTGTTGGATCCGGCAAGCAACGGAACATTTATTAAGACTGAAACTCTGAACAAACTCGGAAGAAAGGGTGTGGATATTAATCTGCGTCTTAACACCATGCATAGCAGGGAAATAATTACAACACAGAAGATTACTGGTCTTAAAGTAGAAGATCTGGAAAGAACCACCCAAATTGAACTACCAATGGCTGTCTACTGTCGGAGTGATATTCCATCGAGGAGAAGTGAGATCCCTCATCCTGAAATGGCTAACAAGTGGGACCACTTATGTGAACTAACCACGAAATTACCTCGGTACCAAGAAAGAATCGAGATTGGTCTGCTAATAGGATCAAATTGTCCAAAAGCTATCAAGCCACAAGACGTCATACGTATGCAATTAGAACTCTTCTTGGTTGGGGAATAATTGGTCCTGTTTCCATGATTGAGCATAATGATCTCGCACAAGATCGATTTTCGTGCAACAGAATTATCACAACAGAGATTGTGTCACAAAAACAGTCTGGTGTTATCTTTGTTCCTAAAAGTAACGTGAAAGAAATTATCGATCCAATGACAATTGTTAGGATGTTTGAACTTGATTTCAACGAAAGTTGTGATGCTGCTGCCAAGTATTCCTCAGTTGATGATCAGACATTCTTAAGAAAGGTTTGTGAAGGAATTCATCTTAGAGAAGATGGACATTACGAGATTCCCCTGCCGTTCAAAGAGAATGATATCAAGTTACCTAACAACAGGAAGTTAGCATCGTATCGCCTACAACAGTTAAAGTCGAGATTTGAGAAAGATGACAAGTATAAGAAAGATTACGTTGCATTTGTGAATGATACGATAAAGAAAGGATATGCAAAACGAGTTTCACAACCGAAGAAGGCAAATGCTGGTATATCCCCCATCACAGTGTCTACCATCCTTAAAAAACCATCGAAGATTTGTGTAGTATTTGATTGCTCCTCGCAATATAAAGGAGAATCCATCAACAAGTATTTGTTACAGGGCCCAGACCTTACGAATAAGCTGATTGGAGTGCTGACAAGATTTCGACAAGAAACTGTTGCCTTCACAACTGATATAGAAGCGATGTTCCATCAAGTTAAAGTCACAAGAGAATATCAAGATTTCCTTCGTTTCCTTTGGTGGCCTAACGGCGAGACAAGTGAAGAGATCGAAACATATCGGATGACAGTTCATTTATTCAAGCAACATCGTCTCCGGGGTGTTCAAATTTCACGTTGAAACGAACAGCCAATGGTAACAAACAAGAGATTGGAAAGAATCCGGCAGAGTTCTTGCGAAATAATTTTTATGTCGACGATGGGCTCAAGTCTGTTTCTTCTAACCGTGAAGCTGTAACCTTGATAAAGCAAGTGAAAGAAATGTGTGGGCATAGCGGTTTAATTTATGCAAGTTCATAAGCAACAGAAGAAAAGTCATCAAAGAAACTCCTCAACATGATCGAGCAGACGCTGTTAAAGACCTTGATCTCGAAGCCCTACCAATCGAAAGAACGCTTGGAGTACAATGATCCATCGAAGCTGACAACTTTGAATTTCGAATTATATTACAAGACCAACCACTAACAAGACGTGGAATTCTTGCAACAGTTTGTTCCATTTACGATCCATTGGGTTTTGTAGCACCGATAATCTTGACTGGGAAACAAATTCTCCAAGATCTTTGTCGCAACCAAGTGGACTGGGATGATGCAATTCCGGCAAATCTAAAGATGAAATGGGAAAAATGGCGAAACGAACTGACCTGTCTAAAAGAATCAATTCCGAGATGTTTCAAACCAGAAGAGTTTGGTGAGATTAAATGCCGAACTTCACAACTTCTCTGATGCAAGTAACGTTGGATATAGTCAGTGTTCCTATCTTCGCTTGGTGAATGCTGAAGGAAAAATACATTGTTCACTGGTCAAGGGAAAGGCAAGAGTCAATCCACTTAAAACCGTATCTATACCTTGATTGGAACTGACAGCAGCATTGGTTTCCGCAAAGGTAAATGATTTAATGAAATGTTAACTTGAGTATGACATCAAGAAAGAAACATTTTGGACGGATAGTCAAATTACTCTGTAGTCTAGGACCTGTATATGAGTTTGTATGCGATTCATTTAGGACAGGTAATCTCAACTGTTTTAGGGTAAAATGACCATGGCGGTCAACATGGCATATGTGAGAAAACCTGAATCCGGGACGAAAGTCCTGAAAATGACCCCGCCCTGAAACGGCAGTGTTGACATCGCTCTAACTTCCGAAAAGCGACAGCCTTTCTGAAGTGCTTATACTGTTCAGAAGAGTTGCTTTTAGGGGTGGTCATTGGAAGGAAAAATTTGTCTAAGTATAATATTTTACCAGAAAATGACTATGCACCACCCCAGGTAATTTGCTGATTATGCACAAAATATTTAATATGCCTGGCAGAAATTAAATTTTCTTATTTCCTACAAAAAATTATCATGGGATGAAAAACTATGCTTAGTTCAATATAATTATTGTGGATTTCATAAGGATTGTCATTGTTTTATTTTAATATAACACATTTTATTTCACTTACCCCCCACGGAAACACGATTTCAGCCATACTTTGCCGTCTTGTTTGCTTTTTATAGCCGAGTCTCGCAAATATCATCCAGTTGTTGTACTTTTACATAATCATAAAGCGCTAAAGAATATTTCAACCAAGTTTCATCAACTTGTGAGACAGTGCAGTGTATTTTACCTTCGATATTGTATCCTTCGATATTTCACCAAATTGCCACCATTTTAATGGCTCTCCGCTTCTCTGTCAGTAAATGCCACTTCTTCGTTTTCATATGTATTTAGATTACAGTATCCAAGAGTACTTCATTGTCGAATAGTCCCAATCGAAAAATTGACAATATTTGTCCCATTTGGAAGGAGGAACCCTCCCGTATACCATTCAGGTTCAAAATAAAAAACAAATCATTTGAAAGCCACGCGCAATCTTCGCGAAAACTTCTCGTGGACACATGACAGGGGGTGGTGGATATTTTCATGAAATGCTTGTTCGCCACCACAGAAACATAACTAAATATATTATATTTATTGTATTTTTATGATTTATGACAAAACTATGCAAATATTTATTGTTTTTATCATAAATCATAAAAATACAATAAATACAATATATTTAGTTATGTTTCTGTGGTGGCGAACAACGTTTCGTGAAAATATTCACCCCCCCTGTTATGTGTCCACGAGAAGTTTTCGCGAAGATTGTGTGTAACTTTCAAATGATCTGTTTTTTATTTTGAACCTGAATGGTATACAGGAGGGTTTTTCCTTCCAAATGGGACAAATATTGTCAAATTTTCGATTGGGACTCTTCTACAATGAAGTACTCTTGGATACTGTAACTTAAATACATATGAAAACGAAGAAGTGGCATTTATCGAACAGAGAAGCGGCGAGCCATTATGATGGCCGAATGGTAACCTGAAGTTCAGGCCCTATCACAGAATAGGGCCTGACACAAAACCTATCTAAAGTGTGGGATTCCCGTCCACCTGGTGGACGGGAAATCTGATTGGTTGATCAGAATCATGAAGGATTTTGATTGGTTGCAAGTTCACATAAACAACAGTTTTAAAAATAGCTCGGTCAAGGCGAGAATTAATATAAAGGTCAAACGCACGTAACAAATTCCATTATCGATTTCTTCGAATTTCTTTTCTTTTATGCTTTATGGAAGAAAATAAATCAAACAAACAGTATTTTGAAAGGGCTTCATCAAAATCTTTGACGAATTTTGGACACACACGACGCTGAAAGAACAGCCAAACTAGTCCTGTATTCGAAAGCTTGTTGTTGACAGCCAAGATGTTCTGCCAACTTGCTTCGCCGGCAAAAGTCTTATTTTTAATATCAGGTCCTACCGGCGTAATTGTTGTCTACATCGCCTTCTTCGTGGTATGATTGAGAATTTAATTGTTGCTGTTATTAGCCCGTTAGTCGTTAGAGTATATCCGCGTCCAGCAAGTTGAGACCTTGAGAAAGCTTGGCAGTCAAGCCGTGCACAGAACTGACTAATTAAATCTTTGTTTGCTGTTCGCCTGTTCGGTTAAATAGAGAAACTGACTCTTAATTATATAAAAGTACCTTGAATTTTTAAGTTTAATTAAAAAGCAAAATGCTCTGCGGACATGTTCATGAGAATATAATTTTTTGTGTAACGAAATCTACAACACTTGTCAATCATATTGCATGTGTGTCTAAAAATAACATGTGGGCGTCTCACGGTCTAGACAGGTTTTGTGTCAGGCCCTATTTCAAATTAGGGCCTGAACTTCAGGTTAGCCGAATGGTGACAATTTGGCGAAATATCGAAGGACACAATATCAAAGGTAAAATACACTGCACTGTCTCACAAGTTGATGAAACTTGGTTGAAATATTCTTTAGCGCTTTATGATTATGTAAAAGTACAACAACTGGATGATATTTGCGAGACTCGGCGATAAAAAGCAAACAAGATGGCAAAGTATGGCTGAAATCGTGTTTTCGTGGGGGGTAAGTAAAATAAAATGTGTTATATATTAAAAGAAAACAATGACAATCCTTATGAAATCCACAATAATTATATTGAACTAAGCATAGTTTTTCATCCCATGATAATTTTTTGTAGGAAATAAGAAAATTTAATTTCTGCCAGGCATATTAGTTATTTTGTGCATAATCAGCAATTTACCTGGGGTGGTGCATAGTCATTTTCTGGTAAAATATTATACTTAGACAAATTTTTCCTTCCAATGACCACCCCTAAAAGCAACCCTTCTGAACACTATAAGCACTTCAGAAAGGCTGTCGCTTTTCGTTTTCGGAAGTTAGAGCGATGTCGACACTGCCGTTTCAGGGCGGGGTCATTTTCAGGACTTTCGTCCTGGATTCAGGTTTTCGCACATATGCCATGTTGACCGCCATGGTCATTTTACCCTAAAACAGTTGAGATTACCTGTCCTAAATGAATCGCATACAAACTCATATACAGGTCCTAGACTACTGGGATACATTGGAAATGACTCCAAGAGATTTCACGTGTACGTCGCGAATCGTGTCGCTCAAATCCACTCGAAAACCACTAAAGAACAATGGAATTACATCGATTCAAGTTCTAATCCAGCTGATGACAGATCTCGAGGCATGTCAGCAATGCAATTCTTGAAGAATTCAAGATGGATAACAGGCTCAAGATTTCTATGGCAACCTGAAGACGAATTGATTGAACCTACCCCAATCAAAGCTATCCCATTAGAAGATCCCGAAGTTAAACAATCCTGTTTTTCCACCAATGTGAAAGAAACATGGTCCCTCGGTAAAGCAAAGAAAACTTTCTCTACTTGGCAAAGTGCAAGATCAGCGGTCGTCATTTGTCTAATATACCGTTGAACAAAGTCAAGCTAAACCAATCCACAGTCATGGACAATATATCATCTGGCAACAAGTCAACGGTGACGGTTGAAAACTTGCGGAAGGCAGAAATCGAAATTTACAGATCAGTGCAATTGACTCATTTTGAAAAAGAAGTACATGTGTTAAAAGTAGATGAACAGAATACAGGTGAATGTTGTGGAAAAGACATTCCAAATGCCAACTATGTGACAAAGTCAAGTCTGTTGTATCGTCTGAAGCCATTTCACGACGCCCTTGGAATTTTACGAGTTGGTGGTCGAATTAAGCATGCTGACGTCCCTTATGATACGAAATTTCCAATCATTCTCCCTTGGAACAGTCACGTAACAGTTTTGGTAATACGATATTATCACAAGAAAGTTGCTCATCAAGGTCGCGGGATAACGTTAAATTAAATTCGAAGCAACGGTCTGTGGATTATTGGAGGATAATCCGGGGTAGCATCTACCATACAACAGTGTGTTACATGTCGAAGGTTAAGAGGTATTGCACAAGAACAATTGATGGCAGATTTACCAGAAGATAGATTTGAACAAGCCACACCTTTCACCTATACTGCTGTTGATTACTGTGGGCCATGGTATATAAAAGAACGTCAAAAGGAACAAAAGAACGTCGAAAGGAACTTACATAAAGATACGTTGCTCTCTTTACTTGCATGGCATCTCAAGCAGTTGATCTTGAAGTTTGTAATACCATGGACACGGACTTGTTTATACAAGCCTCAAGACGTTTTCTATGTCGGTGAGGTCCATGCGTCAATTAAGAAGTGATAGAGGTTCCAACTTTATTGGTGCTCAACGCAAATTACATCAAGCATTGGAAGAGATGGATGCGGAGAAAATTCAAGTTGAACTTTTAAAACATAATTGTGATTGGATTGAATTCAAAATGAATGTGCCCAAAGCAAGTCATTTTGGCAGAGTCTGGGAACAGCAGATTAGAACTGTTCGAAGTGTTTTGAATCCTTTGATGCGAAATAACAGTACTTGTTTGGACGATGAATCCTTTCGCACACTTATGTGCGAAGTCGAATCTATTGTTAATTCTCGGCCGTTGACAGTCGACAACTTGAATGACCCACATTCTCTCTCACCACTTACGCCAAATCATCTTCTCACTATGAAGATAAAGGTACTATTACCACCTCCTGGCAATTTCCAAACCAAAGAAAGATATTCAAAGAAACAATGGCGAAGAATTCAACATTTAGCAAATGAATTTTGGGCAAGGTGGAGAAAAGAGTTCCTTCACTCCTTACAAGAAAGATCAAAGTGGAACAAGATCAAAGTGGAACATTAAACTATATTTGTACTGAGAAATCAAAGACATTTCTGTGGGGGGAATGTAACTGTGTGTGTATGCATAATTAATAAATACTGTATATACAGTGTGTATCAAAATAATTCGAATCCAAATTTGGCGTGTAATAATGCAGAATATATTTGACAAATTCGGTTGGTTTTTACACCATTAAGTTCATTTATTTACCTTTCAAATGACATGCTGTACACGTCATTTAGTTGGAAAATGAAGGAGATTACAGTTAAATGTTATTGCAAAATAAAATAAAATTAAAGAGATTTAATCAATCTTCCGTATTAAAGTTAATGCTTTACGGTTAGCAAGCGACGTCACACCGAAAGGCGGAGTGAAGACCTTCGTAATGCGTCAGTGTATTCTTTGCATGCAGAATCATCCATTAGCAAGTTGTCAGAAGTTTAAAGAAATGAAATTGAAAGACAGGATAGACTTCGTTCGAAAGAAGGAATTGTGTTTTGGATGTCTTGGTATGGGTCATTTCTCAAACCGATGTCTCGCAAGAAAGAAGTGTGACGTCTGTCAACTAAAGCACCCCACTCACGGGTGTAATGAAGACACAACAAGTTCCATGATCTTACCAGTATGGTTGTACCACCAAGAAGATCCAGATCATCAAATAATGGTGTATGCTCTGTTGGATCCGGCAAGCAACGGAACATTTATTAAGACTGAAACTCTGAACAAACTCGGAAGAAAGGGTGTGGATATTAATCTGCGTCTTAACACCATGCATAGCAGTGAAATAATTACAACACAGAAGATTACTGGTCTTAAAGTAGAAGATCTGGAAAGAACCACCCAAATTGAACTACCAATGGCTGTCTACTGTCGGAGTGATATTCCATCGAGGAGAAGTGAGATCCCTCATCCTGAAATGGCTAACAAGTGGGACCACTTATGTGAACTAACCACGAAATTACCTCGGTACCAAGAAAGAATCGAGATTGGTCTGCTAATAGGATCAAATTGTCCAAAAGCTATCAAGCCACAAGACGTCATACGTATGCAATTAGAACTCTTCTTGGTTGGGGAATAATTGGTCCTGTTTCCATGATTGAGCATAATGATCTCGCACAAGATCGATTTTCGTGCAACAGAATTATCACAACAGAGATTGTGTCACAAAAACAGTCTGGTGTTATCTTTGTTCCTAAAAGTAACGTGAAAGAAATTATCGATCCAATGACAATTGTTAGGATGTTTGAACTTGATTTCAACGAAAGTTGTGATGCTGCTGCCAAGTATTCCTCAGTTGATGATCAGACATTCTTAAGAAAGGTTTGTGAAGGAATTCATCTTAGAGAAGATGGACATTACGAGATTCCCCTGCCGTTCAAAGAGAATGATATCAAGTTACCTAACAACAGGAAGTTAGCATCGTATCGCCTACAACAGTTAAAGTCGAGATTTGAGAAAGATGACAAGTATAAGAAAGATTACGTTGCATTTGTGAATGATACGATAAAGAAAGGATATGCAAAACGAGTTTCACAACCGAAGAAGGCAAATGCTGGTATATCCCCCATCACAGTGTCTACCATCCTTAAAAAACCATCGAAGATTTGTGTAGTATTTGATTGCTCCTCGCAATATAAAGGAGAATCCATCAACAAGTATTTGTTACAGGGCCCAGACCTTACGAATAAGCTGATTGGAGTGCTGACAAGATTTCGACAAGAAACTGTTGCCTTCACAACTGATATAGAAGCGATGTTCCATCAAGTTAAAGTCACAAGAGAATATCAAGATTTCCTTCGTTTCCTTTGGTGGCCTAACGGCGAGACAAGTGAAGAGATCGAAACATATCGGATAACAGTTCATTTATTCAAGCAACATCGTCTCCGGGGTGTTCAAATTTCACGTTGAAACGAACAGCCAATGGTAACAAACAAGAGATTGGAAAGAATCCGGCAGAGTTCTTGCGAAATAATTTTTATGTCGACGATGGGCTCAAGTCTGTTTCTTCTAACCGTGAAGCTGTAACCTTGATAAAGCAAGTGAAAGAAATGTGTGGGCATAGCGGTTTAATTTATGCAAGTTCATAAGCAACAGAAGAAAAGTCATCAAAGAAACTCCTCAACATGATCGAGCAGACGCTGTTAAAGACCTTGATCTCGAAGCCCTACCAATCGAAAGAACGCTTGGAGTACAATGATCCATCGAAGCTGACAACTTTGAATTTCGAATTATATTACAAGACCAACCACTAACAAGACGTGGAATTCTTGCAACAGTTTGTTCCATTTACGATCCATTGGGTTTTGTAGCACCGATAATCTTGACTGGGAAACAAATTCTCCAAGATCTTTGTCGCAACCAAGTGGACTGGGATGATGCAATTCCGGCAAATCTAAAGATGAAATGGGAAAAATGGCGAAACGAACTGACCTGTCTAAAAGAATTCAATTCCGAGATGTTTCAAACCAGAAGAGTTTGGTGAGATTAAATGCCGAACTTCACAACTTCTCTGATGCAAGTAACGTTGGATATAGTCAGTGTTCCTATCTTCGCTTGGTGAATGCTGAAGGAAAAATACATTGTTCACTGGTCAAGGGAAAGGCAAGAGTCAATCCACTTAAAACCGTATCTATACCTTGATTGGAACTGACAGCAGCATTGGTTTCCGCAAAGGTAAATGATTTAATGAAATGTTAACTTGAGTATGACATCAAGAAAGAAACATTTTGGACGGATAGTCAAATTACTCTGTAGTCTAGGACCTGTATATGAGTTTGTATGCGATTCATTTAGGACAGGTAATCTCAACTGTTTTAGGGTAAAATGACCATGGCGGTCAACATGGCATATGTGAGAAAACCTGAATCCGGGACGAAAGTCCTGAAAATGACCCCGCCCTGAAACGGCAGTGTTGACATCGCTCTAACTTCCGAAAAGCGACAGCCTTTCTGAAGTGCTTATACTGTTCAGAAGAGTTGCTTTTAGGGGTGGTCATTGGAAGGAAAAATTTGTCTAAGTATAATATTTTACCAGAAAATGACTATGCACCACCCCAGGTAATTTGCTGATTATGCACAAAATATTTAATATGCCTGGCAGAAATTAAATTTTCTTATTTCCTACAAAAAATTATCATGGGATGAAAAACTATGCTTAGTTCAATATAATTATTGTGGATTTCATAAGGATTGTCATTGTTTTATTTTAATATAACACATTTTATTTCACTTACCCCCCACGGAAACACGATTTCAGCCATACTTTGCCGTCTTGTTTGCTTTTTATAGCCGAGTCTCGCAAATATCATCCAGTTGTTGTACTTTTACATAATCATAAAGCGCTAAAGAATATTTCAACCAAGTTTCATCAACTTGTGAGACAGTGCAGTGTATTTTACCTTCGATATTGTATCCTTCGATATTTCACCAAATTGCCACCATTTTAATGGCTCTCCGCTTCTCTGTCAGTAAATGCCACTTCTTCGTTTTCATATGTATTTAGATTACAGTATCCAAGAGTACTTCATTGTCGAATAGTCCCAATCGAAAAATTGACAATATTTGTCCCATTTGGAAGGAGGAACCCTCCCGTATACCATTCAGGTTCAAAATAAAAAACAAATCATTTGAAAGCCACGCGCAATCTTCGCGAAAACTTCTCGTGGACACATGACAGGGGGTGGTGGATATTTTCATGAAATGTTTGTTCGCCACCACAGAAACATAACTAAATATATTATATTTATTGTATTTTTATGATTTATGACAAAACTATGCAAATATTTATTGTTTTTATCATAAATCATAAAAATACAATAAATACAATATATTTAGTTATGTTTCTGTGGTGGCGAACAACGTTTCGTGAAAATATTCACCCCCCCTGTTATGTGTCCACGAGAAGTTTTCGCGAAGATTGTGTGTAACTTTCAAATGATCTGTTTTTTATTTTGAACCTGAATGGTATACAGGAGGGTTTTTCCTTCCAAATGGGACAAATATTGTCAAATTTTCGATTGGGACTCTTCTACAATGAAGTACTCTTGGATACTGTAACTTAAATACATATGAAAACGAAGAAGTGGCATTTATCGAACAGAGAAGCGGCGAGCCATTATGATGGCCGAATGGTAACCTGAAGTTCAGGCCCTATCACAGAATAGGGCCTGACACAAAACCTATCTAAAGTGTGGGATTCCCGTCCACCTGGTGGACGGGAAATCTGATTGGTTGATCAGAATTTCCATTATCGATTTCTTCGAATTTCTTTTCTTTTATGCTTTATGGAAGAAAATAAATAAAACAAACAGTATTTTGAAAGGGCTTCATCAAAATCTTTGACGAATTTTGGACACACACGACGCTGAAAGAACAGCCAAACTAGTCCTGTATTCGAAAGCTTGTTGTTGACAGCCAAGATGTTCTGCCAACTTGCTTCGCCGGCAAAAGTCTTATTTTTAATATCAGGTCCTACCGGCGTAATTGTTTTCTGAGCTACATCGCCTTCTTCGTGGTATGATTGAGAATTTAATTGTTGCTGTTATTAGCCCGTTAGTCGTTAGAGTATATCCGCGTCCAGCAAGTTGAGACCTTGAGAAAGCTTGGCAGTCAAGCCGTGCACAGAACTGACTAATTAAATCTTTGTTTGCTGTTCGCCTGTTCGGTTAAATAGAGAAACTGACTCTTAATTATATTAAGTTTAATTAAAAAGCAAAATGCTCTGCGGACATGTTCATGAGAATATAATTTTTTTGTGTAACGAAATCTACAACACTTGTCAATCATATTGCATGTGTGTCTAAAAATAACATGTGGGCGTCTCACGGTCTAGACAGGTTTTGTGTCAGGCCCTATTTCAAATTAGGGCCTGAACTTCAGGTTAGCCGAATGGTGACAATTTGGCGAAATATCGAAGGACACAATATCAAAGGTAAAATACACTGCACTGTCTCACAAGTTGATGAAACTTGGTTGAAATATTCTTTAGCGCTTTATGATTATGTAAAAGTACAACAACTGGATGATATTTGCGAGACTCGGCGATAAAAAGCAAACAAGATGGCAAAGTATGGCTGAAATCGTGTTTTCGTGGGGGGTAAGTAAAATAAAATGTGTTATATATTAAAAGAAAACAATGACAATCCTTATGAAATCCACAATAATTATATTGAACTAAGCATAGTTTTTCATCCCATGATAATTTTTTGTAGGAAATAAGAAAATTTAATTTCTGCCAGGCATATTAGTTATTTTGTGCATAATCAGCAATTTACCTGGGGTGGTGCATAGTCATTTTCTGGTAAAATATTATACTTAGACAAATTTTTCCTTCCAATGACCACCCCTAAAAGCAACCCTTCTAAACACTATAAGCACTTCAGAAAGGCTATCGCTTTTCCTTTTCGGAAGTTAGAGCTATGTCGACACTGCCGTTTCAGGGCGGGGTCATTTTCAGGACTTTCGTCCCGGATTCAGGTTTTCGCACATATGCCATGTTGACCGCCATGGTCATTTTACCCTAAAACAGTTGAGATTACCTGTCCTAAATGAATCGCATACAAACTCATATACAGGTCCTAGACTACTGGGATACATTGGAAATGACTCCAAGAGATTTCACGTGTACGTCGCGAATCGTGTCGCTCAAATCCACTCGAAAACCACTAAAGAACAATGGAATTACATCGATTCAAGTTCTAATCCAGCTGATGACAGATCTCGAGGCATGTCAGCAATGCAATTCTTGAAGAATTCAAGATGGATAACAGGCTCAAGATTTCTATGGCAACCTGAAGACGAATTGATTGAACCTACCCCAATCAAAGCTATCCCATTAGAAGATCCCGAAGTTAAACAATCCTGTTTTTCCACCAATGTGAAAGAAACATGGTCCCTCGGTAAAGCAAAGAAAACTTTCTCTACTTGGCAAAGTGCAAGATCAGCGGTCGTCATTTGTCTAATATACCGTTGAACAAAGTCAAGCTAAACCAATCCACAGTCATGGACAATATATCATCTGGCAACAAGTCAACGGTGACGGTTGAAAACTTGCGGAAGGCAGAAATCGAAATTTACAGAT